CCATGCCTCTCACCCTCAATGGCTCATGGCCCCATGGCTCCATGGTCCCATCCCGCCATGACTCCCATGGCTTTGAACCCTATCAGCTGACTTTAAAGGGTCCCAGTGCATGCCCGCCCTCTCCGCCCTCCCCGCCCCCTCCGCCCTTTCCGCCCTTTCCGCCCCCTCCGCCCTTCCCGCTCCGCCCCCTCCGCCCTTCCCGCTCCATGGCGCTCCATATGGTTCCCGCCCCCTCCGCCCTTCCCGCCCCATGGCGCTCCATGGCTTCATTGGTCCCATGCCCCATGGCTCCCACGGCCTCACGTCCCTGGACCTTATCATCCGCCTTCTCCGCCGCCTCTGCCCTCCTTTACCCCCCCATGGCCTCATGGCCCCATGCCTCTCACCCTCAATGGCTCATGGCCCCATGGCTCCATGGTCCCATCCCGCCCCATGGCTCCCATGGCTTCACGGCTTTGGACCCTATCAGCTGACTTCAAAGGGTCCCAGTGCATGCCCGCCCTCTCCGCCCTCCCCGCCCCCTCCGCCCATTCCGCCCTTTCCGCCCCCGCCCTTCCCGCTACATGGCGCTCCATGGCTCCATGGTTCTGTGGCCCATGGTCCCATCCCGCCCCATGGCTCCCATGGCTTCACGGCTTTGGACCCTCTCACCTGCGCCCTCTCCGCCTTTCCGCCCTCTCCGCCCTTTCCGCCCCCTCCACCCTTCCCGCTCCATGGCGCTCCATGGCTCCATGGTCACACGGACGCCCGTGGACCTTGTCACTCTTCCTTCCAAGGCTCCATGATCCCATGGCCCATGGCCTGATGGCCCCATGCCTCTGGCCCCCAATGGTGCGTGCATGGCCCCATCCCGCCCCGCCCCTATCAGCTGACTTTAAAGCAGGGCCTCAGCGCACGCCCGCCCGTTTGCTCTACCCCTGCCACCCACACACCTCGCCCCGCCCATGCCGCTCATGGACCTATGGCTCCCTACCACCGACTCGCCCCATCCAAAGCGTTGACATGGACCTTTAGTGCATGCCCGCCCTCTCCGCCCTCTCCGCCCCCTCTGCCCTTTCCGCCCCCTCCGCCCTTCCCGCTCCATGGCGCTCCGTGGCTCCATGGTCCCACGGCCTCACGCCCGTGTGGACCTTCTCACTCTTCCCTTCAGGGCTCCATGGTCCCATGGCCCATGGCCTCAATGGCTCATGCATGGTCCCATCCCGCCCCATGGCTCCCCGTGCCTCACGCCCCTGGACCTTATCGCTGACTTTCCCGCCCTCTCCGCCCTCTAGGCCCCATGGCGCTCCATGGCTCCATGGTCCGTCCCATGGCCCCCATGTTCTCCTCCCCCCCCTGCCTTCCCCTCGAAATACACCAATACGCCGAGTCCCCCCCCCCCCCCCCCCCGAAATACGCCGATACGCGACCCCTGCGGGGCTTCCATCAGCAAGATTCCACGAGGAACAGGCGCAGGGAATACACAAGCACCCCTGACACCCGAAGCCGTCCAAAGCGCAAGCCCGGACGGCCTCGTGTTCACGTGACATTTTGTGGACGGAACCCTGCAGACCCCCCTCCACCCTGCCCCCTAGCCCTGGACCCTACACCCCGCACCGTCCGCCCGGCTGTGCTTCCCCTGTTGGGGGTCGGCGGCACTGGCGGTAGCCATTAAATATATATATATATATATATATACACATATCGAAAAGCCGCATGCAAGAAAATCAGAGCCACAGGCGACAACAACGGAAGCATGCGCATCCTCTTTAGAATTCCCGGGCAAAATGAAACCCGAATCCTGAGCCTGCGTGGGTCGGGAAGTTGGTACTGAAACAGGTGCTTCCCAAGCTCAACGCATTCCCCGCAAGTCTTCAATACCCCGTCTTCCGACCTATCGGCGGACTCCACGGCGGCCACAGCTGACCGGTCGTGCTCGTACTGCAGCTGTCGCCTCTTCGCCTTGTTTGCTCTGAAAGTGTGGGGAACCCCAAGTCTTCATTTAACTTGACTCAGTTATCAAGATTGTTGGTGTCTGACTGTCAAACATACCACCGGCCCAAGTAGCTCTTTGCACGAAAACAAAGACAAAGCAGCGCAAGTAAACCAAACCAACCAGCAGCAACCAAATAAAGCTTCCCCTGGCAGTTGGAGGGTCTCAACGATTCCGCCAAGCAAAAGAGGTCATGCAAGGACGAGAATTTCATAAAACAACTACGTCAAACACAAGGCGAAACGGAATTCGACTGTTGCCACGCATGCGTGGAATCCAAGGGAAAATGCGAAGCGGGGCAAGGAGGACCGAAGAGTGACACGGTGGAGCCCCTCTTTGAAGTCCAAACGATCTGCCAGCCTCGAAACCATGGACGGCAGTGAACATACTGCGTGACTGCCCTACGTGACAGAGCGCGCCTGCGCGCAATGAAATAAGATTTCACATAAGACTTCTACCTGCAAAGAAGTAGAACAGGCCCAGGCCAGGGGCAGTCAACCAAAGTCCTCCCCGAGCCTACATGCCCTAGCCCCACAGGTTTGGGCTTTGGGCTCGAGGTTTTTGGGGTCTTTAGCTGCACCTGTTTAGCTTGGACATGGCGCTCATGGCCCTATGGTCCCATGCTGCAAAGTTGCCACCTGATGCCAAAGGCTGAGGGCTGCCAGGATGTGGCGGCGCTGATGTTCCATCAAGATCCTCATGTCCCCCTCTGTCTCTCTCCCACGAAAGTTTCTCAAGTCAAAAGGGGTGCCCTGGTACTCGTTTCGTTTTCGAAGGAACAGGCTCTTGCGTCTTGCTTGCGGATGTGGTACAGTCAATGAAACCTCAAAAGACAAGCCAGAGAAACAAACTCCCGAGCTTCTCGCAGCCTCAGTGAAACCTCAAAAGACAAGCCAGAGAAACAAACTCCCGAGCTTCTCGCAGCCGAGGATCTCTGACACCGTGCGCAAGGCTGTCTCGCGCAGCCTTTGCACTTCAAGACAAACCACTTACTACTCCCCTACATTGAGAGTAGAAGATGCATGGTTGAACAGCCCGGTGGGGCCCAGCGGTCTCGAAAAGCTCCTCGCAGAAATCTGACAAGGTGGTGTCGAGTTAAGTGCTCTGCACTGCCATCATGGCGGCTCGCGTGCCAGTGATGGAGGACTGGCGCACTCCGGCCAAATCTCCACCTTTGTGCATGCAGATTTCACAGTCCCATCGAGAATTCCCCCCCCCCCCCCCGAAGTTGCGACGCGTCCTTGGCAAACCTGGGGTTTCGGGTTGAAACCCTAAAACCTACACGCCCTGGCAACCTTCAACCCCCAGCTGCTTTAGGAAGCCGATACTGGCCTCAAGCCGTTTCAACTATTCGTGCATCTATCTCCGATAGCCCGTCGAGTCTACACGTGACGCCAACCGGCGGGCTTTTCCTCTTTCGTATAACTGTATATTCCTCAACCGTCTTTGTAGGGCAGGTTTTCCTTGGTCGCAGCTTCGGGTTCTCCATTTGCTTTAGGGCCCAAGGGCCCGTGCGCCTTCAGCCTTCTTCAGCCCATGTGGATGCAGAAAGGAGATTTCAAAGACACACAAGCCAGCGAGCGAAGCAAACGATGAACTTAAACGAATCACTGAAAGGCCCCCCGGCCCCTGGAAGCCGGTTGGGCCCGAGGCCACCAGGCCACAGCCATGGCACAAGACTCTGCCGCCCAAGGGGGCTGAGACCAGTTTGTTGGGGTTCAGTTCAAGGTTGCGCTGTTGCCACAAACTTCCGGGGCACTTCGAGGGATGTGCGAGACTTGCCGTTTGCTGTTTGCTGCCAACCACCTAGCTGCGGGACTTGCATGGCTTCCGGAACATGTGCAATGAGCAGCATCATCACCCTTTGGAGCCTTTGACTCTGCTGTTCCTGCAGTGGCTGATGCGTGGTCGCGTCTTGTGTTCCTTATCCAAAGCATGCTGAGCAGGCACGTAGGGTTGCCCCAACTACTCAATGGAACAAGTAGGTTGACCACTAAAAGCCGCCTCGTGTTAAGACCGCTAGAATCTATTTTGCTGTGAACGGTGCGCGCCAATCTGGTTCGGGCGGCTGCATTTGGTCTGAACAGCTGTGTGCGTGGAAGCTTCGCAGCTTGGCTCACTTCACACCTACGCAGCTTGGCTTACCAGCAGCGTGAAGAGCATCCTGAGGCTGGAGCTTGTCAGGAAGTGCACGCGGCAATCCATCTCGAGCTGTCTCCTGCATTGTGCGGTTGCAGCTGCACCCCACTTGTCGTGTCTTATGCGTCGCAAAAAGTCTCAAAGACACAAGAAGACATTCATCTGAGACATGGCTACATGCCATCTGGGCCAGGGAGCAGGTGTGATCAACTTCGCACGATGCCACACGCATGGCCGGCATGGCCTCTCATCCACCGTGAGGCTCGTGGGTCGGCCAAGCGGGTCTTCCAGGCCTGGCGCTGCTCCCATAGCGACTCACAAGTGAAGCTACATGGCAACTATGGCTGCCCTTGGCCTATCCTTTGGCCCAATCTCCAACAAGGCAGCTGATCTGCTCTTTGCAAGCCTAGCACTGGCTCTGACTCTTAGCTGCTCCATGTTCAAGCCCTGCCTTGGCTTGCAGAATGTGCCTGCCAAAGCACGCAGAAAGCACATGCTTGCCTGTGCTTAAGGCAGTCTCTTTGGACTGCCACGAGTCCATACAGCAGGGCACTTCACAAGAAGTAAATGCAGGAGGTCTCGCGGATTGCGATATGCAGCTTGCCACCACATCTTCCATGCAGAGGCCAGCTTCTTTTAAACCGTTTCGCTTCCCTCGGTATATCTTGATACCTCATTGGGTACCGCCATGGCTGGAGAAAGGCCAAGATAGCACTCTGAATGCCGCCCAACATCAGCTCTTGCAATTTGCATCAGACACTCCCCCAATCCCTCACTTCAGAACTTCAAGCAGTCGAGGCCTCCCTCTGCACAGCCGGACAACACAAGGAGGGCTGATGCGAACTACCTACGACCTATGGGGTTTGGGACAAGGCGAAGGTGCCCCCTTCTAGCCGGCTTCGGACTCCTCCATCAGAAAGTCGACAAACCGGTCTGTGAGGTCTGCAAGGCCTATCGAGATCCGGCAGCACTCGGACTGCACTTTGCCACTGCTAGAACCTTTCTGGGCCTGACTAAGGGTTGTGACTTCTAGGAGGCCGGATGCAGTTGCTTTTCCAAAGTCCAGACGGGGGCAGAATTGTTGAGAATCAAGGGCAACAGCGGCGACGAAAGTAGGTCTGTATGGGTGGGAGGGCACACCTTGCGGCTCCTGCATCTGCAACGGCGTTTTTCGCTTCTGCGACAAGCCAACCTTGAGCAGTGTGGCGCTGGGCATGCTGTGCGTTGACTGAGACTGCAAGGCCAAGTCCTTTCAAGCCTCCGCCACACAGGACAGTACCCTCATTGCACGCTCGAACCCTCAACCCAGGATGCATTCCAAGAACCTGTTCACGCTCAGCTGAGGTGAAGCCAAGCAGGTCGGCCATCTTGTGCAGAATCCTGGGCCGGAAAGCCAAATCCTAGCCTTGGCTTATCCCGAAGTCATACAATGTGTTTTCAACCCCCCAGGGTGTCACGAAAAGTCGTCGAAAGAACTAGGCCTCCAACCATGGCATCATGGGTTCGGCTGCAAAGCTTCCGAAAAGACTCAACACCCCATGAGGCTGCTGCAAAGTGTGTGCACATGCATGCAGATGAGGAGCTCTTGCTGCGGGCCCGGATTCTCCCGCTGCTCCAAGTAGGCTGCCAGCATCTGAGTGACCATGCGCTTGTCCACGAGGAAGGGGCGCTCACGACTCTCCTCAAGACAAGCGTGGGCACAGATATTTGAAGCTATTTTGGGGGTTTCGGCATTCCGCGGTGTAGGGGCCGTGAATAGCATGCGCAGCAAAGATGTCGTATCAATGTACTCATAGTTCTGGTCACGTGTGCCTTGATAGTCGTGCGGACTTTCTGACATTTGCCCTCACTTGCCCCCGCTGTGATCAAGTACACTGCACCTGCTCTTCCAGGGCAGTCGACTTAATCGACTTCTAAACCATTCCGCAGTAAGCAGGACACTCTCCCAAGCTCAGTTTCATGTTGACTTAGACTTAGACCAAGTAAAGCAGCGCACCTGTGAAACATGCTTGTAGCATGCATCCAAAGAACCAAAATCAACCCCAGAAGCGCGCACCAGCACCCAAACCAGGCCCAAATCACCAAGAACGTTTGCAAGGTCCAGTCTTGACCTCTTAGGTCCTGTATCCTTAGATACCGAGCTTTCCGAACTTAACCCTCCAGTGCCCCCCAGCCAGTTAAAGCACGACATGCAAAAGCCCAGGCGCCGCTTCCATCTTCGAAAGGCACCGCTCCACCACGGCGTTCAGGGACTTGAGCTCCTCCCGCATTAGGGGGGGGGGTGACCGCGAGGAAAGAAGGAATTCAATTCAGCACAAGCAAGGCTTCAGGTCGACTTAACAGACTTAACAATATCAGTCGGAGATGCCGGCGAGGCTTCGCGGTCAGTTGTAGTTTTTTTGACTTAGGAATAGTGCCACTCTCACTACCCGGGCTACAATAAAGCCACATTCTTGTCATCCCACGAGAGCTCTTGCCAGGCGGCGGCACGCTTTACGCTTACGCTTGGGCAGTTGGCCTCCTTGCTCATTGCCAGCTCCTGCTGCAGCTTTTCCTGAGCGCGCTGATCACTACTCAACTCCCTATATGAGTCCATGTTTATAGGCTCAAAAGACTTATCAGAACCAACCCCCCCCCCCCCCCCCCCCCCCCCCCCCCCCCCCCCCCCCCCCCCCCCCCCCCCCCCCCCCCCCCCCCCCCCCGTCATTAACAAATTGGAACAACCCGTAGTGAGCTCTGGACATCCCTGAACTTAGCTCACTAGCTCCAAGCCCCAACCTCAAATTAGGGTTCAAGTCTCGTTCTCGGTAGACAGCGCTCGGCCGGCATCTGCTACCTGAGAGTTCTCCTGTTCAGGAGCTCAAGGTTCTTTTTGGGTTCCTCTTGCGGGCATCTCAGGGTGACTTGCAAATCTTCTTCAGTCGCAGTCGGCGTCACAGGCTCCAGAAGCTACTCTGCTCGGATATCGGCCCAGCAGGTCTTGGCACCCCGTCCTGACTCTTCTGCATGAGCTCCTGGGCAATTCTAATATCCGAAAGCTAGGGTTAGGGTTTAGGGTTTCAGGGTTTCAGGGTTTCAGGGTTTAGGGCTCAGGGTTTAGGGTTTAGGTTTTAGGGTTTGGGGTTTGGGGTTTAGGGAGGGGGGGGGGGCAAACCCTACGGCCCAGGATTTGCGCAGCCTGAAGGTCAAACCCTCCCGATCATGATGAGCCCTTCAGCACCTATAGGACCTAGCCCTCCTAAACCCTTCTCGAACGTCTGAGTCGCATGTGGGCTGACATTGGGGCTGGCCCTGGGCGAGCCCTCAACACTAAACCCTCAACCCTAAAACCCTAAAACCCTAAAACCCTGAACCCTAAACCCTAAACCCCTGCGCAAGGGTGTCTCCTGGAGCTTCTGGTGCGCCTCGTTTCGCTCGCGGCGCAGCATGGCGCACTCCTTGCTGCGCTCCAGCAGCTCGGACTCCAGATGCCCTGCCTCGTGTTCTGAGAACAAGAAGCATAAGTCCTTGTGACTCTTTTGAGGACGTCAGCACAAAGACTCAGACTCTAAGCATCTCAGCCAATCCCAAACTGCGACCTCCCACATCTGCCACTCTTTTGAGCTCGCCTCGGATGCTCCAGTCTCCTGGGTTGACTCCAGATCGCCCTGGCATTGGCAAGTGTTGGCAAGGTCTGGGGTAGAGAAGAGATGCCCACATTTGAAGACGGATGTGATCATTCAGAGGTTCAGGGAGCAAGAAGGGGTTTCCAAAATTAGTGGTACATTATTGGGGTCCCCATTTTCAGGGAGTCCGTCTGTTGGGGGGTCTTTTTTAGGGGTCCCCCTTAGTTTCGGAAACCCCCTCTTGATGGCTGAGTTCAACTCCGGGGCTTCCCGTGCCTGGAGGCGCTGGATTGCTGCGGCATCTGCTGCACGTTGGCGTTGCAGATCCGTTAGGGCCTTTTGTAGGCTGGAATGCTGCTTGCTCTGTATGTTATGGCTCTTTCGGACTTGTACGACTTGATGAACCAAGACATCTAGAGCACCCATTCCCTTGTACCCAGTTATCCGCACCTGGCTCCGCTGCTCCAGCTGCAGCTCTGCCTCTTTGGGCGTGAGGAGTTCGCTGCGAGAAGGTGAACTTGGGTTTCGACTCTCGCACTCGCTGAAGTTTAGGTTTGGGGGGATGGGGGAGCGGCTATAAGGGTGTTGTCAACTCTGTGCTCTCAGAACTCGGATTGTTCGAGAATCCTTAAGATTCCTTAAGTTCCGGGAACTGGTTTTGGGTGCTTCGCAAGCCGTGGGCTTGCATACAAAGAAGCCGGCTGGGCCTTTGAGGCGTCAAACTATCCAAAATGAAAACCTGATACCCATGAGCAAGAGTGCCGCGAGAAAAGGGGCCAGACGAGACCATCCCCAATCCAATGGACACCTTCTCCAATCCTAAGCTTGAAGGAGACCACCTATAGAAATATATAAGTATAAAAACACATACATAAACAAACAAACAAATTGTGCATTTATATGTTCTGTATCTATTCACCTAAATCAAATTCTGTATGATTCTTCATGCTTTATGGCGGACTCTAGCGTGCTGCCTCTTTCAGCTTCGCCTCCAGCTCGTTGCTTGCCTTACGCTGGCGTTCGGGCTTGCGGAGTTGCACCTGGACCCTGAAATGCTGCGGGGTCCTGGAAATGCTGACTGGCTCGTATTCAACCCCTAAACTCTTCCCAGTTATCCAAAGACAACAAAATGCCCAAAGCAAAATTCACCGCATCAACCAAACCCGACACATGGAACTAGAGCCGCACATTTTGCATGAATGGACCAGAGCAGCTCTTGTCTAACTGTATAATATTACGTGCCACTTGCTTGCCTGTTGCAACCGTCCGCCTTCAACCATTCCCTTGCAAGCCCTCGAAAGGCCCCACTGGTCCCGGAAGCCTCTTCAAACGGCTGCAACCGCCGGACTTCGAGCTGCAGGCGCTCCACCTCCAGAATCAGCACGCTTGGTTCACTGGACCCCGCAATCCCACATCCTGCTGTTCCCTGAGGCCCTGAGGCACCGCAAGGCCCAAAGCCTGGGGCTGACAGCACACCCCCACACAACGATGAGCAAATGAAACGAACTTTTCCAGGATCCTCAAAGGACCCTTGCACAAGGGACCCGGCGACCCGGCGCGCGGAGCCTCTACCAATCTCTGACGAAGGCCCTCCGACTCCGCATTGAGATTCTGGTGGGCCTCCCAGACTCTGAAGTGGTGCAGCACTCGACTTGTCTATGTTCAACGAACAGTAACACGCCGTGGGCTGTGACCAAGGAACGGCGGGACCCGATTCCAAAACGACTGTGCGTCATGCGTGCAACTTAGGAAGCTGGCCGGTGCGAGCATTGTCATATGAGTGGGCGGGAAGGGTTTTCGATGGCCAGAGTGACTCGAACCGGAAGCTACGTGGCCAGTGCAGGACAACTTCTGCACCTGCATGGTTCTCGCTTTTGGACAATCTAACGTCTGCTGAACAGTTCAGACTGCCACGTAGCATTCGTGGGCTTGCCTGGCATGCACAGACTACTACCATCAGTGACCTCACGCCAAGAACAAAAGGTTCATGCTGCTGACGATCATTGTGCGCACATACTGTTGGCTAAGCGTTCGAGTTGACTTGCACTTGACGCGCTCACTCTGCACTCTGCAATGCGGAGGGTGCTGGAACCATCCACAAGAGGCTTCTCTCGCTCTCTCTTCCTTCCTTCCTTCCTTCCTTCCTTCCTTCCTTCCTTCCTTCCTTCCTTCCTTCCTTCCTTCCTTCCTTCCTTCCTTCCTTCCTTCCTTCCTTCCTTCCCCTTCCTGCCTTCCTTCCTTCCTCCCTTCCTTCCTTCTTGCCCTCCCTCCTTCCTTCCTTCCTTCCTTCCTCCTTCCTTCCTCCTTCCTTCCTTCCTCTTTCCTTCCTTCCTTCCTTCCGCCTTTCCTTCCTTCCGCCTTTCCTTCCTTCCTTCCTTCCTTCCTTCCTTTCCTTTCCTTCCTTCCTTCCTCCTCCTTCCTTCCTTGCCTTCCTTCCTTCCTTCCTCTTCCTTCCTTCCTTCCTTCCTTCCTTCCTCCTTCCTTCCTTCCTTGCCTTCCTTCCTTCCTTCCTTTCCTTCCTTCCCCTTCCTTCCTTCCTTCCTTCCTATCCTTCCTTCCTTCCTTCCTTCCTTCCTTCCTTCCTTCCTTCCTTCCTCTCTCTCCACACGCTTAGCCCCCCCCGAAGGGAGAGCTGCCCCGGAGGGCGCGCACGTCCCAGGTGTCATGCGAGACGGCCGCGTTTTCGCGGCCCGGCTGGGGTGGGGTTTCTGTCACGACATGGGGCGTTACCAGGCGAGCAGTTGGGCCCTCTGTGCCCCCAGCAAAAGGTTTCCTGTCCCTCTTTGGGGTGAAAATCTGTTAGTCGCTGCTGGCCCCCTCATGTGTACGTCTTCTTCTTGAATCCACGCTTTCTGGTAATTGGTGTTGTCGGCGTTGTAGTCCCCATCCTCTCGGCTTCTTTCCTCCTCCCCGGTCTTCTTCTTCCGACTGCGATGACGTGAACTCCTCCGTGGGTTCCCTGGAGTGCGTGTGGTCTTGCAGGTGAGGTGGGGGTGGAGAGTGTGTGTGCTGTGGGTACGGGTGCGGTGTGCCGACGGGCGGTTCGTCTGGGGCGTTGGGGAAAGGTTGGCATGTTCCAGCTGGCCGTGCCTGTGTTGTGGGTGGGGGCGGATCCCATGGAACGGTCTCCTGCGTGCCTCCTCCTGCACCCTCCCTCGCCTGCTCTGTGTTTGTGTCGCGTCCGCCCCCGGCCCTCCCCTTCCTCTCTCTCTCTCTCTCTCTCTCTCTCTCTGCCGTTGCGTGCTATCTTGAAAAGCTACATCCTTCTTTGGGGTTCTGATTTAGGCAGTTTGGCAAACCCTGGGATCTTGCATTGACCCGGCGCCTGCTGCCACTGAGCGTTCATTCGCAGGAGCTGAGCGACCTGACCCTCCAGCCCAGCTTTCTGCTGGTGGTCCGTGGTGAGATTCCTGAGATGTCTTTGCAGTGAGGCCCTTCAACATGGCACCTGTAGAATCCCCTTGAGTGACTGCAAGCGAGGCTCTGACACGCCTCCCTTAACGTCTCCACCTGCTTGGTGAGATTGTTGCAGTGCTCCTGGTATGAGATGGCAATTTGCCTCTGTTCTTCCTTTTGACGTGCCTCCTCTTGGTAGGAGTTCTGTAACATCTGGTATTGCTCCGTGCTTTGGCTTGCTCTGCTTGCTGCCTCAGCGAGCTGCTGCTCGAGGTGTCGGACCTGTTGCACAAGTGCTTCACGTTCAGCAGTCAGGCGGGCTGCTTCTTCGGCTTGTGGCTGAGCTGCATCTCCGTTCGGCACCTGGATGTCTGTGGGGGACAGAGCCATCTTACACAAGCGCCGTCCTTCTTTGTAGCTGCAGAACCTTACCGAAGCCTATGTAGGGATATCTGAAGTAGCAGCGAAAGCTTGGACTGCGAAGTCTCAAGTCAAACGACACAGGTACAGCACTACCAGAGCAACTAAAAACTATGACTGCGCAGAACTCACCCGAACTTATTGTCTGAGTGTATTGCACGAATGCAGGATGAGAAACTACTTGATTCTGTATGGGCGTGGACAGCTCCGGGATTTTGTAAATCACGAAACCTGTTCCGGAAGTCGGTCCAGACGTAGGTGCTGCTTTCTTTTGGGTGGAGGGGATAGAAGAAGGGGGGCGGATGTAGAGTCAACTAGCAAAGTGGTGCACAAGTTTCATGCGGTTGCCGCAAGGTGCTTTCGGGCCACCAGATTTGCACCAGTTGCATCTTCATGTGTTCGACCTTTTTCAATATGGGGGTCTACGAAAAGAGGGATTCCCTTACAGGGCGGGACCTGTCCCGACGTGGGCTCACGAAATGCCTCCGCTTGGCTTTGGCTACTTTTGAGTTTCTTTCTTGCGGCTTTTTGCTTTTCAGAATTTATGCCATGTCGCTCAACATTCTGTCGGCTTTGTTGTGTTTGGTCTGCGTCCTTTGCCCACGCGTCATCGAGCTATTTCGGTGTTGTTGTTTGAAGTTTGGTATTGCTGAATGTCTGGTTCCGAGTCAGGTCTCTTGATTCCATTCTTTGTGCTTCCTACCTTCATTTTACCTTTTCTCCTTGCCATTGGCATTCAACAGGCGTCTTTCCCGCTTCCGACGTCAAGCCTTCAAGCATGATGATCCTACCACAGTCTCCTTATAGCACCTTGTTAAGACGTGATCCTTCTTTTGGCTACGCAGAGAAACCGAGCTCCGAGCGCCCTGATGGGAGTTGTCCGCGCTTTGGCGAGCAGCGATCTGTGCTTCGAGCTCTTTTGCTAGGGATGAGCACTGCTCTTGCAGTGTTGCTACGAGATGCTTCTGTTCCTCCTTTTGCCTTGCCTCCTCCTGCAGCGATGATGCGAGCTTTTGCTGGTCCTCCACGTTTCGGCTGACGGCACTGGAAGCATCCGCCAGCTGCTTCTCAAGGTGCTGCACTTGCTGTGCCAGGGCATCGCGTTCTGTCGACAACCGTGTGGCCTCCCGAGCGGTGAGTCTACAGCAAGGGTGCTTGAAGCTCTACCTAGGTCTGCACAACTACAACTCAGCTCAACAGAAACCATCGCGTACAGTAAAACCACTGTTAGCTCAAATTTTAACTGGGTGCATGGGTTCATTGGAACTAAGAAACTTAAGATACTCTAGTGACGGAAAACCGTTTTCTTATACAACGTTTTTTTACTGTAGCTCAGGAAGAAGACGGCTCACAGTACTGTACGGGTTGCTTTTATTCTCCTATGGCCCCGCCTCCTCCTGCAGCGATGATGCAAGCTTTTGCCGGTCCTCCACGTTTCGGCTGACGGCACTGGAAGCATCCGCCAGCTGCTTCTCAAGGTGCTGCACTTGCTGTGCCAGGGCATCGCGTTCTGTCGACAAGCGGGTGGCCTCCCGAGTGGTGAGTCTACAGCAAGGGTGCTTGAAGCTCTACCTAGGTCTGCACAACTACTAGTACAACTCACTTCAAGAGCCGCAAGCTCTTCTGCACGTACTTGTAACTCAGAAAGACCACGGCTTGCAGTGTTGTACTGGTTGCTTCTATTCATCCTTTTGCCCCGCCTCCTGCTGCAGCGATGCTTGCACCCGTTGCTGGTCGTCCATGTCTCGGCTGACGGCGCTGGAAGCATCCGCTAGTTGCTTCTCAAGCTGCTGCACTTGCTGTGCCAGCGCATCGCGTTCTGATGACACGCGGGTGGCCTCTCGAGGGCAAGGTGAGGGTGCTAGCTAGGTCTGCACAGCTACAAACTACATTTGAAGGAAGCAAACCGTTTCTGCAGTTGCCTGTGGCACTTGAAGCTGCAGCCAGGCTTGCACGGTTGTAAGCCAGTTTTCCCATTCCGTGGCTACCGTTGAGGTGTAAATCTTGAACATCTAGCACAAAACAGAAGCAAATCACTGACGACACAAGCCGAATCATGCACGATGTGCATGTGGCCTTTCCTCTGGCCTTCACAAGGCAAAGGCCACTTCCGGATTGCGCATGTCAAGCTGCTCATCTCACACCCTTCCTTGCATCATAAAAACCAGAAACAAATCACAGGCCAGACAGCCGATATGCCGATTCCGCCCCTTTCTGCCTTTCGCAATTCAGAGCCGCATGACAGAGGACACAACTTCTCACATTTCGCCTTGTTCCTGCCTTCACGAACAAGAAACGATGCAACAAATAAATCCGCCGAGGCCTCGGGCCGGAGGTGTATAGGTTGTCAGAACAGGCACCCCCCTCCAAATCCCCCCACACCCAAAGCCCTTTTTCGGACGCCTTTTTTTGGCCTCAAATGGGTACCCCCCAAGCGGACGGTTCGCCAGGACCAGAGGCAGTTGCAAAGCCTTTTTGGCAGGGCCCCCCGCCCCCCCCCCCCCCCACCCCCCCCCCACCCCCCCCCCCCACCCCCCCCCCCACCCCCCCCCCTTCCCCCCCCCCCCCCCCCCCCCTCCCCCCACCCCACCCCCCCCACCCCGCCCTCCCCTCCCCCCCACCCTGCCGAAGAGTCGCCTTAAACCTTAAGGTGTCTGGCTCAACCCTACGATCACTCCAAGCCGAACCCTAAACCCAAAAAAACCCTCAACCCCAAAGCGTGAACCTTGAGCCCCAACCCCAAACCCCAAACCATAAACCATAAACCCGGAACCAACCCTTATTGCTTGGGGTCCAGCGACTTGGGCGCTGCGGAATCACCATGCTCACGCGGATGCGCTGGGCCGGGCCGAGGCGGGTCGCGTAGCGTTAAAATTACAAATGAGACCAGTCCACATGTCAACTGCGCCCGCGTTGCCTTCACGCCGCAGAAAGTATTTCAGATCGCATCAGCCTTGCTTACCGCCTTTACATAGTGCTGCTCAGTATAACCTACCCGGGAGGAGGCATATGACGGGCAGACCTCGAAACTCCAACCGCGCGGTAAGCCTGAACCCTCCACCTCGTATCTCCAAAACGAACACAACGAAAACCAATCTAAATATAACAAACAGTCCTAAATAAACAACTAGACCTCCGTTGCTTTCTGCCGGAAGAATGTGTTCGCCCCGCCTCCTCCTGCAGCGACGATGCAAGCTTTTGCTGGTCCTCCACGTTTCGGCTGACGGCGCCGGCAGCATCTGCCAGTTGCTTCTCAAGCAGCTGCACTTGCTGGGCCAGTGCGTCGCGCTCTGCTGACAAGCGCGCGGCCTCCTGGGTCCGTATAAAACTGTCGAGCTTCCAAAGTCGATGCGGCCTTAATTGGCTCTCCTTAACATCTCTACTCTCGCCCCTGAACAGTGCCCGACCCGTCCTCCTGAACATTGGCAGCACTATGGCCAGCTTCGCTCAGCGCGTCAACCTGCTTGGTGAGGGAAGCGCACTGCTCCTGATATGACAAAGCGAGTTGCCGCTGCTCCTCCTTCTGGCGGGCTTCTTCCTGATATTGCTCTGCAGTGTGTCTGGCCAAACTGCTCGCTTCTTTCAGTTGCGTCTCCAGCTGCTGGACTTTCTGGGTGTGAGCCTCGTGCTCGGCGGCCAGCTCACTTGTCCGCGTTGCGTCCCCATTAGGCACAGCTGGAGGTGCCTGGTACAAAAAAGGGCCCTCTTGTCCCAAAAAAGTAAACTGTGCGGCACATTCTCTGCCAAGTCTTACTGTGTCAATGCAACTTATATATGGTCCAGAACCAGGTGCAGGAATTCAAAACAACAACGTCCGAAACCCGTCCTCTGTCTTGAGGGCTTCGACTTGCTTCTCTAAAGCGGCGCACTTCTCCTGCAGAGCCACGGCCAACTGCTTCTGTTCCTCCTTTTGCCGTGCCTCCTCCTGAAGCGACTCCTGTAGCCTTTGCTGGTCCTCCATGTTTTGGCTGGCGGCGCTGGAAGCTAAAGCAGAAGCATCCGCCAGTTGCTTCTCCAGCTGCTGCACTTGCTGGGCCAGTGCGTCGCGGTCTGCTGACAAGCGTGCGGCCTCTCAAACTACATCAGCCAAGGCGTGGATACACTTTTCTATCTCTCTCTCCTCTTCTTCTTCTGCTACTTAGGGAACCTGAAAGTCCTGTCCTTCTTTGAAACTCCCCCCAGGAGGCTGGTTCTTGTTGTGTGAGGTTTCCCTGTGCATTCTATTACAACCCTTGTGTCTCTCTCTTCTTTGTCTGCCGTACCCGTGAATGGCCTTCAATTCACATTTGATGTGCTTAGCTGCAATGGCTCCCGACTACCAAACCAGCATAGAAGGGTTGATTGGGCTCGGGAAAACGCGCCCCAGCCTGCGAGTCCTCGCTTTGAGCTTCCTGAAGCATCGCAACCTGTTGCGTAAGAGACGCGCACTTCTCCTGGTATGATGCGGCAAGCTGCCTTTGCTCCTCCTTTTGGCGAGATTCCTCTTGGCAGGAGCTCTGCAGCTTTTGGTACTGCTCTGCGCTCCACTTGGCTTCGCTTGCTGCGTCTGCAAGTTGCTTTTGAAGCTGGCCCACTTGCTGCGACAAGGCTTCGTGTTCTGCCAGCAGAGTGGGGTCTTTACTCGCTGCTTCTGCACCTGCGTCGTCGCTGGTAGTCAAAGCTGCCAGTGCCTGCTCAGGGTCGGCACAGCCTTCACCAGGCTCTTATATATAGACTCCTTCCTGATTAAGTGTTGAGAATACGCGGATTACGTCTTCAATTTTCAGAGCTTCTCGCTACTTTTCCGCTATTCAGGGTTCAGGGGTGACTGAGAATGCCTAAAGCCGCAGCTACTTAACTGTTCACCTTGACCCTCATTCTGCTAAACCCTGCAGCTAAACCCAAAGATGAAGAGCCAATCCAAATTTGAGAGGCCCAGTGCCAGACTCTTCTGGTGTAGCCCTGATTCGCCCCCAAGAAGCCTAACCAGCTCCAAGCCCGAGGATTTTGAACTCACCCCGAACCAAACCTCCCGCAAAGGCTCTAAAACTGGGAGAGCCACGGGCCTTGCTTCCGAAACCGATGCCTGCACTGCTCACCTTGCTGCCAAGCTCCAAGCCCTGGCGGTTGCTACGAACCGCTCAGCAGGGATCCCTCCATGTCTCAGACGGGCCAAGGCCGAACCAAGCAGTAAGCATCGCACCCCAACACCACCCCACCGCCCCCCCTGCTTCTGAGAATTCTGGGCTTCAAGGGCCCACAAGCTCAGGATGCTACTGGGTAGGATGTCCAAAAAAGTCTTCTGAACATGAAGGTGACGCCGGGCTTGCAGGTGTAATGTGGTGCAGTCTGGTGCAACTATCCTCGAAATCTTACGGGAGCATCCTCTCAGCATCTAGATGTCTTCATCTTGTCAGTTCAGAATGCTCCGGGTCTCCTACCTGGGTTGGAGACTTTGGATGTGGATATTTAAGTAGCCGTGATCATGATCATGCGAGGGATAATGCTGAATGTTCAACCGTTTCTCGTGCAAGACCCAAAGTCCACAAATGTGCGAAATAGCAGGTTCAAGACATGAGGGTCCCTGTATGATGCAGGCATATTGAGGGCGCTTCATAATGGTGGAATTCAGATGCCGACCTTGGTCCCGATCTCCAGGCCAGCGCTGCCAACTTTTCCCAGATCAAAGCCCTGCCTGGGTGAGCCATGTTTGCTGTCAAACTAGACTGAAAAAATACAAGGATCATGCCTGCGTAGACGCAGACAGCGCAAGACCCCTTCGAGGACCTTTCAGGAGCACTCAAAGGCCCAAAAGCGACGATTGTTCTGCACATCTTCTGCAACATCGCGAAAGACAAATCGCCCAGACCGGACGAACAACACGAATCCATTCCAAGAACCAGAGAGCCAGAGAGCAGGAAAGTATGCGTTTGTCATGTTTGTGACACGAAGTCAGTGAAGCCTCAAACAGACAACGGAACGGAACGTCCACGGGAACTGGGCTACTTGGTTTTTGCAAGATTTAAGCCAAAGCCACCCGGATGTGAGAGCCGCGCGTCACAGCGTGGCCACAAGCAATCAGAATGCAAGAGCTGCAGGTGCCCTAAACCCCTGCTTCTTTGCATTGGGGCATTCCTAAACCCTCAACCCAGCTGTACCTTGACCTCTGATTGCGCTTCCATCTTTGCTCTGGCTCCAAAGTACTTCCTGTTCTTCCTAGAATGAAAAGTAGAGCAGCAAGAGGAAGGTGACACCTGGACTCACAGGTCCAAGAAGCTCCATGACACTCCCACCCAGGCTGCGCATGGTGCTGCCAAGACCAGACATGAATGACGCTGCCGCCGGCTCCTCCGCTGGAGCTGCCACGAACTGCTAACCACTAACCACTATAACTCCTAACGACGAACGATTAACCACTAAGTACGAACTACCGACGACTAATTTCTCACCACGAACTACGAACTGCCAACTACTACCTACTAACTCGAACTACGAACTACGAACTACTAACTGCGAACTGACTAACACGACTTGCCGCGACTTACGGCTCGCACTTCCCTTGCAGCAGACCTCATCAACCGCAGTGGGGCGCTCGAAGGTCATCAGCACCGGCCTGGGGCCGAGCTTCCTGGGCTGCGGTACTTGCATCAACAAGGAAAGATGTGGGGTATCCAAGGTAGACTTGTGCTTGGGCGAGCGGAGGGAGGTTACCGAACAAAGGCGAGCAGTGTGATCTTCAAGAGGAATCAATAGCATCAACCCCGCCTTCTTGTCTGGCAACTGACCCCAAACCCAAGTCCTGACCGCTTGCCCGAATGCCACCCGAAAACATATCAAGCAGAACATCTGACTCTGCATGACACGGCTCCCATACTCCCCTTAGAACCTCAACAAAAATACTATGTTTGATATCCGTTTGGGTTTTATATGAACAAAAACTACAAAAAATAATTCCCAAGGGGGATATAGGCTCTTCACCAAGTCATCCCAGGCCAGCTTTGTCACGTCTACGCCGCCGACAAGGATGAGCTGATCCTCAGCTGGCGCGGGCTTTTTTTCGCCCAGAGTTTCAGCTCCATGGCCCCCTTGAAGGCATTCTGTGGCATGCAGTTCTGAACATGAGGATCTATGCCGGTCCTTGTTTGGCATATTTTGGGCATGTCTCCATGAGTCTGCACACTATGGCATGCCCTTCCTTCTTTTGCCTGAAACAAATGAAAAAATAGCGGGGCCCTTGTTTAGAGAACTGCCCAGAACGTGGCAAGGAGAGGCGTCCTCTATATGGCTCCTGGAGCCCAGGCCTCGAAACCGACCTCCGGACCTCACAACATCGAGAATCAAGGTTTGGAGCGGCTTAGGGTTCCAACAGAGGTTTATGAGCTTAGTTTAGACAGTTTACTCCGAAGCCCTGGTGCCCTTTTGCATCAAACTGGCGCGGGCCAAGCATCCCCCTTCTGCAGGTCCTTGCCGTAAGCCAAGCCAGTACTGTGAACCTGCGCAGTCGGCTCTTTAGGCACTCGCCTCGCCTGACTGTAACATCGCACTGCAGAGTATTGACGGCAATATCGGCATCCATCTCAGTAAAACTCTTGCCCTGGTTCACTTTGCCCTTCACCTCTTTAGGCTGTTTAGGCTCTAGGGATTATAAAGTTTCGGGTTTAGGGGACCTTTTCGCCGCGAAACTCCAAACTCGAAACTGTCGTGCAGGCGAAAGAAAAAAGGACCTCAAGCATTCCCCGGCCAAACCCTTCGCCCCTTAAGGTCGGCCGGTTCGTGCACATTCATCTCAGATCCTGCGTCTTGATATGGAAACATCTAGAATGCTGGCATATCGGGGGGGGCACAAAGAGGCCCACACCTTCCGTACCTGCCAAGGATTGTGTCTCTTGCGAACGAGCGAGGACGAAGTCGTGACGTCTCCCTCCAAGCTCGCCTGTTCAATGATGAAGGGCGCGGCAAGCTCCTTGAACTCGATGCCCAGGGACCCCGTCCTGACTTCCGCAGGATGTTCTGGGGTAGTGAGCCAGGAATGTGCACACTTAGAACTTGTGAATGACCAAGTCTCTGCTCGAAGACCAGGTCTATCCTCGGTAAGAAACGGCACGAGCGTCTGTACGATAGACAGCAAGCTAGCAAGCTGGCACTATTGAAGGTAGTGTCACGGGCTGGAACGGCCTCTATGTAGGCATCTACGACCTGCAGCTGCTGCGTGTTCCGCCTCAATCTGGAGCCTCTGCTTTGGGTTGTGTGGTATCTCTCGTTTCCGCACACGAATCACAGCTCCGTCGGGTTCCCCCTCTGACCTTCACAAGTCCTTCCCACATTGCCTGAGGTGTGGCAAAGATGCAAATGAAAACTTGCGCACCAGGCTGCCGCTGCAACGGAGGAGGCGGCGGGGCCTCCACACGTGTCATCGTCTTATGTATATTTATACTCATAATATCAAACAAGTTAGTAGTATTAATACTGATAATATAAATAATTATAGTATTAATGAGTCATGTAAAGCCCTAAGCCCTCCATCGCCAGCTAAATGCCCAGGAGGCCTAATCCAGTTGCATCGCATCACGTGTGGCCCCTTCGTGATCTCGGCTGCCGCTGTCGCTGATGGTATTCATGTACCGCAAAGCTTGGCACCCGGGTTTCTTCCTTTCAACCCCAAACACAGTTTCCCTCTATATGTCAATATGATATTCACTATGACGATGATTCACCAACATGAAAATCCAGTCGCAGAAACAAAGTCTCTAGGTCGTTCATTCCCGCTCATGATGCGGGTAGAAGATGCTCCCAACCTCGCAACTCTGGTCACCTTGAACTGAATCATTGCACGTCTTTCACAACCGGGTGCACAGACTATCCTGAACTCCCGAAGCCCAAACTGCAAACCCCTGAACAAAAACACACGCTGATGTCGCGCCTCGCCGAGCCGCGGCAGCGGCTCCGGAAGTGCTTCGGGTGCTTCAGGGGCTGCCGAGGGCTGCACCAGGGGCGAGTCGTGATCAAGCATCATGGCGCTCAAGGGTGCTCAAGGGCGCTAAGAACGTTTGACGGTTGAAGGGTGGCCCGTGCGGAGTTGAGGATTGAGGCCCCAAGCTTCTCGGAGGCTGCTGCCGCGCGAGGCTTTGCAAAAAGCTCGGGGTGGCTTAAGTGGTGACTGCTGTTGGAGTACTTGTGCAACACAAAGTGGAAACGCCCCATCCGCTTTCCATGGATGACTTATGCTGCTGGCCTGGTACCGCGGCGTCGCAAACGCAGAAAACTCGACCCTGAACCTCGCCCTTGCGTGTGCTGCCAGCCCGAGATTCATTTGGGACTGTAAATGGGGTTCGTGGAATCAGGACCTATGCAGTTCAGAACCACACATGGGCCTAGACCCTTAAGAGCTCTAAGGCCTTTTCTGGAGCTACGTTCCAAGTATGCCTGAAGCATATCAGTAGCAGCACCATGCTGTGCCCGAGGGCTGTGCCAAGATAGGAGAGGGCAAAAACCTTGGTGACGGAAGCTTTTGGGAGCTACGAGCTCAGTTGTTTCGAGCTTTGACCTTCTGGGATTCTGATTCTTGGGTGGTTTCGCCTAGTGTGGCTCAATGGCCCGAGCGTCAACCCTCAGCTTCAGTCACGGGGAAATTTTGTGGTGAGGTGGTATCCTGTCTAAGCATCTGTCATGTGCAACATCAGATGGTCTGCAAGAACAGACTAGCTTGCCTCAGGGTTCAAAGCAAAGGCGCCGTAGTCACCCGTAACTAGTAGAGGCCGCAGGGCACGTCCACCCTAAAGCCTCAAATGACGGCAGGCAAAGGGCGCTCTGGGATTTTTCTTCGCCAGCCCAGAGGCTGGGGCAGCCTTGATCTCTTCCAGGCGTAGCTCATGCCATATGCTGCAAGTTGGAGCACAGGATTTCTGCAGGCGGAACTCCTGCATAGCATGGAATGAAATTTACAGGCAGCCTTCAATTCTGCGAGGCTCAAAAAAACCTAAACTCGAGTCGAGGCTTACCTTTCTTCTCTGTTTCTTTCTCCCCAAGAAGCCCTACAAAAATCAGCACTACTAAAGGGGCCTTTCGGGCCCGATAAAGATGGGATAGATATCATTGGTGTCTTTGTGAGCCTCTCTTTATTCTTGTCTTTTTATGGGCTCACGATACCATTAATACTACGGGAATGAAGTGAGCGCAAAAAGCCACATAAAATGAATGAATGTGCTGGTCTGTTAGCTCTTATTCTTGATGTTCTATTATGGTAATAAACTTCCAAAAACCCACGGAGGGACACCCTAAGAAGATACAATGTACCTTGCTGGTGTGCACAGAAGACATGCAGGATAAGTGTGCACGTCGCAATGAATAAAAATCGTAGAAAAAGGCGAATATGCTGACTTGCTATCTTGGAGGTTTATGTGGCAAGTTTGGGTAAACAGTAGATGTTGACCAAGCACCCCCTCATAGGGGAATTCAGAGGTTCCTTCACTGCGGTCCCCACTGCCTGAATCTTTGGCACTATGCTCCATCTTGTGACGCAGATGTTTCAGCACCTGTGTCATTCGACCACGTGAAGTACGTAAAAAACAGTGTCTGCAGAGACCGAGCTTCCGGCACGGCCGGACATGCGACGAGCCTGCTGTCGTTGACTGTACAGGGCTTCCCCGTCTGCTCTCTACAACGTGACGGGCCTCTTCTGCGGTGAAGTACAACTGCGATTTCGGCGCGAAACATTGGTTGTTATTGCCATGCCTTGGCCGCCCTTCACTGAGACAGAGATGGGCACGGGCACTGCGCAGTGTGGCTCATGCGCCACTGCGCTCTGCAAGATTGCAGGGCCTTTGTTGGAGTTTCATCTTGGACCCTAGAACACCAACCTGCTTACAGTCACATGGTCGCCACTAACAAGGTCGGCAATTCGAGCTAAGAGAGAACTTCACGATACCTTGTGGAAATCGCTATGGAGGGGTCCAGCATCAGGGTTCTGTCTTTCGGGTTATGGAGGGATTGCCTTAGGCTTTAAGCAAAGCCCGGAACCACATCAGAATATTCACCCCAAACTGTTTGCCATCAGATCTACATTGAAACGATGCGAAGACAATAAGTGCAAACCTGGGTTGTGAAGAGCTTGCAAGGCTCATTGTGTTTAGACTCAAGCCCAACATCTCAAAGCGAATTCGACAAGCACAGGCTTAGCCTGGTGCTTCCATTCGTACTAAGCTCTCAGATACTCAGGGCCTCGACAGCCGGGAGCTCGGAGCCCGAATGGACGAAAGGTGCATGAAGCCGATGGCTCTATGGCGCTTTATGGTTTTTTCGGCTGGTTTTCGGGCCTAGCGCATCACCGCACAAGCTCCGACTGCAAACGCAAACCAAGCTATTTGTTGATCTCAAGCCTGGCGATCCAGATTTGACTGAAGGGATGGGTTTGCTCATCCTTCGGGGAGGGCTCTCAAGACTTCGCAAGGCTAGAACGATTTAAGAAGTGCAGCGGGGCTTGTACCTGTCGTGCTTGAAGGGCCCTGTCCAGCCTGGTAAGCTCCAAAAAGCCAAGAAGCAACCCTAAACTCCTAAACCAACCTTGGTGGATGCCCGATGCGGCTGCTTAGGCCGCAAAACCCCACTTTCCTTGTCCTCAAAGCTTGCGCTTGCCGAGGCTGCTGCGACTGGCCATCAAGTGCTGGAAAGCAAATGTGGCCTTGCTCTCCGGCTTAATCGGATTCAGGCTCGCTTCAGGTGGCCTACCATAAGAAACCAAGACCAAGCTTCTCAGGCGTTTGTGCCGTCAAAAAGACTGGAAATCGCATGAATGAGCATTCGCTTGCACTGCTGTTAGACTCTGCCCGCCCAAAAATTCTGATGCAGTGAACCCTCCAAACCCGGGAACGCCCCCGAATTCAAGGGCTGCTACCCCCCAATCATGATACTTCTGGCATGTTGCTGCAGGATGACTGTTGGGACATGTCAAGACACTTGGGGTCGAGAGGGGGGCAGGTTTGATGTGCTTTGGTCAGCAGGAGTGAAGCCAGGGACATCCCCTGATGAACTGCGCATGAGCGTGTATTGTAGAACAGTAGGGCTTAGTAGGATTCATGCACATCCCTGTGGAAAGTTTCGTGTCTCATTTCCGACCAGCGCTTGGGCCGCCACGGCTTGCTCCTCCGCAGGGTTCTTATCCTTGGCGTGACAATAACCATGAGTGATGAAGACGAACAGGTCCAGCTGCATTCCGACATCTGAACCCTGCGCACCCCGGCCAAAAAGCAAAAAAAGAACGCTAAGGCGATGAGCTCTTCGTGCACACCTTCTCTTCGGACTTATCTCCGGGACCACCCAGGCTTCGCTATTGTAAGGCTTATGGGATTTTCGGGTTTCAGGTTGTTCTGTGGACTGCACTGTCAGGGGCTTTGCCACTAGCCTAGCACTACTACCCCGTCCTGCAGGGAACCGGTCAACCCCCACCCCACACACAGAAAACAGGCACCCGCGCTGGATGAAAGCGGCCTCAATACAGCAGCTCAAAGAGGTGGGTTCCAGTGCTCTTTGGGCTAGGATTTCGGGGCTTCTGGTCCTGGAGTGGTGTAATCCTCATCTTAAGGCGGATTTCCGAGTAGATGTCTTGGTTCACGTCCTGATGCGACCGAGTGTGAGGTTTGCCTGGGATTTGGAGCAGAACCACCCTTAAAGTGCAGGCCTTCATGTTTTGTTTTTCCATCGTTGAGCTCCTCTGCTGCCATGATTCGAGCTATCGCATGTACCAGGACTCCAAGTCAAAACGTACATCTAAGTCTCGAGGCGACAAGCAGCTGTTCAACTTTTCCTTTGCCCCACGTCTGGTATTCTGGGGTGCCCGACGCTGCAGATCTTTAAAGACTCGCCGCCGCGCCTTGGGAAGCATCTTTTTTCTCTAGTCCTGCTCGGGTGTAGCTGGAACATACCTAGTGACTGGTGACCGTGGCCGATATGTGCTTACTTCAAGAACCCCCACCCCCCTCCTACCAGCCTCCCGAACTTCAATCAGAGCATGTGAGGCCCCAGATGGCCGTGCCAAAACCCGCTTACCCGCTTAGGAGGCCTCAAGGGGCCGATGTTTCGTCGAAGACATCTCTGCATCCATCCGAGCCTCAGCTCTTGAATGGGGGCTTTGCTTAGGAACACGACAACAGCTCAATGTAGGGTTGAGTAGAGCCTAGGGTAACCATCGGAAACCATGGGATCTGGTGAAGGTGTTCGTATTGCCGCGCCACTGGCTAGGCAACATCGTTGGCTGCTCAAATGCAAAGAGCAATAATTGCAGAACGCCATTCTTAGGCGCCCCACGATGAGTTCAGTCGTCCGCTCGGCGACGAGATCTACCTGGCTTATGACATAAATTGGCAGAAGCCCGCTGCAACATCTTGACCATTCATGGCCCCGCTAGTGGCCTTAATGTTGCAGGTGCGGCCCTGTCGATCAACTACTCAACGGGACTTCTGTCAAGCTCTTCCCTCTTGCAACCCACGTCATCTGCTGCGATTTTGGCTTGGAAGGCGCATTGTTCGGCCCCAGACACCAGCACAGCACTTAGAGAGAGCGAGAGTCGGCTGATTCGAAATGCTGCGCCTCTGGCTGTGGAAGCTCGTCGCTGCTCAGGGCGCCGACTTTGCTGTGACCTCAGCCGTTGCTTCAGATCAAGGGTTCTTGTGGCACTTCAGGGCTTCTTGTTGGGCAGCCTCTACTACTGCGGCAGCTAAGCGGCCGGAGAAAATCCCGGTGCCCCAGTTCCAGGCACGCCCGAAACCAGCCCCTGGTTCGCCGGGACCTGTGCCACAGTGACATCTCTGCAGTCGTTGCTACTTGTAGCAGGCCGATTTGTCGTCCAAGGGAATGAGTGCTAGGGGACCTCCAGAAGTTTGTGTTGTTGCGGGAAAGAAAGCTTGCTCTTGGCCCCCCTCCCTCTGCAAGTCGCAGCAGGTCAAGTGTGCCTGTTCTTCAACATGCGGGACCTTCCTGGCATCTCCAGCAACAAGGTCTTGACATGACCAGAACAAGATAACAATATGCCGCCCTGTAAGAGGTCCTTCACAGAATCTCACAGAGTTAGTGCCCTTTGTCGACCACGCCTATTCCCAAGGTTGTTTCAGATCCCGCCCAAGAGCCCACAACCTTGGTGAGTTGTATTCCTGCGACGGACCCTGTTCCTTTCACTAGGACAACGGTACCGGCTGAAACTTCAGACTGGCTGACGCAGTGGTCAAAGACCCCCGGTAAAAAAAGGAAGCTTGTGCATGCCACATCCCTGTCACAATGCCTCAGCTTCTCCCCCGCATGTTTTCCATAAACCGCAGCAGTCAACGGCCCATTGTGCCTTTTTTTTTGCCCACAGCTCCGAAAAAAGAAAATGAACCCGAAACCCACAAACAGAACGACTCTGAAGGAACTCGCCAAATTCTCACTCCTGCCTGGCTCTCCCTTACCATGGTCGGCTGGTGGGCTTTTCTGGGTGTGGCCAGGCACCGCGGTCTTTGAGGGCTTGGAGGGCCGGCGCTCCTGCAAACGAGGAACTGGCTGGTACCGTGCCATGGATGGTGTGAAGCCATGTCATGCAGTATAGGGCAGTCAAGAACATGATCTGCGTACGACGCTGAAAAACGGAGCAGCAGCGGAGCTGCCAAGATGGAAGTCTCTTTGTATTGCACTTCAGGGTAGCCTACCGGGTAGGTTGACCGGAGGCTATGGTAGAATGGTCCGCTTTCAAGCTCTACACTCAGCCGAGGTCCGAACCCCCACTCCCCCCAAAACCCGAAGAAGAAAAAAAAAACACGTTCACCGACGGGCTCCTCCGCTTGCTTCTGCCACGGGAAGATGGGACACCTCCAGGGCCGCCAAGCATTGGGCAAGTCCTGCATAAGCAAGCGACATTCTAGAAGGCTCTAGCTTTTTTTTTGCCCCCCGAGCCCTGGAAGCAAGACTTGGGCACAAACACCCCGCCTGACAACGAAAGGACCTCTGTGACATTGTGAAGCCTTTTGTATAGTCTACTCCTCTTAAGAGGCACCAAAAAACCAACAAAGTCTGCACCGCACCGCTACAGGCCTCCGCCACCCCATTTGCAAAAAAACCATCTGAAAAACACCGATACTATGATATGGGGGTTTCCGAAAACAGGGCTAGCGTTTTTGGGGTTCATCTACTACAAGTATGAGGCTAAGGAAAATAAAGGAGCATCGCCTGTTTGGGGAAATGCCGCAATGCCCATATACAAATACAGCCAGACAAACCTCAGGAGTCCTCGGTCGGCGCAGGCACCCCCCGTGCCGGCGGCGCCGCACGCGGCTTTGGTGGTTCCGGGGCTGCTCGCTCTTCCTCCTTTCGGGGGTGGGAAGGGGGGGGAGGCAGTTCTGAGCCGGGGGAAGAGGGGGGGAGACTTGTCAAATCCCGTGCCCTTTTGAGCTACAATGTCCACAGCTTCGATACAGTCGCAAGTCCCCTTCTGCACACCTCCTGGCACTGTCGCCGCAATCGCTCGGCGGCAAGCTCTGTCTTTTTCTTCTCCCAAGCCCATTCACTCCAGTCCTTGCTCGTGCGAGATCATGTGGAATGATATGGGAGCCCTCCGTACCCGTCGTTCTGAGGATGTACGCAAATCCGGGGGTCTTCAATTCCTGGCCTCCCTCCCCGTTGCTCTCTCTGCGTCAAAGATGCAAAGGAAGACCTCCAAGCCTGGAGCCTCAAAGCCCCGAACCTTTCCCTCTCAGCATCTGGGTGCCAAGGCTGGTGGCATGGGTGGAGGCGGCGGCTGCCTCGGCACAGGTTTTGGGGGCGGGGAGAAGCTTGGAAGAGGGATGCAAACGTCACTCGTGTCTTCTGGCTCAGCCCTGCAATATAGGCCCGGCGTGGATGTGAAGATCGCGGATTCTTCTGTCGCAAACGGCACGGGCTTGGGTTCAACAACTGTGGGCTAAAGCTCACTTCCTCAGGTCCGTGAGCACAGACAGTACTGAAAGCTTTCCTCATCTGTCACCCCTCGCCGCTGCCGCTCGTATTCAGAGGGCCCGGGGCTCGGCTCTCAGGTTTGGAGCTGCCTGCAGTGTCGCTCCTTTCTCACGGAAGCCCTCAGATGGAGCCTCTTTTGTCCAGGGCCCTTGTCGCCCGCTGTTTGGGGAGAGCTCGGAACTGCCAGAGTCCAGCATCTATCACGTCCCTGACATCTATGACGTGCATGAGCGCGCAGATAGGCAGATGCAGGCCACGGCCGCTAAGATCCGAAGAGTTCGGGCTCTAGCAGCCTGTCGAGGGTGCTGTGCACGACGCGGTTCACCGTGTCGGCCTCTGAACAGCAAACCTGCGGCAAGAGGTGCAGACCTGCCTGCCTCACAAGGATCTGACAGAAAGTCTGCTTAGTAGGAATGCATTTATGACTATGACTCTTACGCCGTGCAGTTATAGGAAATCGGGGCTTAGTGCCTGCTGCGTTTCTCCCACATCCGTCGGCAAACCTTGCGACGGAGATGGGCCCCTCAAAGCCCTGCAATGTGATATTCGAGGTTCCCGGTGCGCCTCATGGTAGGTAGCTCCGAATGAGTCTGCCGCAGCCTGTGCCTCCTCGCTGGAGACCACGATGTCTAGGTCTGAATGGGTTCCTGAGCAACCCGTAAGCCCATGCGGTCGTTCTCCATAATTAGCCTCCATATCCCTCGATCAAAGGAGGCCCCTGTTTTTGTGCAGTCGGAGGCAGGCATTACGCAGGTTTGCCGGATCTGTTGGGGGTGTCAGCATGTTCTCAGAATCTTAGGGGGACCTTAGCCTTAGCCATCCTTAGCCACATTGGCAGCTTTGGAGTTCGAGGTGTTCGACAGGCCTTCGGACCAAGGCTCCGACGATGACAAGGATCATCTCTTTGCGCCTGGAGCCCATGTTCTTCGCGTCGCGCACAAACTGGGACATGGCATCAAACGTCTTCCGCTCGGCGAGGTTGAAGAAGACCAAATACCTGACAAGATGGTTCATGAATGAGGCGTCTTTGAAGGCGCTTTTTCCGTCAAGTTGTGTGCCCAGACCAGAATATAGACAGTTTGAACCCAAGCGATGACAACCTTGCTAAGCTGCTATAGCTGCTAAGGCCTGCAAGCCCAGGCACGCATCTGCGTGGTTGCGGCAATGTGACATGGTGACTGTCCGGAAGCGCTCCTGCCCAGAAGTGTCCCACAGCTGCAGCCGAATGCGGCCAACATCTTCCTGAGCTTTGCAATACAAGGCGCGAGTTATGTCAATAAGCCTACTTTATGAATTTCCCAGGATCATGCAGGTTGCCTTCTGCCCTCAAACATAAACAAACCCAGGGCTGCTTTGTTTAGGGGTTCGTGTTCGTGCTTATAGGGTTTGGCACTTCACTGATTCGCGCTCCTTGCAACCCGACGTCTGCCTGGAACCCGCACAAGGCGAAGTCCACACCTATCGTGCAGATGTACAGAGGGTCGAAGGTGCCGCGCGCCGCCTCAGATCACAGCACCCTGGACCAATCAAGATCGCAAGGCCCGAACTCTCTCCCGGACTGCAAGCTGCAAAGCTTTCAACCTACCGGAATTGTGCTCTACAACATGCTAAGCTTCACACCCAATATACCCCCAGCCCAAGTTCCCAAGAGCCTAAGAACGGCCCCCAGATCGAGGCCTGGTTCAAAAAAGCGGTCTTCCCTGTGGCAGCCGGTCCCAGCAGCATCATCCTGAACCTCAAGGCAAGCTTTGCTGTTGGCCCCTCTGGGCTGAAGATTCTCGGTGCTGAGTTGCATGAGCACTTTTTTTGGAGCTTACCATGGTGAGTCTGCGCGAGTCAGAGGGGGAAATTGGCTCATCGGAGTGCTCCCAGAATATGAAGAAACCACAGTAGCTCACAGTAGCTCAGGGCCAGGGAATCTTCACGACGGCATGTTCAAGACGTTCCCCGGCACGAGGTGCTGAAGCAAAAGTGTGTGAGGTGTCTCTGGGTGCTGAAGCACGGTGTGAGTGTGTGTGTGTGTGTGCATTGAGGGACTACAGCTCCTGGGCGACAGGCTCTGAAAGCCACTCTCCAATGTTGTCGGCTCTTGTACTCCTATGTATACGTACTGCTATTGCAAGCCTGGTCAGCATCGAGCCACTCTGCCACAAGTGCTGGTGAGAGGCATGTACTCGCTGTTGCTTGGAGCATGGCAGCGAACGTAGGTGGTGCGTAGGCCACCCCGCACCAACAGGAGTTCATCTCCTGTGTTCAGGGAACCTTTCATAAACCCGTTGCAAGCCCCCTGTGAAGTTGAGACATCTTCGCCCCATACCCCCTGCTCACACCTTCCCATCATCACTTCAAGAGCCTTGCTGCTTGTGCTGCTACAGCACGACTTGAGGAGGAAGGGGTGCTACAGTCTGCTATACAGTGCTATAGTACACCACCGCAAGCTGTTTGAAGGCAGGGCTCCTTCGACCAGGCCGACTTCTGCCAACGATGCCTTGAGTACTGCAAGGTACATCACCCACATAAACACACATACGCAAAAACACGCCCGCACCCATGATCCCTAGCCTGCGGCTGTAGACTCCTCATGTGAGGGGAGAAGCATCTTGGCATGCTTGCACGACTTCAGGGCTTTCTGGGGCTTGGAGGGGCTTGGACTTGCTTCATTCTTGCTTCAGATGCCTAAGCAAATAAGCGAACCGTTCAAGGGCGCTCAGAAGCATCATAGGTCACTCGCTCGAAAAGCAAAGGCCTAGTTGAGCAGAGCAGCGCCGATTCTCAGCCTCAGCAGCTCAATGTACCCGCCCACTAGGCCTTGGACGTGGACCCGACATGTTGCCCACAAGCAAAATTTCGAGCAGAACCCGGTAGGGACGATGGACCCGAACGCACATGCTCGACGAAGGTACAGAAGGAAACATGCCCAGCAGCCTGTCACTTAGAGGGAATGTTGAGACCTATAGGAACACGGCCTCCTCTTAAAAGCACTTTGTTGCAGACGGCTGAATCACTGAACTTGTCGTAGGGAGGGGGGGGGGATGGGAGGGGGAGTTATAACCGAGCCTCCCTGCTGCAAGCTTAGCATCACGCCAAGAATGATAAGCCAAACTGTTGTGATCGGCCGTCTTGCAATTTCAACGAGAAGCCTTTGACGCCACGACAAAGTAGCCAACGAATAGCGAACCTGAACCCCAAAACTCCCTAAAGAATCTCAAGAGCCCATGACCTCCTTTCAATGGCTGAGCCCAGTGGCTTCTCGCTCCCTCGGAGAAGCGTCAGCTGCCCCGGGTGGCTCAGCTCTGAGTGGGTGCAAAGCTTCACAAGCACCTGCCTCACCTCAGGGAATGGGAAGGCACGTTTAGAGGGTTACGGGCTTAGGGTTTAGGGTCCTGCAACAAATGCATACACTGCAGGGACACCACAGAGATGAAACAAGCTGACAGGAGCCAGCCCACCCTCTGAAACACCTCAACAAAGAGCAGTCAGGAGGCCTTTTGGGCCAAACGGGCTCAGTCTCAAGACAATGTCAGGCTCTTCGGCCACCACACCCAGACACTCCTGACACTTCCTGGAAAGCAAAGCCCCACTTTGTTTAGCTGGCTTCAAGAGCCCCCCACCGTCGTGCCGAGTGGAAGTTCCTCCTCAAAGGCCACCTCCCCAGAAGGCTGGCGCACCTTGAGTAGCTTCCGGATTGCACCCTGGATTTGGGACCTTCGGGTTTGAGAGCTTTGGACTCAAGAACGATGAGTCCTTACAGAATACAGAACGCCCCATAGCCCGCAACAAGCCGATACGAAGCCCGCACGCCAAAACAGCGCAGCACAAACATCACGGGGAACATCTTACTCTTGGTTAGTAGGGAATGAGGGAATGAGGCACCCTATATCCCCCTATATATTCCCGTTAAGTGATTCAACATGGTACCTTATTCCCCACCAACCGTAAGACATTCCAGGCCTTGACCAGCACAGAGCCCGCAGAGCTCTGTGTGCCCAGGCGGCGCCCGCCCCCGGAAAATGCAAGGCGAAGGCGTTGGCAGAACGCGCGGGCGCGAAGGCGCTGGCAAAGCCAGTCCATGGCTCTTAAATGCCGACATGAACCTTCTTAAACTCTACTTCTTCTTGGCAAGTTGTCAGATGTACGGTCCCGGCGGGACGAGTTTCAAGTTCTGAGTGTTGATGTTGCTGCACGTCAGTGTTTAGGTTTCAGCCATGCAGGCTTGATAATACAGGGCGGCGAAAAAAAGCGAACAAACATCCTTGCAATATTCAGCGACTGACGCCCTCCCCCCGTACAATTCAGCACAAGGACGTGGCTAACGCTTGCCCTAGCTACTCACTGTCTTTTCCAAGACCAGGCCCCCTGCTCCTTAAAGGGTGAAGGATACGAGGGCGTCTCTGGCCTGCGTACGTGGTCCAAAGAACAAACGACCAGCAAAGGTCTGGTGAAGAGTTGATCCCAAAAGCACAGCAACATCTTGAGGCGGTACTTCCCTGCTCGATGTCAGTGGACTTGTTGCACAAGCCTATGGCCTGTACTGTACAAGTCACAGTATCGCGCCTCTTGAGTTTGCAACACGGAAATCATGTCACGTCGAGCGCTTTTGCCTATACCTGTCTCAAAGAAGCTGCAGCAGGCTTCTGGTGAGGCGAGCCACAAGAGTAAACGGTCTGCAAAAATGCGTGTCTTTGTTGCTCGTTGGTGATGTGTATTTGCTTGTGACATCTCGTTGAGAAGCAACGAGCGGGGGAACGTGCTTCTGCCTGTGACCTGGCCCGCCTGGCCCACCCAAAGAATGTGCCTTATTTAGTGTACGCCGTCTGCCGACAGGTCTGGTGGTGTGTTTCTTGTGTGCCTGCTGTGCCCGGGACGCAATTGACGTGCTTGTTTGACTGGAGATACTTAGATCTTGTGACATACTGCATCTGGGACTCTGGACGCGGCTCGCTCAAGGTCTCTAACCGCACAGATCTACACAAAAAAGATACTACAAACTCTGAAGCTTGTGTAACAAGAGATTATGCAACTCGAGCTTGTTCTTGGACTGGACTCAGAATTCTCAACTTCCAGACTCAAGACCACATAGTCTTTAAGCGTGCTATACACATGTGAATATACATATCACACACCTACGAGTATTGTGCCTATGCCATATGCTCACACGTGCCTCTATACATTGTGACTTTGAACCCGATGCTCTACTCTCAATGCGCCCTCATGTACGCTCCACAACTATATGAACTATATGAGCCACGAACGCCCCCGAAACAACCCTTAACCCTAAACAAACCAACCCACCGGTGGCCGCACCTCGTCTCCTCCTCCTGCGGCTTCGCTCTGGGAGCCACGCGGGGCTGCCGCTTCCTTGCCTAGGCCGTTACAGGTTTTCTCTGGGGCTTTGGGCCACTGGCCCCCCGGGTTAAAGGGAAACTAGAACACGCATACTTGCAGACAAGGGCGCGCCAGCCTGTAAGCCTCGCAGCCTACCCGCTTTGCGAGCCATGTTGCCTCTGCCGCCGCTTCTTTCTCTTCGCGCGCCCGGCGCCTCTCCATGACCTGCAAATTCGTGTCGTCAACGTGATGTACCCGTGGTCCACTTGCGGGTTCCTCTAACACCCAAAAAATCCCAAAAAGGTCAGAGTATCGTGACGTTCAGATCCAGACACGGGCTACCGGGCTACTCTTAGTACAGCCTTATCACGCCGCCATTTATATGTCTGCTTGCCAAGGCCGCGGCCATTGTGTCAAAGGGGCTCAAGTGTGCCTGGCAGTATCGTTTGTGTGGGATCGCGATGGTCGCCTCCACAAGAACTGCCTTTTTGCTAGCAAACCAGCCACACTGCAGGGCAACAACTTCGGAAATCAATACACCATCTGGTACTCTTGAGAATGAAAGTGTCTTTAGCCTGGCCTGCAGGATTTCCAGTAGGATTCTAGTGGGACCTCAACCCTCAACCAAACCCTAAACCCTAAACCCTAAACCCTAAACCCTAAACCCTAAACCCTAAACTGCTTTGTTTCGTCGGCCTCTGCTCTCTCTGCCGGTCCCAGGGAGGACTTGGACAATCCTCGCCGATCAAGCGGGGAGGAGCCTCAGCACTCCTATAGCATATGCAGAAAGAGCCCAAGCCCAGGCACGAAACTGATTTTATAAACCTAATTGCCCAAGAAGAGCCGTATAATATCTTATGCCCAACAGCTCCTAAACTCGCGAACCCCAAGTCCACAATCCTAAACCCTAAATGCCCAACAAGCTCAAAACCTCGAAGTGCGATTCCCGGTGTGGAGTCGCAGACTAGAGTCTAGCGAGCGAGAGGAATATTCAGCATGTCCACTCAAGTCAAAGTTGGTTGATGCATCCAGCGTGCACAAACCTCTCAAGCTTAACACGGCGAAGTAGAGGTGGCTAGAATCATGTTGCCGCTTGAAAGGCAGCAACAACCCCCAACGAACTGCGAAAGCGAAGGTCCTTGCCGAAGGTCATGTGATGCCCGAGCCGCGGACCACCTGCCTCCGCCTGCGCCGCATAGGTGGCGGCCATGGCTGCTTGCTGGACCAACGAAGGCCTAGGTGGATCTGAGGCGCGCTTTTCCTGCCTCGTCGGGTTTTCTAAGAACTGTACAAGGTTTAAGCACTCTGATCATTGTGCACTTGAGCGCAGACGAGATGCACCCCCATCCTTCCTCGCTACGGCACACCTTAGCCTGTAGGTTGTGGAGCAAAGCTCCCGAATGCCGCGACGCCTTGCAAAAAACTCAGCAGGACCATCCCCCAACCCCCGGAATCCCTTCTCTCAACCCGGAAAGTGGCAACTTTTAAAGCCCAATCCCAAAAACCCTCCAACAAGCCCTCCAAGTCCTGCAGTGCAAAAGTCGATCCAAGGTCTGTTTAGGAGCCACACCAGTGCTCTCCATCCCCACGCCGCTCCTGGAGTTGAAAGCTGAAGAGGGGGAGAATAATCACAACAATAAAAATAATAATAATAGTAGTAATAATCGTAGTAGTATTTGCAAACAGGCAGCCTCTTGGGTCGTATAATACCCCCAACCACATCTGCAGAGTCACAGGAGCGGCTTCATTCTTAAGCTGCTGAGCACCTACTGACCTACTGCTCAACTGCATATCGCCAGCACGAATCATCGAAAGTTGAAGCTCCTCGCGTTGATTCGTCTGCCGCGCGTGGCTTCGCTTCATCATGGCCTCTGCCTGGCCGCCCATGGCAACAGGGGCTTGCAAAGACTATAGGGGACAACTTGTACCCGTAAGGTCGAGTATGCGAGCCCACCTTTGGCTGAATCAAGGAAGGGTTTAGGTCTCAGAGTTGAGTATGGAAAGGCCCAAGGTAACTTCAGGAGCTGTCGATTCCTTCTTGGAAGATGGTGTAACGCATCGAGGCTTGCTTGCAGCGTGGTCCTGCCCCTGAACTCTGCGAAGCCTTTGGGCAGAGCTAGCGTGACGGCGACGAGTGTCAAAGTCTAGCGTCGAGTTGAGCGTCTCGCGTCTAGACGACATGACGGTGGTACCATCGAGGCGATCATCGCGGCAGCTTGCTCCTGCAGGTCACCGGGTCTAGGAAGGAGGGTTCTGGAGTCGACCCAGAGCCCCAAACCCACAAAGGCCAGTCCTGTTGGCTCTGAGAGTCCGGGCCGGTCTTGGAGTTGAGCCTGCAGGATGCCGCAAAACAAGGCAGAGACAATGCTTTGGGAGGGGAGGGGGGTCTGCCTTCGAGATGCTTCGGGTGCCCGTGCTCCTAATTGTTCTACAGTATTGCGTTCGTTTGCTCGTAACCCTTCATTTCCTTCATTCGGAGGTCTACGCATCTCGAAATGCGAAAGAGCACGCATAGCTCATCATCGTTTTCAGCCACTGCCTGACGCCCTGACTTTTAGCAATCTGGAACACTCGGTCGCCTGGGCAATGATGACGCCAACTGCTGCGCCTGCCCGGCCAAATCCTTCCGTAGCTGAAGCTGCCTGACCGACAGGGCATGCCCTAGAGCCTCAACTCAAACGCAACGTGTATCTAGCTCAGCGGACAATGGGTTCGCAGCTGAAGGGGCGCGATCAACCCTGAGAAATTTTCTGACGAAACGCGCACTTTTTGCACCTCATGACCATGATGCTGAAGACGTCATCCCCATTTGCAGCCTAGCGGCATTGGCATTGAACACTGCAGGTGCTATCGAATTGCTACTGCACAAGCACCCCCGGAACCCCCGCAGCACTGCAGCCAACTGTCCTCGCTGCTTAGCTAAACAGCCGCTTCGCAGTTAAGAGCTGCTTTGAGATGAGCACGAAGTGCAATGCCCACATCAGCCAAGCTGCGCCAACTGTGATTCTTGCCCTAAGCCCTAGGTCGGTTTGTTGACCTTGGAAGAGCACCGTCTTACACAAGTACAACTTAATGTCTCCTGTGCCATACAAACTCGTACTTTTGGACACTGCAGCCTTTCGGAGCGAAGCATTCGGCGGTTGCGACCTTGCGACGACTATGAGAGGGCAGTTGAGCTGTGCGGGGCTTAACCCCTGTATGGATCGGAAGCGAGGATACAAGTAGGGGGTGGGGGGGGGGGGTGAACCATGCGAATCTGGAAAGAATTGTCGCCACGACAGAATGCGAACGTGCTTAGAGCTCTGGCCGGTCAACTTGTCGAGCTTCTGACACCGTTATTTCAAAACTTCATCTTTATCCTCCACGCCGACAGTCATGGTCGACGCTTACAACACAAAAGTTTTCTAAGATTTCCCAACGACCCTAGGTTGATACACAGAAGTTTTTGGAAGCGAAACTGATCTTGTAGGAGTTTCGAGCATGCACCTAGACTCCACGATGAACAGCTCCCCAAGTCCCACTCTGAGTGTGTGATGCTGTCCTATGCATTAAGTCCTCGGCGTACTTCTTGTTGTCAGGGATGGAAGGCGCCGCGATTCCATGGCCTACGACTGAAAAAAACATCTGCGGTCTTTCATGTCAGATACGTCACTGGTGAAATATCAAAGGTGAATGACCCCCCCCCCCAAGTATAGGACTTCAGGCGATATAAACGTCCTGCAGAGCTGTGAGGGTGAGGAACAAGTCAGAAAACTAAGGAAGATCAAGATAGACTAGCCTTTGACTCTAGCACCTTCGTGTTTTGGCCACGAATGTTCCAGAGCTCCCAATGAGTCGCATGCAACTTGGGAACCGTTGCAGGCCCGAGGCGGCTCTGTCTCGAAAGTATGCGCGACTGGGCCCAGCGCAGGCTGAGACTCTGTCCGCTTCTTCATGGTGTAAGCAGCCTGCCGCCGTGTGAGGATTTGCTGGCAGCATGGGCAGACATGTTGGCGTGTTGGCATTGACTTGCGCACTTTGCATCCGGGCACGGCCTCTTTTCGCCGCCCATGTCTCCCAGAAACCTTGCAGTGGACCCCTCGGACTTGTCAGGAAGGGCGAGTATGTCTCTCCCGCTGAGATGTCAACACTCATCGCCACGTTGGTGGCGTGCAACCTCAGTACGCCAGTCTGCAAGTAGAGCCTAAGCATAGGGCCCCTCAAAGAGTTCTCAGTCTGGTGCTAAGCTTCGCGGGCTCTCCGCCCACTGGGCCAGGGCGAGGTCATGGCGTCGGACGAAACGACGAAACGCCACCCGGGTGATGATGCAGGGTGCGGCTACATTGGGCTGCATGCTCCGTGGCTTGAGAACCCAAACTTGAACTGGGCTGAAACCTTATGCTGCGGGATCTGGCCTTGAGCAGCTTATAAGGGCACAAGATCCAGGGACTACGAATCTTGACGTGCGAAGACAGCATGGGGGGCCCCTTATCCAACGACTTGGCTTGGAGCCAGCAGGGCAGGCCAACAGCTCAGCTCCAAGGGATGCACTCGTGTGGCAAGGAAGGGGCTCACAATGCAGGGCGAAGATGGCTCAGGGTTGGTAGAAAGGGGTTTTTGTGGAAAGGAGAGGTGTTCGCCAGTCAGCGTCAATCTCAGAAGAAAAACCGTCCAAGTCGTTTTTAGGGCTCAGTGGCTTGCTTTGCACTTTTGTTGCGGAAGCCTCTTGAATGAAATGCCCCAAACGGGTCCAACAAAATGCGGCGGAGTGCATTAGAATCTGCAGGCCCCAACGAACCCGGACCAACAAGGAATTTGCCCTCAATTCGGTCCAGGTCTCCAACGTATCAGCTGTTGGAGATACCTCAAGGGGCTTCAGGGCTCAGGCTTCGCACTGACTCAGCTCTATGGGCCTCGCGAACATGTGTGCAACCTCGGTGTCCAAGATAGGCATCCCACCCCGCCCATCCATCCGCCGACAGCCTTGAGACTGCCTAAGTTTCTTGGGGCGCCAGCCGCGTCGGAGACGACTGACATCGAGAGGCTCAGGGGAGGAACCTCGGTTCAAGTGACGTATTCACCGGGCTTCAGATTTCGCAATTCAGATTTCGCAATGGGCGCACGAAGAGCTCTCCAGCGGTTAACAGGTGCAGGTTCAATCTGCCAGATTTGAAAACAAAGAACAGTGTGGCCTACACTAACTGCAGTGACCTTGTGGCACCTCGTTGCTGCAACTGGCAGTGAGGAATGATCAAAGCGCCTTGAATCCCCGCAACCGAGATCCGGTCCACAGACATGGACAGGGGCTGGTTGTGATTGTGCGGGCTTCCGAGCGATCGAACCTCAGACGAGACACTGCGAAGGAAGTTATCGGCAGCCTGCAGAATAAGTCCTGAAGTTACAGATGGTGTGGGACCAGTGTGGGACAGGGCAGGCTTCAGCTCGTGATAATCTTTTTGTGGTCAACAAGCTGACTGAAATATGACCGCAATTCATGCCTTGAACCTGTGAACTGTACCCCCACTGTCGGGATCTTTCGGGCTCCTGGCCGCCTCATTCTTGGGTGCCGCCCTCTCCGAGCTTGCAATTTCTTTTGTGGGGTTTCGAAGCTTTGGGTGAAGAGGCCTTGGGTGTTTTGACGGTCAAGATTCGGAAACAGCAAGCTGAGACAACAAGCGCAAGAAGGACCTCAAACTTCTCGTAAACGAGACTCTTTGCTATTAAGGGCTTCTAACCGAGTTGGCATCGCTGCCAGCAGCGCTGCGCACCACAGGTGGGAGTATAGGAAAACACAGGCCAAGCGACGCAACAGCATATTTAGGTTGAGCATGCGCCCTATACTCTTCAGGATAAAATGAGAGGCTCTCCCAGTTCTGAAGCCTCGAAGCTTGAAGCCCCGAAAGTGAAAGCTGGTGCCTCGCTGGACGATATTGGCGCCGCAGGCTCGCGAGATTCTTTGTCTCGGCCTCCAGGTGCTGGGCTGTGCTGTGGGCACAGGAAAGTGTAGATTCGGTGCAGGGACCGCAGAGCAGCACTCAGAAAATAAAAACGTGCGGGGCGGATCAGTGTCAAAAACCGCAGTTCGTACCCGCATGACTGGTTCTGCAATCAGGGCGTTGTGAGGAAACGCCGGCACACGGGCGGGAACCCAACATGTTTTCTCCATGCTTGCGGGTTCCCACTTGACAGTATACAGTAGGTGCGAGCACTGCATGTCCTAGGGCTGTGGACGAGAGTCACGAGAGGGAAGATTGCTCAACCTGAACCTTCTCCTTGCCTCGATGTCTTTCAGGTCCCCCAGCCCTTGCGGCTCCAGGACATCGGAGAACGAACTTCGACCTCGCGAGAATCTGTTTGTCTATCGGTTTCAGGAAGGTGCGACTTGAGGTGCTTCCGTGTGGTCTGCAGCTGAGTTGATTATCCGACCACCAGGCTCCCAGGCTCTCCAACTCCATGCCGGAGGCGTAGGCAGGTGCTAGGGGTTTTCACCGCGGTTGGTGTGGTGTGGTGGGAGGGGTGGGAGGGCTTGAGCTTGGGGTTGGGGCTTCCGGATGTTGTCTTCATATGTTGGTGCAGAGCTTCGAGCCCGACAAAAGCCACCACCTGCTGAGGCGCTCCTGGTCCTACTTGGGGTTCTAATTTTGCCACCCGCACTGCCCAGGGACAATTCGAGGACTCACAGAAACCACAGAAGCTCAGGGTTCGGATGAGTCTTTTTGCCTGTGCAGGCATGGCGGTGCTGTCCACAGGCGTGGGTCCGCTTGGCGGCTGCATGCCGTAAAGCTCCTGCTTGCGCTTCTGAACTGAGGGGAAGTTCGGAACTCAAGAGATTCCTCAGGACTCCCGGTGCAAACTTTTCGGTCAAGTAGGATTTGTGCGATTCCAGGTTTTCAGGCCTGCTGTGTGGTTTGGGGAGCGGTGGCTTGACGCCGGCACTGAAGTAAAAGCAAGTATGCTATGAAGAAACTCTCATCATCCATGGGCGTTGAAGAAAAGAATAGGTGCGTGGAACAAGAAGCCATCCGACTAATCCATGAACCCTCGCTCCCTTGAATCCTGCAGTGCAGTTTTCTATTTCAACGATGTACAAGCGACAAAGAAGTGAAGCACGTGAGGCAGATTAAGTAGCGAGGCTCACCCCGTGATGAGGCAGTGGGTAATCAAGAGATGTCGACGCACAACATCCTCAGCTTGTGATCGCTTTGCTCGATCGTTTGTATGTTTCCGTGCTGTCCTTGCAAACCACGTAGACACGCTAAGAGCAGGAGACGAGCAAACAAAGAAGCGCGCCACTCTCTGCCCCGGTCCGTTCGCAGCTGCTGATTCTGCGCAGTCAGGCGCTGAAGAGCCTAAGCTGCCAGCACTTTGGGAAGCTTGGGCTTCGACTAAGCATCACAAGAGTCACAGCCGCATGTATTCTGCACCTATGCAGTGGCACGGGCTCCCTGGTGACTGTCGTTTCTGATTCATGGTGTGTTCGGTCAGGGTATTGTGGTCAGCATGTGTAATGCACAGAACCACGCGGCACCTGCCAAATGTCCTAAGTTGGCTACACCCCCCATAATTCGATCCATCATGCGATCCTGTGGACCTTTAAAGTGCGACGTTGGGCAGTCCCTCTGCAGTGGAAGATATCTGAAAATGACTCTCAGATTTGGAATCCCCGACTTTGCTCTACCGTGGGTGACCGGCGAGTTGGGAAAATGAGTCAAAGACAGAGTGGACCGAGTCCAAAAGAAAAAATTGACCGAGCCCCAGGACAGGACAGCACGCGTCAGAAAACCATGCAGCATGAGTCAGAAAAACGAGGCAAACTGAGGAATCGAGTGAAACCCTTAAGCCTTAAAAGCCAGAAATGCCTGAAACCTTAAACACGCCTAGCAGCCTTACCCACAAAAACCCCAAAGTCATGACCCCTAAGACCCCTACCTGCCCTAAACATTCATTGCACCCTAAACCCATTTGCATCAGCGAAACCCTAAACTAGGGGGGGGGGGGGTCTTTTCTGTTTTGACTCAGTTGAGGTGACTTGCAGGTACTTCTCCTGACTTGAGCGTTTCTCACATCATGCTAGTGGCGCCCCCTTGTGACACCCCCGCTGAAGCACCAAAACTTCGGCTATGGAGTCTACATCTCTTTTGTGCGAGTCCGGTTACTCTACACATCTTTGTAGCTGTGTAATCGGCAATCACAAACACACACACACACACACACACACAATGGCAAAGCGAATCGCAAGACGAAACGACATGCTGGTGCATGAAACGGCTCTCCGCCTTGGACCTGGCAGCTGGGATGTGCTCAGGCGCCAACATTGCGCAGCTGAGCTTCTTCAGCAGCATCCTCAGATGAATCTCGTAACTGAATGGAGTGCAGCCCTGAGTTTGTGTGTTTGCGTCTGCGTGTTTGGTCCACGAACCCTCCAGCTTCGTGTCAATATTTCGGGGCTGTGGATCCGAAATGGGGCCAGGTCTGCAGCCGCAACATGCGACCGTCCGAACTATGAGCTGAAGTACCGCTAATCCTGCACAAAACGGCTGTCAACTTACACAGCTTGGAGTATGCAGATCGGTGCTGCGCATTTTCTCGAATGAAGCTTGCATGTCCGGAGAGACTCAATCGAAAGACAGCCTCGGACGCACCACGCCCGAGGTCCAAAACTTGGGCTCGGTAAGCCTTGAAGTGGCAGCTGCTAAGATCTGATCTGCGAATGTGTCTGTTGTCGTGAGGGAGAGCGCTGCAGCTCCCGTGCTCTGCCTTCGTTCCTGTGAGCGGCCCCTCTGGCGCAAGGTCGAAGACACCACTGGCTGCTGAGACTGGTCTCCTGCTTGAGGTCTCGGGCGGAGGTCAACTTCTTGGCTGTAGCCTTGGCTTTGGGACTCTGCCAGCACATCATCTAGCGGCGCCTACCGAATGGCATCAACAAACTCAACAAGACCACATTGCAATTGCAAGTCCAAACAGCCGTGAGTAGGTGGAGACATCTCGCGCCATGCACGCTCTGGACTGCACGTGAGTGGAGAAACCTCTCTGAGCATAAGCTCTGGATCGCGGCGCGTCTGCATCAACCCGACCCTCGGCTCTGCGGTCCATGCTTTGATGGGTTCAAAGTAAGCAAGTGTAAGTGAAAGTGCACGTTCAAGTGTAAACATGCAAGTGTGACAGTGAACGTGCACTTGCAAAAGTGAAAGTGCAAGCGTAAGGCGGAAGTGTAAACAGTGTACGTGCAAGTGCAAGTGCAAAGTAAGTGTACGTGAGTGTCTGTGTGTGTGTGTGTGTGTGTGTGTGTGTTTGTTTTTGTGTTTGTGTTTGACACGACGGCCTGGAACAACAAACGAACGAACAGGTCCAGTGCCGACCTACAAAGAAATTGACAGAAAGCTTCCCAGCACGGCCTGGGCTCCGAGATGGAAGATGTATCCTCGGCAGTCCCTGAGGAAAGATCTTACCCACAGTTCCCTTCATCGCCGCAAACTCCTGATGCTCATCTTCCAGTATCTGCTTGCAGCACAACAAGAGCAGGGCCTGTGGTCCGCAGTCACGGCCTGCAAGATACTTGTACACAACTTTCGAATGCATTTCTTGGACAAGCTGCTCGATCGCGCAGGCTTTCAGTCGGGGCTGGGTGCGCTGAAACAGGAACTTGAGGAGCTTCACTGTTAGGCATGCCGATGTGTTCTCCAAAAAATATGTGCCTGCCCGCTGGATCAAGGGTTCGATAGTTGCGGCATCGTCGATATAGTCCGCGCTCTCGGGGGCGATTTCAACATAAATACTGCCCTCCTGCAACGCCTCGACCTTGTAAGATATGCTCAGAGCCATTTTAATCCTGGGAATGGTGGACACCCCTGGAAGCCGATTGCACAAACTCTTCAATTTGTACATCTCATCCATGGTCACTGGCCGCCCAGTTTTCTCAATATGATAATCGAAATCCGAGTCGTCGGTGAAGGTGCCTTTGGCCCGAGAGCCGTGCAAGACCAGTTGCACTTGGGGTCCCCAGATTTGGTGTGCCAGGGGTTCCACTTTCGCCATCAGCTGATGTGCCGCATCTCTCTTATCGGCCAAGTGTTCCTGCCCGAGGCTCTGCGCAAAATGAATAAGCCGTGGTTCATCATGTACACAGGCCTTCAATCTACCGATGATTTCCTCCGAAGTCAACTCAGCCATAGGCGCACCGAATCTCGAAGTCTACGTCTACGCCTACACTACACAGCAACATGTGTCCTGTGACTCCTCGAGCCGGCAAGCAGCTTAATGGCTCGCAAAGCAGCCACAGCATGGTGACTTCGTGCATTGAGCGCCTTGTATCATAGTCTGCGACTTACCAATTTCGTGGTGGAGTGCCCCTTCCAAGTGCGCAAAAATGACCACTTCGAAGGAGCTCAGCAGTTCAGCGGCGACTCTTGCGTGAGCTGCGCATGCCCTTGCTCCGGCAATAATCCTTGTCCCTACTCATGCACGCATCAACAGCTCGTGCTGAGCTCCACACCGCATCGGCTGCCGAGGAACTCCCTGTTTGAGGCTGCTACGCCCTAAGCTTCCTTGAACAATAGGACGGACGAGCCTATGCTAGGTGAGGGATCGTTTGAGCACAATCCTGCAGACATTGCAGGCACGGACTCTTGGCCCACGAAACAAAGTTGTTCAAAACAGAACTAACCAACTCAACAGCTTGCAACTGCCCACCAAGCACTGAAACCCAAACACCCACAATCTGCCGCCATTCGCCTGCAGCCTCAAGACGAAGGACTTGCGACTGGAGGCTGCTGTTCATGTCCTGGCTTTCAGGTGATAAGGCATTTGCGTGTGGCACGTAGTCTCCTAGAGAGTTTGAGCCTACTAAGGAACAGATGAGAGCACTGATGGCCAAAACTTCGCATACGGCGCCTGGGTAGCTCTAGTTTTCCCCAAGGGAGATCATGATCCTGAAATCCCGGGAGGTTACCTTCAAAATCCCCACCCCGCAGCTGCTGAATGTGGAAGACGGGTACATGCGGAAGGTGGGCACTCCAGGGATACTCGGCTTCTTGGGGGATTCTCTGGGGATGGGCACTCCATCTGAGGATTCTGGAGCGGCTTTTTGGCCCTTCTGAACGCTAAGAAGATTTGTACGGTCCCGACAATTCTTTTCATGGGCCAGCATTTATGAATAGAAGCATTCTGGGTATTCTAGTTTTCTACTAAGACACAGACTATATGAGGACAATATACTGCCACGTGAAGAAAGGTAAAAGACTAGGAAGATAAATAATGATGAAATTTCAAGACATGCACTGGACATGCCAATGAAAAGTTGTAGGATATAAGATTCCAATATCCAATATTCTTAAACTTTGGAAGGAGGGTTGGCTAATTTACTTTGTTCATACGCTCACACGGAGTTATTGGCATTCGTCAGCAAAGATGGTAAGTTATAAGGTTGAACAGTCCAACAACCGATGCGCTTGTTATGATTACCATTTGGACATATTTCAGGGTGTGTTGTGTCGTTTGCTGTGCTCATGACGTTACATGTGCTTGAATGTCGTCCAGAAGCCCTTTTTTGATATTAGCAAATTGCGGCCCCGTTTGAGGAGCATATGGTGGACTGACAAAGCTGACAAGCCCACAGCGAGGGTGGGGGAAATTACACCATCATCCTCAGCTACGGCTGTTCGATGCCCTTCGTTGGAGACACTAGCAATCACCATTGCATGTCCGCAAACCCCACAAGCTTTCACATTCTTTGTTGGAAACCCTATCCTACTACAATCCTACCCTACGCCCTCGAAGCACTTTAGGGCAGCCGGCGGTCCATCAGCCGCCTGCACTCATCCCGGAGCTTGAAGACCTCTCGCCGAAGTTACTGGGCTGAGTCTCAAGGTCTGCCAGAGTCTGGGTACTAACTGGGTACACCCTGCGCCTGTTTTTAGGCTAGCTCGTGCTCTGAGAAGTTCCAGATGAAAACAAGCCGAGCGTGGCCCGTTGCCCGAGGCACAACTTCTTACCACTTAGCTGCAAAGAAGAAGCAAATGAGGCCCTTTGTGGCCAGTGGCCACGCTGCTTCTGATACGCCCGCCTTGCTGTAACAAGTATTCATATTCTTCATGGCATAGCTCCTACTCGACCAGTCCTGCAAATGAACTACACATGCAAGTCACTTTCTGTCTCGCAAATCTTGATCACGGGTCTTTGTCCCGACAAGCCCCTGCATTGGTGCAGGGGTTGAATTAAAGCCCCTGGTAGAGGCATAGTTTGGCGTCATGTCACCTTAAAGCACCCAACCCACTAGCTACTTGGCATCTCATCTTTCCGCACAAGCCTCAGGTCTACAACGCTTACGACACGACGCAACCCTCTGCAGCGTCGTTGGCGGCTTTCACCGCATTTGAGGGCCTCAGTTGTGTCAGTCTTCATGCCCTGCGACGCCGCTACTCAATCTGGAAGAGGGGCTAAAGCACGTCGCAAACACGGCCTGGAGTCTCATAGCCAGTCTTGCCCCCGAGCTCAGAGTCCTCCCCACTGTTGCCCACTCCACAGAAGGGGGTTCCGTAAATAGGGGAGACTCCCAAATAGGTTATACAGTGGCCCCTTATAATAAGGACCCCCCAAAAAATAGGTGCCCCATAATCTTGGAAACCCCAACAAGGCCCAAGAAGCAGCCCTAAACTTTACCTAGACCCTAAAACCGAAACCCTAAACCTGAAACCCTAAACCATAAACCCCAAACACTAGACCCCTCCCCCCCCCAACAAGGCCCAAGAGGCAGCCAGCTCCGGCCGCGTGCGGCCTCAACCTCGGCGAGGCGCTTCTTCAGCGAGAGCCGCGGGGGCGGCCTCCAGCGGCAGTGGCCAGCCTGTGGCTCAGAAATCTTCACGGAGTTATGTCAGGATACTAGGATATTCCTTTTTATCAAATTATACTAGAAAAATCGTCAGGGAGTTACTGTATGACGATTATTACCATGTTAGCATAATGATTCCTATATTACGCTGTTGTTTCTCAGAAGTCTTCAGGGAGTTGTGCGATTCCGTAAGGATGTGGCTATATTACTTCATCAAATTGTACTATACTACTACTTTACTACGTAGACTATCTATCTTAATATTCCTATATTACTTTATCAATTAAACTATGTTACTACGTTACTACGTAGACTACAAGTTATAGGGAGCCTCTTTGGGAGATGCAACTGGGCTTTTGCTGTTCAATCTCGCTGTTGCTCGCATGGCCTTGACAGGGTTTTTAGAGGAATGATACACAGCCAAAACAAAGCTTCAGAAGTATTTTGGGCCGACCTATTCTGCTCGAAAGGATCCACGTGGCCTTCTATTCTCATCCAGCCAAAGGGGAGAGATGTGGGATCTCGGTGGGTTCTCCCTAAAGCTTAGGGGGCCAAGGGAGTTTGAGACAGGGGGTTTGGCCTTGTGCAACCCGCTATTGAAGCCTGGCCTGGTGGCAGCCAGTTGGGCCCAGGGCTGCCTCAAGGCCTGCAGATCTGCGGGACTTTCAGTGGCTGAGAGAGGTGCTCAAATCGTTGCGGACTGAGAGCACTTGGAAGTTGTTGGCGCTCTTGGGGGGGCAGTCATGATTCTTGGTTCAAGGCGCATGGGGCTCCGGCTTTGGCTAGGGGATGAGGCGTTGCACGGACGAAGCCAGTGACGAGCTAGATGCTGGCTACGAGCTCCTGGACGGACAGAACTGTCCTGAAATGCATGGCCAGCCGCCTTGATCTTCGACCATCTGCTGAAGCATGGCGTAACTGGATGCAGGCCCCTCGCCATTGTGCTTGTTGGCATCCAGGAGCTGTTGGAGGTGTCCAGGCTTCGACGCCTCCCACCTGCTTGGGGAACTAGTCCTGGGGATTGTGCGTAAGGCCAGGAAAAGTCAGGTCGGAAAATGTAAGGTGGTGGCTAGCTAAAGAAGCCACCTTCCCTAATGCACAGGAGTTCTTCGCGCTGCGTTGAAGCAGCCAACGTCACGACGGCGGATGGGAGCAGTGACCAGTGGAAAGGACGCCCAAACTTGCGAACGCCTGCCTCAGTCGCGTCTGCAGGGTGCCATCGTCCAGGAACCCTGGCAGCGTCACGTAAGGGTCGAAAGTGACGGTGACCTGGTGCAATTCGCGACCTGACGCATGGGTGCCCGGCAGGTGAAAAAGCTCAGGGCTCTCACTGTCAGCAGTTGCTCCACTTCTCGTCAGACGCTGCTTCGCAACAGCGTTCTGAAGACAACCCCCCCCCCCCCCACCCCCACCCAAAACAACAAAAATTAATGTTAACTGCCAATTCCAATTCTATACGACGCAAGCCAGGATGCGAAGCGGGAGCGGTGCCATTTTTGTCAAGCTTGGGCAAAGCTCCTGTAGCTGCACTGCAGCACTGCAGCTGGGCTGTGGAACTGGGAGGTGGGAGTTTTCCCCCGCCCAATTGTCAGACCAAATTCTTGCAAGAGTACGCCCCAGTAAAAGCAGACAAGGCTCCGCTTGGCCGCCCGGCGCCCCACGGAGAGGAATCGTCGAGGGGCCTTCTGCAAGCTCGGAGCCTGCGGAGCGAAGGGCTGGGTAGGGCTGTCCTTTAGCTGCTTTTGTTTTTCATGTTCGCATTCTCCGTGGCCCCTTCACATAGAACCTCCAACTCACAGCACCTCTCGCTTCATGTCCTGGGCACCTCATGAAACACTCGCTGCCCAGTCTCCAACCGTGAGCCCCACACCCTGCAACGACCCTAAAGCTTGTAGTTCACTATACCGCACGCCAAGTTTCAAACCCTCCCCTCCCCTCCAAGAAAAGTGTTGCTGGAACAAGGCAGCTGGCTCGATGGCTTGGGGGACACGCAGAGCTTGTCGAAGGTCACCTTGAACTCGTCCCAAGGCATCCAAAAGCAGGATTCCTGAGAATTGGGTTCATCAGCAGGGCTTAGGGCGTTCCGCGAGCGCGAGCTCAGAGGCCTGGGAGAAACCCTAGAGTGCTCATGGCTTTTCCGGTGGCTGCCCAAGATGTTTCCGTTGGCACCTTTGCTTTGCTGGAAGGTTGCATTCGTGACGAGCCCAGCTTCGAAGCTTCTTGGGCCTCGCAACCCCTAAACCCTAAACCGGAGGTAAGGCCCTAAGCCCCCGAAACCCGAAACTGGAGATAAGACTCGAAGCCCCCCAGACCCCAAACCGAAAATAAGACTCTAGAAGACCCCGAAACCCTAAACCGAAAAACAAGACTCTACAAGCCCCCGAAACCGAGTGCAGCTCGAGCCACAGAGCTCTGAACCGTCTGGTAGGTTCGCTGCGGGCTCACAGGACTGGCGCCTGGACTGCTTGTGAGGGTTACGGCTCCCGCAACGACACGCGCGGGCAAGGCTCCAGATGTCTCAATCAAGGGTGGAAAGTCAGAACTCATCATGACATGGTTGCACACACTACTACAACTGATTCGCTCCTCCTGTCCGGCATGCTTGAAAGCAGAAAATCGAGTAGCAGTGTACTACGATCACTGTCACAAACGACCCTGCAACGGGTGGAGGAAGGCTGCTGGAAAGAAGGACGGTTTCTCCCGGGGTCTGGGATTTGGGTTTCAGAGTTTGTACCAGTCTGGTGTGGAGGTCAGAACCTGTAGAACGTTTGACGACAGCAACCGAAGTTACATACCTAGCAGCATGCCTCCATTCTTTGGACTGATGGTGACGACTGCGCCGGCGACATCCTTACACAACTGCATAGTGCCGAAGGTCAGGTCTGCGCAGGGCGAAAGTACCGGCTCATAGGCCGCGGTAAGCTCCATAAACACTGAATACTTGCAACTCAAGCCCCTCGCCTTTCCACCAGTCCCCCAAGAATATCTTGGATGTCTGTCTGAGGCACAGCTATGACCGGCATCTGGGGCGGCAGGACCCCGTGATAACAACAGTAACACCTTCTGCGACCTAGATTTCACAACTGGCGACGATAACAAGCCCCAATCTGAGGGAAAACGGTGCCCAGATGCCGGAAATCCTTAAATTAAAGCCCTGCACCCGTACGCGAAACCCGAAGTCTCTGATGCAGCACCAGCCTCCGGAAATTCAAAACATTCTGAACCTTCATGTCACATATGCACCGGAGCGTAGCCAAGCGGCAAGCTGGCGTACAACCTCATTGACAGGACTCAAACCCAACTCGAGGACAAGAGGGCCACAAATTGTCGGTCTGTTGCAATAGCACCATGCTCGAGGCCCCAGCCGCCCCAGCCCACATTCATTTATGCGATGCTCTGGGTCGAAAGAACCGATTGATCGACTGAAGGTGAGGGCAGCTATGTTCCCGAAAGCTGCGCTCTCGAAAAACTCCAAAAGAGTTTCCTGAGAAGCTCTCAGCCTCTCTTCTACCAGGGGCCACTGATATGGGGCCCCAAACCTCCCATCCTTTAGTCGACTCAACATCCATATATTCTTCAGACCCCCGTATCATCATCACATTCATATGAACCCTAAACCCTAAATCCTAAACCTTAGGTGTCATGGCTTCGGCCCGCCTCGGGGTGTCGCTGCCACCGGTCTGACTGGTGTCCCCACTCCCCGAGCCAGGTGGAGGAGAAGGTGCCTATGGGCAAGTCCAGTTTCGGGGGTTCCGGCAATGCCGGTACGTGGGAGATTTGGGCACCAGCCCAAAAGCTCCAGCAGGCAAAAAGGACTCTTTCAGTCTTGTGAGTCACCCATGACAACCCTGGCCCCTGCTTTCAGGCCTCCCTCTGCTTTCCAGTCGCCATGTGGATTCTTCCTAGGCTCAACAGAAGCAAAAGACAGTTAAACGAGTCATCGTGTAGATGCGCCTCCTGCAGCTACAAACCTCCATGCTCTGAGGCCCAAACCCAAACTAAGCTCCCGGCTACAACTTCTGGGGCTGCTGGTTGAAGGAACGATGCTGATGTCTCTGCAGAATCCATTCCTATTAGTCATGACTTCAGAGCACAAGGCATTCATTTCGCTGCCCGAGCTTCAAAGCCACCAAGCGCACAGGCGCATTGCGACGTCCTTGGTCCTTATGCGAAATTCTCCAGACAAAACAACTGAAGATTCTCAAACCTCCATCTGCCGGCGCATCAGTTCCCAAGCACAAAAAGGCCTGCGATCCTTCCAAATAAGGCCTTCGAATCCAAGTCTGCCCGAGCACGCCCTTTCTGAGGCCTTGTTGCAGCCAAGGTGCATTGTGCAAGATGACCTCCCTGGCATCGAGCACAGCGTAGGCATGGCCGGAAATCAACCCGTCAGGTCGGTAGTAGTCACCTCTGACATTCGGCCAAGTCCGAGGGGGGGGGGGGTTTCTTGGGATGCTTCAAAAGGTTAGAGTGACAAAATGTTGTTCGCTTGCTGCAATCAGTGTTTGGTGGTGCTGTACAGTAGCCCATCCTCAAGTTGCTTGCCGGATTTGCGAAGAGGTTGATGCTCCCAGTTCTGATCAGTGATATCAACACTTGTACTGACACCAACGGGCCTTCTGTGAAACGACCCAACCGGTGGCTAGACATGCGCGTCTCAAGCCGCCTCCCGACCGGACCGGCTCCGTTTTGGAGCTGCTGCGCTTCGACGAGGCGTGGGATCCGTAGGGTTTGGCCAAGATGTAGTTTTAAAACCACTCAACTGCTCGGGGTTGCCAATGGCGAAAGATATATGAAAGCTCTTCCGCCCACGGTACAGCTCATCTGCTACCGAGAAAACTGTGGCAGTTCGGGAAGAACGGTGCTGAAAGTAGCCCTTCGTTCGACTTGCGTAGAGTGCAAGGCCGACGTTCGAAACCAACATCACTTGCGTCAGAGTAGTCACGATGTTGTACAGTATCAGCAACGATGGCCTTTTCAGCCAGACTTGGCAAGCTTCTCTTGCCGTCTTCCTCTCAATATACAATGTTGCCTGTGCACTGTGCGGGGACGAGGCGGCTTTGACATTGACTGACGTGAAGCGAACAACATTTGAGGCCAGTCTTTAACGTGCACACCTTTGCAAAACAAAGGCTCGCACGATCTACATCGTGCAGTGGCTCTTACTGCGGCCCCAGGCACGCACAGATGCAACCGCCGGGAATCGAGTGATCGACGCAGTGACCGGACAGGTTCCTGGGGCGCCGAACGGCAAGAAGTCTAGAGATGAAGCACCACCTGCATGGACTTGGCAAGCAGCAGCGGCAACAACAATGGCACTTCATCGCAATAACCGACACAGGTGTGTTAGAGTTCGCCAGCAGCCAGCGCACAGTTTGTAGACCATGCGAGGGAAGCAGCTACCACATAGGGTGCGTGCTGCCGAAAGGCGTGCAATGTAGTTCACCATCTTCTCCCAAATCTCCTCATCCAGCAGGTCGTCTGGGACATGGCTCAGCCGGCTGGAGCCAATACCCGTGCTTGTGCGACCAGCATACTGCGCACCCTTCCACTCCCAGTGGTTCTTCAACGCCGAAGTCCTTGCCACACAATCGCCCAAAGGGGCCGGCACAAAAGCAGAAAGACAGCCTATGTCAACTGGATGTGGCTAAAGTGGAGAAGGCTACCGGCTGCCGATCGAGAATGGGCACATCTTTACACAAGGACTCCACATGGCAGAAAAGGGATGTCAGCATTCTTGTGCATTCTTGCACTGTGCAACAGGGATGCCGTTGTAAACCCAAGCAGGGTCTAAAGGTCTCGAAGCCCTTGACAATTCTGAGCTGCTCTGCATCATCTGCGGCCGGACGCTGGAGAATGTAGACCAATGGAAACCCTCGTCAAAAAACGGCAAGGCTCTTCAGAATGATTCCAAGTGTTGGGGGACTTCGGACTCAAGGCCCAGGGCTGCACATCAAGAACAGGGCAACTTCACAACCCACACACCTCAGCACGGAAAGGAGAGGCCTATAGGTGTCACATGTTGAAGGCGCTCCCCACATCCTGTGCCTGTCAGGGCCATCAGCGCGAAGGGCTCCGTGCCCCCCGACAGGTTGGCGTAGGAGCCTACGAACTTGGCCATGGCCTGCAGATCTTTCTTTTTTTTCTTGGGGTTTAGGGTTTAGGTTTTTAGGTTTGGGTCCTAGCTTGGGCTCCTAGGCGGGCAAACAATAGGATTCCCGGCATGAAAGATTTAGACTTGGGCCAGGGGATCCTTGCAAACAGCCTCCACACTGAAGCTCTCCATCCCAGACCCCAGGCCCTAGACACTTCTCTATTTGGACATTCATTCGAAAACCCTACAACCAGCCTTCTCGAGAATCAGTGCCCAAACCTGCAGTGGCGGCAACAGAATCGTTTGACGACCCAACCTCGAAACACCGTCAAGGTCAGGAAATTAATGAAATTCGCCTTGGCTTCCGGTCGAGAGGCGTCTTCCCCCCTTCCCAACCCTTCCCGGAAGTCATTGTTCCCCCGTGTCGTGGGACCCATTCTGGGACCCCCTGACACGTGTGGTGACATACAACGTCTGCGATGGGCACGCTACACCCCGCACACAATTACTAAGCTCTGAAAGGATTTGGGTAGAAGCCCGAGCTGCTTGGCGACCATTGGGCCGGCCGAAAAGCGGCACCCACTTCTTCCGAAGGCGTTTGGCACCGGTCCTCAGCTCAAGGACCGATCATCCCAAGGTCAGGGCTAAGGGGTGGGTTTTTGGGCAAAGGACCTGTTGAGGAGCGTTCAAAATCCTGATCTCCAAAGTGTTGGGGAGTATGGCTCGTGGTTGTGTTGCTCCAGGGTGGCGCAGGTAATTGCTTCGGCTGGCTCTCTAGCGCACGTATCAGCTGCACCCATCTGCTGGCTTCTCGCGTTGGAATACTCCCGTTTCAGTCATTGGCTTGAACTTGCAGCGCTTGAACTTTGCGGCAACACTAGGCCGGATCAGCCCGATCGGTGCAGGTTCTTGCTCAAGCAATGACAGCCGAGGATCTCGGTGTAGACATCCTTGTAGTTGTACACCCGGGTTCCATCTGCCTCCAGTCCCAAATAAGCCTTCCCAAGACCCCACAAACAAGAGAACTGTTCTTGACCATTCATCATCGCCTCTGGGGAGAGATGTGGAGTTTTCCTAAACCCTTCCGGACCTGCTCTTCGTAGGGCACATCGGACCAGTCGTCCTTCTGTTCAGGGACAGCTGGCCGGGAGGTTCTCAAAGCAGAAGAGCTCTGATTCTGACAACAACCTCTCCGGCTCTCAGACTCTTAGACACTTCCCCCAACCTCTCCTCCATGGTGCAAGGCACGAAGTCGTCCACTTCGACGAGCTCCCAGCGTCCGGATGCCATGTCAAAGAGCTGAACCACGAAGCGCCCTCGAGGAGTTGGGGTGGTTGTGTCGATCAGGGATAAGGGGTTCGAAAGGCGAATTGATTTTTAGGACAAGTTCTTGTCAGTATACGTACATATGTGCAAAAAAACTGGGCGCTGTTTCGTATGGCGGGGTCTGCACATCCGGACGGAAAGCTGCTTTTCAGTGCAACTTGCACGCGTGTCCAGGTAGCCCATGCAGGCACAAAACGGGAAACGGGACCCACGCCGGACTTCCCAGTTCAGAAGCTCAGAGCCCTCAACTGCCCTTCCCCCTCCCCGCCCCCTCCCCCGTGGTAACCTGCAGCTGGCTCCGCTTCCACGAAGAGCCGGCGAACTGCCCCGGGTCGCCGCGCCTTGGCTACAAGGCTCTTTGGCCCTCTGAGCCTTTTGAAGCATTTGGAGTGGTTGACAGTTGGGGAGAAAGCCTGGCACTTGAGGAGGGCGAAGGGCAACCATCCCTTCTCAGGAGGGTGTTCAGCGAGTTGTTGCCGATCTTTGCGGGGGCCGATGGGGGAGTCTGTGCATCGGGGTTCAAGCCTAAGACGGTTTGGGCTGTTTTCCCAAGCCTACTATGGCCGCCGTGAATCCAAGGCTGCAATTGTGGCAACCAGCCAGCAGTTGCCCAAGGAGCCTGGAGTATGGGTCAATCTGTGCATGTCTGCATCTAACACATGGCTCAGTGTAGACTCAGACAGCAAAACCTTGCGCAAATCCTTCCCTCCTCGCCTTGGGCAAGATCGCTGGAACTCATCCCTGGCTCGATTTTCAACTTCAATTCTTCCTTTGGGGGATTTGTTCAGGCTGGCGGATCAGTGTGGGAAGCACACAGTTTCAGGGCGGCAGGAGAGTGCCTGTCCAGGTCAGCTCTGACTGCTGCTTCTGGGAGAACTCTGCCGCCGAGATCTGCTGGTTGAAATGCCTCGCATGAACCCAGTATCTTGACCGTAGCCCTGCATGAAACACGCACTGGGTATCTGGTCTTCCGCGCTGTTGGACCATGTCGGGCTAAGCCTGCAGCTCAGAACTCTTACCATCCCTCAGCCCGAGCTGCAGGAGTTCCGGCACACGGACCCAGCGGGCGTTCTGCCGCTGGTCCTGCACAAGCAAAGGTATGTCTTTCTCTCGAGGACTTCATTAACGCATCGATCATGCCCACTCAGCCGCTCTCCAAGTTTGAAGTAATCAGCATCAGTCACCTTAAGAAGCAACAACAAACATGAAGCCTGTTTGCTTAAGAGGTCATTGGTGTGCAAGCGTCTGCCACCATGAGATTTGTGGATGAAACGGCGACATCCCCAACGGCCCAACAGTGCAGAAAAATCAGGGATTCAATCGGCTGCATGGCACCAAGCTTCAGATTCAGGTTGCAGGGTGCCAGAAATTCGTGGAATGCTGTGCAACGCGATCTGTGGAGAGCGTAAAGAAGCAGAGTCCTGTTCGCCTTATGCGGCAGTTTAGGTTGGCGTTGATTCTCAAACCCCACCCCTGATTGACAGGTGTGTCCTGTGTGATAAAGACCTTGCCTGCCTTTGCCTCCCCCAAAGAGCCAGGAGTGGGAGGAAAGGCCACGTCAATGAAGCGCGAGTCGTGGAGGTCGATCTCCTAAGGCTGGCTTAAGCATTCCCTAATTGGCCCTTGCTTCTGACCTGTGACTGACCCGGCTGCTCGAATTCTTCTTCTGACGCCTAACTAGTAGCAGCCTTGGAAAGAACCTCATTGATGCATCAGGCGTTTTGATCTTCAGGCTGGAGACTATTCCACGTCTTTCAGTGGAACCTGAGTGGTTAAATCCAGCTAGCCGCTCCTTTGAAAGATACCATCCTTTTACCTGCATGGTATGATTTTCAGTATGATGTTATATTATACCCTATTTTACTATAACCTGAATCTACGCCAATTCCACCAAGTCCAGGGGCATCCTCTGCATCAAGACAGACAGGGCGGCAACGCGAGGTGGACAGCCCCATGGCGAAGAGCTTTCCAAAGCGTGAGGGGCTGTGAGGGTAGTCTGGCCTTTTTCTGCCACCCGCCTATAGCTGAACTTGACGTCTGCATTCGAGAGTATGGGCAGCAACTGCGAGGTGTCTAGCTTAGGGCCGAGGGCCTGGGGCTTGTATGGAGGGGTTCAAGGAGCTTTCGTCGTTTGTTGGCTATGTTGGCTATGTTGCAAAACTTTTGGTGGACTGTTTAAGGAGTCTCTGCTTCCATAGGTCTTTGGATATTCTACTCTAGGCTGCGATTTTAACATTAAAAAACGTGCCAAAAGAAATCTTCAAATCTTGGACCGCTGGGCTTGAAGACCTGGAGCGCTTTCCTGCTGTCATCGGGTTGCTCGGGCTTGTCCGAGAGGGGCTTTAAACTCGCCGCAGCTCTCTGCCCTCCTTTGGAGGGACAGGCTGCGACGTGGGGGCCGGACGAGGCCTTGGATGGAACTTAGAATTTGCAAAAAAAACAGATTTTGGCAACGGCCGCTCCAGCCCCGACCTACAGACCTACAAAAGCAGCTTGGGCCATGGCGGGCATGAAGCAGCATGAGCACATGAAGTGCCATGGTTATGTTGAGCGCGCCGGCAGGTGGTCCTTCGATCCCGTTCGTCTGGTTGCAGCATGATCAGCATGGAGGCCCTTAAAGCCTAGAAATCTTTAGAGCCCTTCTAATTAAGACACAGGTTGAGTCCGACCTTGCTACGCTTGACCGTTCTTATTGTCACTCTTAGAAAAGTAGGGTTTTGTAAACAAGCAATGAGCGCTGAAGCCCTCGCAGACCGACAAGCTCGTATCCTGAAAGCGACTCCTCTTCCTTCTCCCCCATTTCAACTGCAAGCTCCCCTTCTTGCACAGGCTCCACCTCAGCATGCAGCTCGACTGCCTTCTTCGGACTGGGCCTTGGAAGCTTGGAGGTTTCACTACACAAATAAGAAATTAATAACAATAATAAAAACAATAATAATAGTAACTAATAATAACCATGAAACAAATGACAATAATAGTAATGATAATCATGATAATACTACTAATAATAATCATAGGAATACATACAAATTCTACTAGTAGTGTCATTGCGTTCTCCATCTAGGGTGGTAAGGTGTTATCATGCTTCGCCTCTGCCTCTGGGGGGCTCCTTGGGCGCTTATGCCAGCCTTGCACCAGACGCATTCTGATCAAAGATCCCCAGTTTGTTAGATGGAGAATTCTACTTTTCACCTCATGTTCTTTGGCAGGTTTTGATGAATGAAACGACTGAACGCCAGAGACTATAAGAAGACGAAGATCAAAGCCACGCCCGGGCATGACTTTTCATGTAGATCCGGCACTATGGCCTTGGGTTTAAGGTTTAAGGGTTTAAGGGTCTAAGGGTCTAAGGGTCTAGGGGTTCAAGGGGTTAGGGGGTTAAGGGTTTAAGGGTTTAAGGGTTTAGGGTTGCGCAGCACATCTCAATTGGCATCTAGCATTTCCTGCGGAGGGTCGCACATCGCAAGGCCCGGCCCAAGAAGCAGGGCCCTACCACACTAGGGACGAACGATCGGGCACCCTTTTTGTTTGCATGGCGTTTATGGGGTTCTTCGTTTGGGGGTTGAAGTTTGAAGGATGTTAAGGGTCTTGGCTTTCCATGCTGCGTGCTTCAGTATGTTAAGACATTCACGGGAGCTTTCGAAAGCAAATCGTCTTTCAAAAGGAGCTTCCGAACGGTTTGCTTCCCGGGTGAGACAGCACGAAGCTCTGCTGGGCAGGGAATAGGCTGTAGCTCACGAGGCCTATCCTTCCAGCTTCGGGATGCTGCAGCAAAAACAAACGTCCACCGAGGGCCCGCAGGACCTGCAGCCAGCTAACTTGGGGAGACTTAGGGTTTAGGGTTTATAATAGGGTTTCGCGGGTGGGTTTATAATAGGGTTTTTTTTTTCCCACCCGTTTCGCAAGCGTATACGGGGAAGAGGTCAGGCCTAGTTACCGCCAAAATTCAGGTTGAAAAGGTTGCTAATCCGTTGCTGGAGCCCTAGATGGCCTTCGGAGTGTACCTTACCCTGAAACATTCAAAGCCACACCAACAAAACCTCACAGCACGAACAACCCAAAGAAACGAGGAACCAACCCCGAAGCCACCATCCCCGGACTCCCAAAGTTCAAAGGTCAGAACCCTGTCCCCCCAGCGCACCTGTCCGAGTGGCACGTAGGCCAGAATGCAGCTAGGCAGGGTTGGCTGAAGGGAAAGGAGGACTTGAAGGAGGAAGAGATGCATGCACTCGGACAGGCTCACTATCCTGGAAATGATGTACAGCGGGGGCTACAGAGCTTGATATCCCCGGTCTTGCAGTGCTGAGGTCATATCTACTCAGATTCATTCTACATCAATAGAGTACCACAGCAAATACATCTCCCGGGGATACATTCACGCTGCAGACCTACCAATGGCATTCACTTCACTAAAGCAGAATTACCAGGGCTTCAAATGGGTCTGTTTGTTCCCAGAGCCTGGCCTGTTTCAAATGGCTTGATAGCTCACAGGAACCTGGGAGTTGCTTCCGGCGTGCATTTCCCCTGCATGGACCTACAAACCCTTAGCGGTCCTACAGACCCTCAACGTAGGTTAAGCAAGCCGGTCACTTGTCGCAACTCCCTGTGCAATGAGGTGTTGTCTAGCCAGCCATGAGACCACCCTTGAGGCACAATGTTAGGTCTGGGCACACCTGTGGCACCTGGCATGGGTAGTGTTTAGGGTGCTCTCATTGGGCTTAGACACCGTCGCGAAAGTCTTTAAGGCCCTCTCCTTGGAGCAGTTTCTCCAAGGAGGATGAGTTGCATGCACTCGGACAGGCTCACTATCTTGGAAACGATGTACATTGGGGTCGACGGAGCTTCGTATCCCCGATCTTACAATGTAGAGGTCCAATTTAGTCAGAATATGCCCACGCTACATCAACAAAAAACCACTGCAGAGACGCTCTCCGGGGATACGTTCACGCTGCAGATTTGCCAATGGCATCTACTTCGTTACAGGCCCGACCTGTTTCAAACAGCTTGACAGCTCACAAGATCCTGGAAGTTGCTCCCAGTGCGCATGTCCCCTACTAGGCTCGACAAACTAAGACACTCGTTCAAGTTCAAACGTGCAACAGTGGAACAATCCAGCGGGATCTTAAGAGCGTATCAGCATTTTATAATAGGGTTTAGGGTTTAGGGTTTAGAGTTTAGGGTTCATGAAGGAAACCAGCCATGCTGCAACAGGAACCGGTCGTCATTTGTGGGGCATTGATGCTGGGCTGCCGCCAAGCCATGCGGGCCCGCGTTGCTATGCTATCTTGACCTGTGCGTGGTCGGCATCTGTCTCCAGAAAGCCATCAGATCGCCGACGCTGCGCCGTAAAGATGTGGAACATAGACAGAACATGTATACACACACACACATAGAAGATACTATGATGCTAAAAAATGCAATACTATATAATACAAAATACTACTATATAATACTATATAGTACCATATACTACTATATATAATACTGTATAATACTATCTAATACTATATGATACTATATAATACTATCTAATACGAAATAATACAATATACTGCCATATCATACTATATAGTACTATAGAATACTATATAGTACTATATTGAATACCATATTCAATACTATATCATACAATGTAATGCTAGATAATCCTTTTTACAATTCTCTAGAATACTCTGCATAGTGCATAATCCTCCATAATACGATATACTAGCATACAATACGACATAATACGACGTAATACTACATAATACTACATAATACTTGGCAGGAATTCTCAGAAACAAATGCCAACTTGGAATGGTCAAGCATGTTGATTGGGCCAGGACTTGAGTCCGCGAAAATCTGCCGCTCTTCGGAAAATAAGCGAATCCAGCGGCAAAAGCGCGGTAAGCGACCAAGCGATGCTACTGTAGGATCATCTACAAGAAGGCATGAGAACTGAGTCCAAACTTCAAAGACCTTTCAAATGGGTTTGCAATCTAGCCTGCAAGCACCCCCCCCCCCCCCCCCCCCAGTTCTCGACAATCCGAAGATTTCCAAACTTCATTCAGGCTTGAAGAATGTCTGTCGGCCGCGCGCTGCTGGCCGCTATGTTCATGTGTAGCTTGTCTGGTACACTTGCCGAGCCGATACATTAACGGAGCCTCTGCATGAAGGATTGCAGTCGGACGGGGCGCTGGCACCTCACCTCGCGCCTCTGCATTTACTTTAGGTTAGGCATGGGGTTAGGGTTTAAGGTTCGGCAGTGTAAAGCCCACGCTCCACCCTATGACTTTGCGATCCACCCAAATCCGGTTTCGGATCTCATGCTTAGAGGGAGACCTTGGTGGATGGCAGATCGCCTGGCAGGTGTAAGCATTCTCCGTCTTCAACAGGCTTGCCGGAAGGAACTGCGCAAAGGCTAAGCATGAAACCAAATCATGCATGATCTGCTCTCAGTTGAGTAAAGTATTACACATCCGGCTGCATCACTACGTCAGGTAGTTAGAGTTCGTAGCTCCTAAACCCTAAACCCGAAACCCTAAACCCAAAACCCGATGCTTCCCGTTTTGCCCGATTCCTCGGCCTCTGCCTTCTGCTGGCAGCTCGGGCTCGCCTGGCGCAGCTGGTCACAGTGACTGTCTGGACCATCTCCTTACATCTCGAAGCAGAAATCCTGCAGATGAAGGCATTAAGGTATAGTAGGGATTATATAGGGGAATAAGATTACGGATCCCTTCCAGAAGTCCCTCCTTCTACCCGTCGGAAGCAGAAGTCTCAGCATGCAGAAGACGTGCATCCCCGGCCTGCATTTGCAAACATCGTTGCCACGACACCTCCCTTTCTTCGTAAGGCTGCCGGCGGGCCTGCCTCTTCGACCTTGCCTGTCATCTGTAAGCCAAAAAATAGAGAAAAAAAGAAACTTGGAAAATCTGTGGCGAACGGTACATGCATGATCCAGTGCTTTCGGAACTTCAGCGTGCAGAACTTGGCCCGTGAGAGCCACGGAGCCTTTGTCCATGCAAATCAGCAGGTCTGCATCCGCAATCGTGGACCTCACTCCAAGAGCCAACCAGTTCAGATTCTGTAGCCGTAACCGCCGGAAGCGCTACTGTACAGCCGGAAAGTCTCCAAGAAACCGTCTTCACCTGGGCTGTTCTCCCCAGTCCATGATCCCGAAGTCGCTCATTCCGAAAAGGAAGGGCTGAGACTGTCTTATCTGTACTCAAGAAGCCCGCACGGTCAGTACTACGCCTACGCCGTATCAGCTAGCGGCCAACCTCGGGTAGCCACAATACCTTCATGTTTTGGGTAACCTCCATCCTGTTGCGTGCGACTGTCAACAGTGCAGGCTCGCACTTCACACCGTTTGGGAAGACCTTGCTGGCAAGATACAGGCGATGCGCGATGATGAGCAAAGTTGAGCCGGAGAAGCAGGTGCGGAGCCTCAGCGGTCAAGCCCACATCACCTTACATCCATGAGAGATCCCTGGGCCCGAACGACCTTGGCTTTGGGGTCTAGCCCAAAAAGTAGTCTGCCGCACGACACCGATTTGCCTCCGGCTACAACAAAAGTGCCACTCTCAGTCTCATCAAAACTGGCCGTCCCTGACCCAAACCCATAGGGCTATGGGGCCATCTAGAAGCTACAGTACTCAGGAGCCTGAATCAACACTGCGGGGAGCGTTTTCTGGAGCGCGGCATCTGTGAGGGCGTCGATGTTTGCTGAGGCCTCGTCCAGCAACATCACGCGTGCCTGGGTATGAAAAAAGGCTGGTACCTTGGGATGTTCCCCCTGATGCTCACAGTCATGCTGGGGGGTACTGAGTGTCACATGGCAGACTACAGGAATTCCCGGCGTCCATGCCTGGTGGTTGTCTATACCCCTCCAACATCTCGACCAAAAAACCTTAAAATATCCAAATCCCAACCCCTGCGGGCCCAATACAGCTTCAAGTCCCGCTACATGATTTTTACAATTAGAGAGCTATACAAGTATGTTGTATCTTCACATACTTATATAATATATTCTTAGATAACTAGAAAATATATAAGTACAAATACATATATAGCACATAACTCATTTTAACATATAATGTAACTATGGCAAGGGCCGGCCTGGCGCAGCAGGGCCCGCGCAAAGCACAGCAACTGGCGTTGGCCAACCTTTGCAAAGCCCGCTTTGTCTTGGAAGTGGGAGCGGAAGCAGTGGCGCTACCGGGGGTTTGGGGGGGTGATGATGGTACGGCTGAGCGCGCCCCAGTGCAAGCCAAGGCAAGAAGTCGAGTCCAGTGGCTTCCGGCTTCTTCCCGTGAGCTTAAGCTTCAGTTTCTGCTCGGCACGAAGGGCAGGGCACCCCCTCCCGCGCGTGCGCCCACATTCACAATCTCGAAACAGGTGGCTCATGTCAAGTGTGCTTGGACGTGCCAGGAGGTGTCTTTCTCTTTCTCTCTTTCTTCAGAAGCGTGGTTTCTGGGCCTTTCGACTTCTGATCAACGATGCAAAGCAAAGTATGCTCAAGACTCAACACCTAGGACCTTGTTCAACCCGCAAACAAGATAACGCCATCACCTCTGGTACAGTAACGATACCGCTACCGATAACGAAAGATATCGGTGGTTGAAGCGCTGAATCGGTCTGGTGTCTCTGGTACTGAACGTTGACATAGCTTCGCAGCTTCCGTTGCTTGCCCCCCCCCCCCCCCCCCACCCCCCACCTAAATAACAAAAAGGACACACCCCCAAAGCCCAAGAACCCCAAGGGGCTTCGTTGCTCCTCAAGCGGCTGAGAAGTTGGCGCCGCGACCGTGCACTGGGGAATCCAACCCATCCTGTTTGAGCCGAAGCTGAGGTAGGGGATTGTTTATTATGAATTTGGGCTCCGGGTCAGAGTCAGGAAGTTCCAGCGTTGGGTTTTTCACTTGAGGCTGCGCGCCTCCAAGCCGGAAGCTTACGCGCAGCGCTGGGGCAACCACACCGGCAGGGCATCTTGCTCAAACTCGCAAACCATCGCTAACCCTCCAACCCTTCCCTGCCATGATAAAGCACAACAGCACAACTCCTCGAGCCCCTGAACCTACATGGGCTATTATACCCTACAACCCCCTTAACAAATCTTAAAAAGGCCCTTTATAGGGTTGGTTAGGGGGATTATAAGGCCTAATAGCCCATGCTGGAACAATCCTAAGCAGAGCCTCGCCGAGCGCTTCCCAGAGCCCAGTTTTCGCCAGAGCTTGCTGATGCTCGGTGGCGGAGGACATACCTGGAAAGTCAAAGGGAGATTTGGGGATCAGTTCGTTCAGTCGCACAGATTTGAACTCTGAAGCTTTGAGGCCACGTGGAAAGCACTTACTGTAGGTGGTTAAGCCGCTCACAATTGAGGTCGAAGCAGCGTCTTTGTGTTGCGATTGGCCAAGGGGGTGCTTCATGGCACGAGGCTAGGAGAAGGAAGGGCTGGAAAAGAGCCATGCGGCCGAAAGGATCCAAGTTGTCCCGAACGGTGCCAGCGAACAAAAACCTGAGTTCGAGACGGGGCACGTGCATGAGCGGTACCCAATACCTACAAAAGAACCGCAAGCAACCTGAACCCCACGAAGTTCTCAAGATGTTCTTTAAATAACACAGCCTGTTCTAAGACCAGGGGAGGGTTCAGGGTCAGGCTCGGCAACGGCTTCCACGTGCCAGGGCTCGAAATCTCAAAAGGCTTCAGGGTGGCAAGTGCAGCCTCCACGAACCTGTTCACAAGCATCCCTGGATTTCACCCAGGACCGAAACACTGTCAAACATCGTGTAAGACCTGGCGCCCATAGACTGTAAACCCTAGAGTCCCTAGAGCGATTTGGAACCAAGCTCGGGCCCCCACGGATCCTGCGGAATGATCGCCACCGCGTGGCCGCGGAGGAGCTGGAGGGGGACCTTGGCGAGGTCCTGCGGGGCAAAGTCAGCTTCGGAGGCTTAGGATTCAGCAGGATTCGGTGACGCTGAAGGTTGATGTGTGGCAACTGTTCGCTACGGCAAGGCCATCCATGGCTACCTGTTGAATAAGGGGCTGAATGCGAGCTTTCCAGGACGACGGAGTTTGAGGCTGCGTGGCAGTGCTGTCCTAAGATTGTCAGACAGCTGTGAAACTTTTGGCCGTTGGATGTCGTTGGCTCTTTTGGGGGGTTTGGAGGGCTTGTGACATGAAACTCAGTAAAACTCTATGCATGCGAATCCCTCGTCCTGGCCATCGATAAGGATCCGGCCTCCCGAATATCACTACGAGTAGCAACTACCGGGCGGCTCTTCATGACATCTCTTGTTGCACAGTGGGAACAGCTCAACCCTTAGCACCCGTCGGGCAACATGCCTTTTAAACACAGCAATATGGCCCAATATGGCATCTGGCCTCCAGCTAACTCCACGAGACGAAGCAATGCACCCATGCCTACGGATAGCGGGGCGGCGGCAAGAGAGACAAGCAAGATTTGAGATTTCCGGGCTCAGGGCTAATATCTCTGCACCACAGCCTTGCCTCACGAAGAGAACTTCCTGTGTAAGGCTGGATTGGTTGGGAGCAGAATCTACAACAAGTGCGGACCTAGGGGAACACAAAGTCCAAGTAAATGGGAAGCAGCTGTACGGGGACGGAAACGACCCATGACACAAGAATTGACACAGGAACAACAGCGCAGGTGGGTGTGAGCTCTGTTGTTGCTATGTGTTAAAAACTTTTGGCTAGCCACGGATTTAAGACTGTGCCCAAGAACTCGATTCGAAAGTCGTGTCGATGTCCACAGTGATCACAGCAGAGCGCTACACAGGAACACCTCAGCACTACCTCAGCCTTCAGCTCTTGGGGTCAGGCAGGTGGATTTGCCGGAGCCCGTTCGCCCAATGATGCCAGCACGCTGTCCGGCAAGGACGCGGAAAGACACTCCATCCAGGACCTCGCAGCATTGCAGTCAACCTCCTGGAGAGCCAGGACTGTTCAAAAGTTAAAGGCACTTGTGTGCCACCCTGGAAGCATCAGATCTGCCTCAACACTTGCACCCACGTACCTTTGAGGACGAGGAGTGTGAGCGTATGTGGAAGAGAGCTGTGAACCTCCAGGAAGACCGACCGCCGATCAGGAAAGGCATGCCTACGGGAGATAAGGAGAAGGATCGCAGGATAGTGGCAAGCTTGAAAGAGAGCGGAAAACAGAACTACCCGTCCCACGGGATGTGAGCATGACGTGTTACAATTGGCAAAAGGTGTCCCTTGTTTCGGCGCCAGAAAAAGGTTCGTTTGCAAATGCATGAACTCCCATTCCTTGTTTAGACACCTCTCGCTCTCTGTCTTGCAGACTCGGGTCGGTCATCTGCCGTCCGCAGCCAAACAGGCAATGCTCGTAGAGCACGCCCCACCGCCCATTTTTCGCGCAAACTAACGACAAACCACAAACAGTGTTTACCCGCGACTCCGAAGATCTGTCCAAGCTGCAAGAGGGAGGTGCGGGCGATAGCAGAGTTTCACCTCCTCGAAGACGACCTCCCCGCTGCTAGGCCAGGATGCCACAGGCATGGGCGCGTCGGTGTTCTCTGCCTGCCCGCAACTCCACTCCACTCCCAGGCTGAAAGCCATGACTTGTGTGAATGATGGTGGCTATGTTGAAAATCCCAGTCTGGGCCATGCCAATCTGCCTGCCCTTCTGCTTGACCGAGCCTCCTGAGGGACCTTGTCGAAATGCTGCCTGCGAGGCAACATCCAGCGCTTCTGACACATCTGCGTGTTCATGGATGCTGGCTCAGTGGCCAGCATCAACGTGTGGGATGGACAATCAAAGGCTCAGGTGAAATCAGGACACTCCTGGCAAGACAAGAGGAAAACCTGATCCGATACACACGAGCCAGCGAAAGCATGGGTGCTGCTTTAGGAAGGGAATCTTTCGGGATCTGTGCAGTAGCATTGCAAAATTAAAACGCGCAGCTTGCCGTCACGAACGTGCCATGCTGTTGTTGGGTGCCCTCAAAACACCGATTCCGACCTAGTTGCATCACCCAGCCCTGAACTTGTGAACACGGGTAGAACTGGGTTGCAAGCCGCCGGAAGCCCTGTCAAACACTTTAGGGCTACAATAGCCATGACTGAAATGCCAATGCGCCAAGATACAGGCGCTCAACTGAAGTAAAGTTGTTTTCGACTTCCGCGGAGAATCGGATCGTCCTGGTGCCCAAGACATTTCCATAGTGCCTTGAACTTAGGGCAAGGTAGGCAAAAGGATACTACCACATAGATACTTGCCATTGCTGTCCAAAAAGGATGCTACAGCAGTGTTAGGGGCTTTCTCAAGGCACGCTTGCGTGGCCGAACCGAAAAACATTCGTAGGAGGGATGCTGCTGATGCCGACGCAGCAGATTCTATTTTGAGGTTTCCTTGTGGCCTTTTTTTGGTGGCTTCGTGGTGCACTTCTTGGGCTGCAGGCTTTCGACGTTGGTTGCAGCTCACACCCCAGTCCCCGATTATGGCTCGTTAAATTAACGCTTCAGGTCAAAACCCTACAGGCGGGCAGGTTGCTGGTGCAGGCGTCCGACGAGTCCGGCGGCAGCTGAAAGGCCGAGACCGATTAGAGACGTCTCGAGACTTTTGCCCAACACCACGACCTGGGCATCAGACGGCTTGTCAGGCCTGCAATTTAAAACTGGTCAGGGTCTCAAGAGCAAACGGTTTAGCAACGTGCCCCTGAAAACCCGGCCAGGCCCCGGACCACTGCAGCCATGATGGACACAAAGAGTGCAGCGAGACCGTTCCTGGGGTGGAAGCCAAGGTTGCTGTTCGGCTTCCAGGATGGGTTGAAGGCACTATGCATCTTTCCGTCGACAGCATGGGTCGCCTGTTCAGGGGTTTCGCCATGTCTACATAGAGGGATCGGCAATTCAGGAATTCAGCGCAGTGGGACGTTTAAGGCGCGCTTGAAAAACATTCATGCTGCACCCGGTTTTGCAGCGCTACCCAGTAGAGAGCATCACTTGTTTTTGATCCGCTTTTTCGGGGGAAGTGAGGTGGGGGTTGGGCAGAGGGAACTAGTCGTGGGCAACGTATGGCAACATCACACTCGCATATACAAGTTCAGAATCCCGCGCAGCACGTTGAACGGCACAAGCGCGTGAAGGTGGAAGAACATCCTGGCATTCCGGTGAGGGCAAGGGCTGCTGAAGCCGTGTCTTGAGTACAGAACGGTGGCTCGGATAGGGCTGTGTTCAGGCCAGTGTCCTTTCACGTATGTGTTCTCTCACTCTCACTCTCACCCTTTCTTTCTTTCTTGAGGGCGAACCCCCGGGCGTCCACGCCCGCCCCTGTATTCGGGGGGGCCGCTTCTTGAAACTGAGAGAGGCCAAGTCGTGAGGCTCTGCTTTCCCTCCCCATCCCTGCGTGCCCCCCCCCCGCCCCCGCCGGTTGCATCCAGCCTTAGTACGTACCTTAGTGGCAGGATCCGCTGACTGAGCCCCATGCCTGACCCCTGTTGGGGTCGTGGCTGTCTGTGCCCCTCGCTCCCTTGCAGCCGGTTTCTTGACTGGGTTGCTAGCAGTCCCATTAATCCCCTAACCACTGAGCACTCTTGCCCCCCATCACACTCTCTCTGTCTCTGTCTTGTTGACCGTCCCTCTGTCTATCTCAGTCTTACCTAGATATGTCAAATCTGCGCTTCGAGTTTTTCTGACATTCAGGCACGCAGGTGTATCTGCATTCATGCCACCAGCTTTCTCTGACTCGCCGACCTGCTCGGCTCCTAGATCTTTGCGTGCGACAGCATGGAACCACCGTGCCACCAGAATACCCCAAAATCTAGGAACAAGGGCCTGCCCGTTCTACTGCTTCAAGCAACCTTGCTGGATGCGCTGCTGAACTTGGGCTCCAAACCCGAGAACAAGAGCCCTGTGTCAAACCCCTGCGCCCTTTTTCATCGAGTTTCTGGTTGTTCTCGTCCACCTTTCGCTCGAAGTTGCGCAGCGCACCTGAAAAAATCTAGAATGAAAGTTCAGCCGAGGCGTACTAAATATCGTACTGCACTAACATCGGAGTGATAAGGCTGATGGGTTTGAGACCTCTTGCGAACCTTAGCGAAGACAAGCCAGACAGTTTCAACGAAACACTCTGAAACTGAAACTCCAAAAAAAGGCGGGTGGCTCTGCTCCAGCCCAAATGCTCGGAGGTGAACCAAGCCCGTCAAAAGCTCCTGGAAGTCCACGTAGAGCGGGCTCCTCTTCACGCAGCGACTTTAACCCCGAAAGCCATCGAAAGCCCCCCAAACACCCCTAAAATCCATTGATTCTGAAGGCTTTTGCGAGGGCCTCACAGAGGCGTCCGGAGCTGTCGGCTTGACTTAAACCTGTGAAAACCTGTGCAAGATGATAATTCAAGTCCAAATTAATGAGCACAAGACCTCCTCCTGAACAGCTCACTTTGCAGAAGAACTCAACACTCAACCCATCGTGAATCATGCTCTGGTCCTGGAAACAGACTCTAGTCGTTTCAGTTCCCGGGCACTGCACGTGTAATACCTGCATCCGGGATGCTCATGCAAGGAGTGATGCGACATCCTTGATCAAGCCACCGGAACTCATGCAAGATTGCACGCCTCCGAACGTACACGAACATGATGCAAAGTGGGACTAAGCCCACGATCGCGAAGGGAGACACGGTTACGCAAACAGCCGCGCTGGCGGTGACGTAAACCAAGCTTGTGAGGAATTCGGCCATGTAGTCCTTGGAAATTCTCTGAGTTCCTACAGTGACGCCTTCCTCTCTTGTTAAGGACACACGCTCGTCGCCTCTCCCATGATTTCCGAATTGGGTCGGGCAGGAACATAGTTTAACGCGCAATGCGAGGGGGGTTTTCCAGGGTCAGGGGCAGAACCTTTTCAGGGTTTACGAACCCCAGCCCAGAAATCTTATGGTGACCGCACCGTGCATTGCAACATGGTGGGTCACACAGCTAAAACCGCAAAGGACCGATGCCCTAAACCCTAAACGTCCTAAACCCTAAACATCCCTAAACCCGAAACCCTTCACATCCCTTCACCCTGTCTTTCTCTCCATCCAAGAAGCCGGCAGTTGAGAGTCCATAGCATCCAGGTCCCTGGAGAAGCGATTCCTCGGTTCTTGACATGTTAAGGTTCTCAAGAGAATTATGAGAAGCGACTTTTTTGCCCAGGAAAATGGGAAACAGTTTCTCTCCCAGATTCCTCTGCTCGCGCTTTCTTGGGCTTGTACACAGACTAGTGAACAGGTGGGGTTGGTCTGAATTATGGGCCTTTTTTGGTCCAAACTGTGAGGAGCATATGTATCATACCGGAGACCCCAAAATAGCCCACATCTGCTGATTTACTGATCACAAAATCTGTACCACAATGTTCTCCGATGGCCAGGATTCAGGATCCGCCCGGCCGGGACCACATCGAAGAATAGCGGCGCAGAGGCTCGAAGCACCTTTTGCACCATGTGTGTGTGAGTACCCGCCGCGATGCGGACGATGACCATTGTGAACCTCGGGGACACCAGCATAAGGATTGGCGCGTTATAATGGAGGGCTGCTGCTGTTGCTGTTAGTCGTGTTGAAGCGCTACCCGCTCCAACTGCCGCGAGCTTAGCCATTAAATTTCACTGTCGGACAGCCAGCCGAGGACCTCAAACTTGGTGGCTTCAAAAAGACCCCAGGCCTCGCCAACCTGTCACCGGTGCAGCTTCGAGTAGTTGATGGACGTTGCGCTTTTTGTGAAACTTTTATGCAAGCGTTCTAAATAAGAATTAACTGCTTGGTCTTGTTTGGTCTTGCTGAGTCTTGCTTGTGTCGTCGTCATCGTCGTCGTGCAGTTCTCAGTCTCAGGGTGGAAAAGACTATCCTTCCTCAAGTGGAATCCCTAAGTGGAAGTCCCAAGTGGATTCCAAGGAACACTACAGCACGCAGCAGGCACACGAGGATGAGGAGGATCAGAATAGCACTGTATCCACCCAGCCAGTACGGAAGATCTTGTCCCGAATCACCAGTGGCTTCCGTCCACAGCGTGACCCAGATCTCCGTGGATGTGCGGCAGACCTCCGCGAGAACTACCAGCAGGGTGACAAACACGAAGAGCACGGCGCCTTGTAGCAACGACCCGCTAGAAGTTGCCTGCCGGAAGTAGGAGGCATAAGCATGCAGGCTTAGTATGCCCACCTGCCGGTCCTCTGCGATCAGCAGGGAGCCATCCTGCTTGCCAGATGCAGAGAGGACTGGAGCCTCCGAGTTGGCGCTGGGAAGGGCTGCAGGCTTGGCCGCAGTTTGGGCCTCGGCACAGCTTCCCATGGTTCCAACAGCTTCCCTTAGCCACTTGCTGGAAGCAAGCGCCTCCTCTGGCGGGGCTATTGTATCAACTGCGCCGCCGGGGCCCAGCACGACCACCGACTGGGCATGGGGCAGCAGGAGCGGCAGGAAGGTGTTCGCAACAATGATCCGTGTGCTCTGCTTCAACACTCCCAGAATCGCCTCGTTGATAATTGCTGTGGCGACGTGGACGTCCACAGCACTCAGCACGTCATCCAGAAACACCACGTCTGAGGTGCCAAAAAGAGCTCGAGCCAGGGCTATCCTTGCCTTCTGCCCACCAGACACATTGATTCCTCTAGAGCCGATCTCCGTAGAATCTCCACCAGGCAGGATAGCAAAGTCGGGCAGCAGCTGCGCTGCCTGTAACTTGGCAAGTGTTGATATTCGTACCACGTTATGAAAAAGTCTTACGTGCTGCCTGCACTGCATCGCTGTAGCTGTCCGCATTCTCAGGCCGCAAGCAGTGAACGTTTTCTTTCAAGGTCGCTGAAAGGATCCAGGGCCTCAGAGATGCCAACTACAAATAACCACAACCCAACATCTTATATCAACTTATATCTTGCCAAGCGTTCGCAATGCAAAATGCAATGCAAGAAACTCGTGCCAAGTGTTCGCAAGGAACCAATTACTGTTGAGCACGCTTGAGCAAACTTGAGAGCAAGCTGTCCGTTTGTGTAGAATGCACTCTCCAGGGCAGTTCTTCACACAAGCGGGGCACTGTGGACGTTGTCAAAATTATGTCAACATAATTATCATCACTGTGCGGCGCTCTCATCATTAAGCCGCAAGACCAACTCCCTGGCAATGCGTGACCAACAAAGGCTTGTGAGGATATGACATCCTCGCGCTGCAAGAAAAGACACACGGGTCACTGGTGCCACCTTGCTGCTCTTGCGCCGCGATGGAGGTCTTCCCGCCCACAGCGACGCGGCCTGGTCCCGACAGCGCCACCTGAGGACGTCCGAGCACAGACGATGCATCTAGCAAAGGCAAAGCTAAGAGACCTGAATCTCGAAAGGCGCCTCTCCCAGCATGCCAAGGACCAGCGTAGTCTTGCCAGAGCCCACTGGGCCGCAGACTACACCTCGCCGCTGAGGCATGCGCAGGCCTATCTTTTTTAAAAGGTTGACGATTTGGGCGCGTAGCAGGCCATCTATATGCGCCCACACATGCTCGGGGCTACTTGCACGCATCCATGCTCTGATTTAAGCACTTCACCTCCCTGGCCTGGCACCTCCAGCTTTTTTCACTCACACACACACACACACACCCTTGCCTGTTTTTGCATCCCCACTGCCCTCTGACCAAACAGTCACACAGCAGTCTGATGGAGGTTGAAGGCTAGCTTGGGATGCAGGTTCGGACTTAGGTTCGGACTTGCAAGGGAAAAGCAGCACACGACGTTTGAAGCTCCGGAACATCACAGCCCTGGAAAGAAATTGAACCTGAGTTGAACCCTCAACCACCTCAAAGGAGGGACTGCAGTGCACAAGGCTCTCATATGCCCTCCTCACCCTCCTTGGAATCCAAGCCCTCCAAGCCCTCCTAAGCACAAATCCTGAAACTTGAACTGGCAAAAGGGGAAAGCCGAGTTGCAAAGATCTCCAGGCTTGAGGTTCAGGTTTAATTTGCCCAGGGTGAAGAGCTCCTTCCCCTCCTCAAAAATCTTACGTTAAGTTGAGCCAATGTGTTCTAGATGATCGCTGCATGATGCAATGGTTATTGAGGATGTGAAAGCCGCGCCCTCGGAACAGGAACCCTGTATAAAGCCTAAGGGCGTGCAGGGTGGTCATGACATGAAGCCATGAAAGCTCCCCCTTGCCCTCCGGAAACTTTTGCTCCGGCACTCCTCCAATCTGCCGCGCCCAAAACTGGCCTGCAACAAAGGTGACTTCTCGTGCATGCGCATGGCCCAGGTAACAAGCCCCAAATGCCCCCAACCCCAAAGCGAATCGAGACCCTTGAACCTTTTGGAAACCAAATGCTGGCCACTGGTCCTGAGAGCCAAGGTTAAAAAGCGTAGCAGGGCCTGGTCTAAGGTGACCTGGCCGGCGTCTGCTACGCTTGGCTCCTGCCAATGCCAGAGTTGCCATCCAGCGGTGCAGTCCCAACCCGTAGAGCTACTGAGGGTCAAACCCCTAAAGCACAAACATGACTTGACAGCTATCGGCTCTCGATGTACCTCTCTCTCTCTCTCTCTCGCAGGCGCTCAGTCAATGTCAGGCCGGATGTACCTCACACCGGAATCCCGCCTCACTCATAGCCTTTGCGCCTACGCTTCAGAAGCCCGTTAAGAATGAAGGGTTCCTAAACTGATTGAAGATGGATCGCTACATCTCGACCCATTTTGATCCCGGGGTCCCTCGACCCTTCTGATTGGGACACCCAAGGCGGTTGCGCGCGGCCTTCTCCGGCAAAAGGAGGTCCTGCCGACCCAGGAATGATTGGAGCCGGGAGTACCTGAAAGTTCTCAGAAGGAGGGTTGACTGCTGAGAACTCTTCAGTTTTCAGGAAAGTGCTCTCAGGCTGTCACGAAGTGGAGAGCTCGGCGAGGTTGGCAAAACTATTTGGCAGGATGCCTCGGCACTTATAGCATCTGCCCTTCGTTGCACGTTGGGTGCTAGGGACGCGGGGGCAAGGACCACTGCTTGGCGGCTTCTCTTGCAGAGGTCCTACGATTCGTGACCGCTTAGCAAGTGGCACACACACAATGCGTGAGGCACGACACCATACACTGCACGACACAGTTGTCAACCGTGACAAGCGAGGGTCCCGACTCCTCAGTCGCAAAAGCCCAAGCGATGCGAATGGGCCCTGAATCCCAACCAAGACCCCATTTACAAGATACAAGAGCCCATTGTCCGACTTGGCGGAGTGTCCCTGTCAATTCATCTCCTGGACTTGCGGAACTGGACCAGACAAAGGGCCCATCATGATCTGCAGGGACCGCAAGACGGTGAGGGCCGGGAATACCTCGGCTGGTGCTCACACAGTGATTCATGCCAAACTGCTTGACATTCCCACCTTATCGTGAGAAGATTGTGCTTCGGTCCAAGAGAGGGAACATGTAAGCCATGCAAGACTTTAAGATGATGAAATCTAGGGGCGAGCTCCGCAAGCATCTCGCCACCTAGCAGCGCATAGGTCGCAAACCTCGGTCCAAGTTCTGGCGTTTATTTACTTTCTTGGGCTGGATTCCCACACAGCCAGTGGAGCCAAAACTGGTCCAGGATTCCACAGCTCAGGAAACTTTTCCCGACTCCGCTTCTGCACTGCCCTCCACTTCCGAGAGCACAGCCGAGCTTTGGATTCCAAATACGGGAGCTGAGCTCCTGAGGCCCCGCACGTGCAAAAGCCCACGATGCAGGGCGAGGTGAGCGCCATCATCAGGTTGACCTTTTCAGCACCGTCATGCACTGGACTGAAACCTGTACAAAATCCTACAGATCCCGTGCAGTGTCCAACATCCAGCTAGCCCGAGGCTTGCATTAAGCTCCCAAGCTGCTGATGGGCAGGAATTTCCCGTCGGCAAAATAAGCGCACTGGATGCCAAAATCTCGTCATCTCTCAGCTTGCGTACCACCTGCCTCAATACTAAATACCTCATCACACACCGTCCTCGCTCATCCTGCGGGTCTGCGCGGGAGCCTTTGTGAACCCGAACTTGGCCCCCACCCGAAACCCGTCGAGCGAAAAACCCTCGATCCCTCCACCATCCTAGGACCTACGAGCAGCCACGAAGGCTCACTCAGGCATGAGAATACGAGAGTTCTCCCTCTTACCCTTTTCGACCCTTCCGAAGCAGAACTCGAGCAGGCCGGCGCGGGGGTTGCCCCGATCACGCCACGCGTCTGCTGCGCGCCCGTGTCTCAGTGTCTGCGTGAAACTACAGCCGGCCGCTTGCGCACTGGAGGAGTATATGGATTCCCCCAAACGCGAGCCCTATTAGGGTAAGTTGCCCAAGTACGTTCCCCTCGGGTTTGGTGGTGTTCCTGGGCACCTAGGCGAGTACTTGCGTGTGAGACGCTCGATCTGGCCAGATAGTTTCTTTCTTTCTTTTCGTCATTTCATTCTCTTTGTTTTTTTCTCTCTTCTTATTCTTCTTCTTCTTCTTCTTCTTCTTCTTCTTCTTCTTCTTCTTCTTCTTCTTCTTCTTCTTCTTCTTCGGGGCTTGAGGGGAGCGAAACCCCCCCCCCCCCCGCGCGCTGGGCGCGCCCAGGTTGCAGCGTGTCCGTGTGAAACTGCAAGCGGGGATAGGGATGGTTGCGTCCTGGATTGACTATTCCCCCCCCCCCCCCCCCTAATCCCCCTAATCCGGGTCGCGCCATCGAGTGCGGTTGACTTGTTTCCCCGTGTGAAACGGTCCGCCTGTTCTTCCACATTTCTCTCTCTCTCTCTCTGCCGCGCCATCCCCGAGGGTCTTGCTTTGTTTCTGTATTTATTTGTTTCTTTTCTGAAGCGCTATCTCCGTTTTTTTCTTTTCTGTTTTTGTTCTGTGTTTTCTGTGTTTTTGCTATCTTTTGTTTTTTTTCACCTATTCTTTTCTTTGTTTCTTTTGTCTTTGTGTCTTTGTGTTCATTGTTCCCTGTTTGTTTGTTTTCTTTCTTTCTTGTCTTTCTTGAGGGCAGGTTTGCCTCGCCCCTGCTCCAGGGGCCTCGGCAACCAGGACCCATTCGGCATGGGACCGGTGTGTTTCGATCACCCCCCTTTCTTTCTTTCTTCTCTCTTCTTCTCTCGCCTTCCCTTATCTACCTTGTTTTCTCTTTCTTCTCGCCTCTTCTGTCGTGCTCTTTCCGAACATGTTCTTCTGCTTGGCGCACGAGAGCCTTGCACTGCTCCTGTGTCAGATCAGCTGCTCCTTCGTTTGAGTCCACTCTTTGGTCCAATGAGGCATCGGAGTGTCTGAAGCTGAACTTCAGCATAGCATGTTTTACTCATGGAAGGTCTCTGTTGAACCGAAACACCCAAGACCTTAAGCAGAAGCTGAGCCCCCGGCACCTTTCCAAAGGAGCACGCGCCGGTGGTGACTGAGCTCCGCCCGGCGCACGGCCTTCCAAAGGGTTTAAGGTCCAGACTTGAGATTTTATGCTTTAACTGCAGGCAAACTCACGGGAAATTCGCAGGATATTTGCCTTTGGATTTTCGTTCAATTGAGGCGTCCGTAGGCTTCCAGTGCTTGGCCACTTCCAGGTGCCTGGAGCTTCATCTCAGCCACGGAGGTCCAACCATTCCTTACTAGATTGCCAAGGGACATTTCAGGGCATGTGGAACTGTGGTCCAGGGCCGGTTGGGTTCAGAGCGTATAAACTTCAAGCTTGGTGAGATACATCTCAACGTGGGCAGCTTGGATTTGAAAGGACAAACTTGTTCAAGGGGAATCAAGCCTTCGAGAAGCAAGAGCCTTTCATGCTGCTTTATGACTGCTAGAGCAGACGACCACATGCAAGAACTCGCGCCTAGCCCGAACCCTTCAAGTGCCTGCACATGTGTCGAGTGCTCCTGAAACACTGTGAGAATCTCTTGTTGAAGTTTAGGGCTGAGTGGATGTTAACGTGCTACCACACGAAGTGCCAGAAGACACGGCAACGGTGCGACAGCCTGCAAGTCTTGCCATGCGTCTCTAGTGGCACATGCTTTTTTGCACGACCAACGCCGCAGCGAGACGAAGCGATGGAGCATTGACAGGTGCAAAAGTTGCGCTGCGACGGCAATCTGCAATCCCAGCTAGTCCCAGAGATTCAAATCGACACCCCTATCGCCCTCTTCTCTTGCACAAGGCCTTGCTATCAGCAAAAAACATGAAACATGGACATCTTGGCCAACCTCAATTCGCAGTCAAACATCTTGCTAAGCACCGGATCTGCAGACCGCAAGCGCAGTATAGCATGTTGGGCCTCATGCCCTGTATGCTTTACAGCAGACTCTTCCCAAAATGGGACCACATTTGTGCTGCTGCACATCCTAATCAGGCGGCTTCTGCCGTGAATTACCGTTTGAAGCCACAGCCAAGAGAAGCCGTTCGTGATGCTGCGTTTGACAGTGACATGATTGCAGCCAACCACCGGGTGAAGAAGAACAACCACAGGTACCTAGAATCAGAAACGATCCCATGAAACAAGGAAAGCACCTCATTGCATGAGCCCACGCATGCCCCCGTTTTCGAGTTTCAATCGTGCCTCGGTCTCGGGACACAAGCCCAAGGTCCAAGTTTGGGAAGGGTCCACTTGAGCCATCATGGCCTTGCGTGGAAACGCGGGAGCGGGATCCTCAACGTACAAAAGAAAAGTTGCCATGACATGATTTGGAACCACGAGGTGTTGGAGACCGGTAGCCTTGCTACAAACAATTTTAGCTGTCCTCGGAACACCTCACGAGTGTCCCCATACTCATCCTATACTCCTAACGCTTCAACCTCCAAGCCTGTCAACCCTCTTGCGTCCAGTTGAGGAGCCCCCAACGCAAAGTCATGCAGTCAAGTTATGAAGGAGGCCCGGCCCTAGATGGGGTGCCAATGAGGCTGCGAAAAGGCTTCATGCCTACAAGAGTTTCATGCAAACAGGGTGTGCGAAGTCCTCCGGGTTGGGATTGAAGGGGCTAAGAGCTAAGCTCTTGATGGCTTCAGAGTATTCGAGATTAGGTGGGCAGAGTTCAGGCACGCAAAGGCGCAGGACCACCCTTCATAACGGCTGTACCACCATGGCAGAGAGTGCAGGGTCCAGGATTCACCCTGCTGCCCTGGAATTCCTAGCCAGAGGCAGGAGAGATGGCAAGCAGGGTTCGTAGGATCCGGGGTCGGGTTGAGCCCCGGGTCGAACCCTCCTCAGACACCTTGCAAATGAGACCAACTGATACATCTGCTTTTCGTGGATCCTAAACCCACGTGCACGCGAAATCGGCTTAGGGTTCCCAGTATTTTCCGAGTGCCTGTTGACGCCTGGTTTCGGGAAAAACCTCTGGGCATCAGAACATGAAATCACTTCCTCTGCGTTGGAAACAGTTACAGACATATATTCTGAGGTTGATGGGGGGGGGCAAACCTTCCCCATGGTTCGAAGGGGTGCAGATTAGTGTGTAGGATGCCAACCTCGACTACACTGAGCAAGCGCAACTCAGGGCTCAAGGTTTGGCATCTTGTTTGACTAGGTCCTGCGATGCGATCTTCCAGCCCATGGGTCCGAACATGTTCAAATGTATATTGCACCAGTTAGGGAAGTCGCCTAACATGCAGGTGCACCTGAAAAGAAAGGGCGCTCCGAAAACCTGTGGGTTGGGATAGGGTCTGGGTTCAGTGTTGTGAAAGTCCTTGGGGCAAGCCATGATGCATGTTTCCCTGTACTATCCCGCAAGAGCTGGGCTCTCCCAAAATCTGCAAAAGCTTGTACCTCACCATCTAAGGCCCATCTCACGAGGCAACGCCAAGCTTCAGGGTGAAGAGATAGGGCGGGTAGGGTTCGGGTTTAAAGCGCATCCAATATGCATAGCCCTGCCTCCTTGGACGATAATGCGAAATAATGCGTTAAGCTGCGTTTGGCAAGATCTGCTCACGATAGATGTTTGCCATCACCCCCCCCCCCCCCCCCCCCCTGCCGAACAGATTGTGTGTATGCAAACTGTATGTATGCATGCAAATGTATATCTTGAGACCCGGAACATCAAGCCCCATGCCCTTCCCCTGGCCCATAAATACAACCATGACCACTTCATGGGCGGCTCTTAGCCCTACAACCACCAAAAGAGCAGGGTTTAGGGTTTAGGTTTTAGGGTTGCTGTCAGAAGCTTAGATCCGAATTCAAGGAGAAACTGCACCTAAGCTTCGAATAACGAGAAGGATCCCACAGAGGTCTTCGGGGCGCCGAACATTCCCACCTTCTGTCGGTCGGCGGCATTGGCAACAGATTCACAGCAAACTGCAACCCAATATCCAAAAGCTTGGTGAACCTTATTCAATACAGGACATCCCCGAGAAATACTGCCAAAACTATGCACTCCCGAGGGTCAGAGCTGAGCCGTCGCAACTAGACGTGCTGTGCAAGCGAGACCCCCGAATTCCAGGAGCGACATGTCATCACAAGTCCCTCCTTGTCGAATCTGAATTCGCAAAAGCAGAGACGCATCTCGGAGCACGAGGCTCACGGGATATGCCGAATTGCAACGAAACAAGCCTGATGACCAACTAGCGATGACATGAGCTATATCTCTCTCTGTCACGTAGATGGCAACAACAGTACCGGCGTCTCTGCCGAGATGTGACCTACGAGGGGGCCGACATACATCACATGAGCTGTGGGGAACTGTGAAAAACACAGCCACTGCCGGCCCCGTGTCATCAAGTGGCATCAACCTCCATTCATTGTAGGGCGCGCGCAGCGCCAGAGTCTATGTCATTGTCATTCCCTACTCACGGGACATTCCTCAGGGTCCCAAAAACAGCCGCACTTGGGTTGCCTTGAAAAGGACCCCTGCAGGCGAGCCAGCCGCAGTTTTATTGAAACATCATTTGGTGAAAGCATCGCTCCAAGTGCGTGAAGATGCGTCATTGCTTCTCTCAAGTCGTGCGGCTGTCTAGAGAAGTTGCGCAAGAAATCCGAAGGCCTCATGCAAACACGCCTGGGCACGTCTTAAGGAGCTTTTGCACAGCATCGGCCCCTGTCCTTGTGCTGAAGAGACCGCAGCTGCTGCTACAAGTAGCGTGCGAATGTCTATAAGCAGATCTGGCTGGTGCTCCGCTGCTAGGCCTTCGAACCACATCGAAGCCCATCGCCTCCTGTCACAGCCCTTGGCTACGCAAGTCGCCCCATATGCGAACCAAGCGCACTCTGACACCTTGGGCAAATCTGTCCAGCTCAGCTCCTGAGAAGGGATAGTCAGCACCCAAAACAGGACACCAGGACGTAAAGGGACACACTCATGGCTGGTCTTTATACGATGTCCGAAGACTGGCAAGATGGAGGACTCATTTTCAGCACGCCCCATGCGCGTGACACTTGCCTTTGCGTACGCCAGACGATGTTAGACGCGCATGGGTGAACAGCTCAAGCATCGTTTCGGGCCATCACTTAGCCATACATTCACCAACGGTCACTAACGACTTGCTTACGCCGTCCTGCGGCCATTCTGCACAGCACAGTGCAACGAGGTTGGCTGGAGTTTGCTCGGAAGCATGCCGGGGGACGATTGCAACAAGTTCTTTTAGACCGTGCGTGCAACCTTGTGAACCTCAACCCCGCACAGCCGTGAAAGGAAGGCTCATCGAAAGCCCTCGATATGCCTTGAAGCACCGCAGAACACGCTCAAAGACCTGTTCGGCTGCCCATGCTTGCTAAGGGCATTGACTCTAGCCCACCGACTTGCAGGCCCAGCATCCGCGTGACGCCGCGGCGGTGGGACAAAGTCAGCTTCGAGGCCCCTTCTTCACCACGACACCTCATGGCTGTGAAAGGCTTCGGGCTCAAAGCGCCCGGCAAGCCTTCATGTAAGCCTGCACCCCCTGGCTATCCAACCCAAGGGTCGAATTATAACCAACATTCTTCAACAGAGGGGCTGTGGGATTGGAATGCTTGCTTGAAGTTACCCGAATTCTCGCTATGATGTTCGGACTTGGTGATCTTTTGCATTTTGACCGTGCGCTCATGTGATGCAACGCAAACTTTAGCGAACCCGGGACTCTTCAAAGCTTAGTCTGAACCCGCAGCCTTTTTTGCCAAGGCTTCGCAAATTTGCCACTGGAGCCCACCACATGAGAAGGACTATGCCACTATGCGTGACCACATCAAGAGACTCCACGAAATGTCAACAAGGGCACCTGCAAAACCTTTTTGAAGGTCCCTTCAATGCAACTGCATCGCACAACCCATTCCAACCCACACCGGTGCTTGAGCGCACTGAGGCTTTGAAAGGCATGCGGTTGGCCAACCCAGTCCAGTTTGCACTGGGGGCTTCAGGGGTGTTCGGGTTCGGTGTTTGAAGGTCTGCTTCATTCTTTGTCACAAGCTTAGCTACCATATACCTGCCAGAGCACTTGACCGCGCCGCACGCAGCCAGGCTGGCTGGCACCTAAGGCTTGTGACGGGTGCAAGGCAGGTGACTATGGCATTGTGGCGAAGATCGGTTCAAAGGAACACAGACATGGACCTGGAGGCTGGGGCCCTGCTACGAACAGCCTCTGCACATGGCCAAGCTGCTTGTCCAACTTCAGAAAGCGCGGATTCGGCCTCAAGCAAAGGTGCGGAGGGCGCTAGGCCAAAGACCCGCATGACCCGCTCTCTCCCACAACAGGACTTGCAGAGCGAGAGCAACTATGGTGGAAGCCCTGGCCTTGTCCACGAGTTGAAGCTCATGCTCCAAGTACGCTTCGAAGTCTCCGTAGGCGACGCGGCCGAGACCTGCCAAACTAAGTGGGGTGCTTCTTGTGCCGAGCCACACAAAGTTTTCGGGACCCGCCTTTGCTGTCCATGGCCCGCACCAGAGCATCCGCATCGGCGTTTGCAGTGACCAGGCCACTCAAACATAGCCTGAGCGGTGATTCAAAAAAAGGCAAGCAGGTCTCTGCATCAAGAAAAACATCCAAAGACGCGTTCTCACATGAATGTGAGACTACGAGTAGGAGGTCATGTATTCTTTGTGCCGGGTACATAAGATTGGCCGCAATTCGGGGCTTCAGGCAGATTCGCCATGTTGGGCTTGCTTCAGATGCGCCGCACACATAACTCGCTAAATGTCTGGGCCAACTACTCAAAGGCTGAAAGCGACCATGAACAAGGTTTTCAGAGGGGCAGCGCTGCCTCTGTTCAAAATCCCTCCTGCTACGGAATCAGAACAGTATGCGGATTCTGGACGTGGCAAAGAGAAAAGCTTCAGCCACGTGCCTCCTGAAGCATGCCGGCCCCAAAAAATGCCGGCACCCAGTTCCCGGCTAAAGCCATGAACCACAATACCCTTTTCGGCCCATACGGCCCCAAATACCCCACAGAACTCCCAAAAAAAAAACCAAAAGCCCCAGGCATCCTCCCAAAAATCTAAACCGCAAGTCGGGTGGCATCCTTATCATGTCCGAGTTCTCCACCCAGCCTTTGCCCACTGTGTCGAACTCGTGCCAGGCGACCTTCACTGCCTTCCAAGTGTCTCAGAGGGCGATTCCATCCACGTGCAGCACGTCTCAAGAGCAGGGCACTGACTCGAGCCTACTGAAAAAAAAAGGGTGCACTCGAGAAGTGCGAGAAGTGAGAAGCAACCACTGAGAGCCGGCAACAGCCGAAAGCAATCAAACTGTACGACACGAGCAAAAGTTCAAAACCAACAGCACGGTAACAGGCAGCGGGGCTGGACGCCGGCATAGAGACGAGATGCACTGGCCAAAGTCATCGCAGCCATCTCTGACAAACTTCAAGGCGCTTACTGTTTTGAGAGCGCCTTCTTTTGCCATTCGCCCGACGTCGCGATACAGGCAGCCACGAACTCCTGCTCAGGGGCCCGATGTCACCACAATCTTGGCCGACTTGTGGTTGAAGTTCAGGCACGTTTTGGGCATAACAGCAGGGATCCACGCCATGTAGTTCCTAAAGCGATCACCAGCTCGCAATACAAAGGATGGGAAACTAGCCCCAGAGTGATGCCCATCGTGGCAACAGCCAGTAGCCCAAGCGTATCTAAGTGTCTAAGTGCATACAACAATCCAACAGCAGTTCGAGATTCCGATGCAGGGCTTTGGGCGCTTATGATCGTTGCCCGGGTTTGGACATGTCTAATAATGATTTCATAATATCCGGAGAGATAAAGTTCAAAATCTCAATCACTGAAGGCTCCGAGAATTCCACGCACCCGTTGCCGTCGACGTCCAGCGCTTTCACCGCCGTCTCCGCATCCCGCGGTGTAAGGCCCAGAGACTGAAAGGAGGTCAACCTCTCAGAGAGCTTTTGCTGAGTACTAAGGCAACTTCCTAAATTCAGAACCTTCCGAGATTCCCTCAGCCTCAAACTGCAAAGGAAGCGTATTGGCCTCGTAAGCAACACCTCTGGGACCATGGCTTCAACGCCGAAAGCTTCAGTTGCCAAGGAAAGAGGGCTTCTCAAGGTTTAGGCGGTTTAGCCCCTGCCCAAGGAAAAGCCAAACCTACGTGCGTCCGACTGGCAAGTCTGACGTGCGCAAACCGCCACAGCTGGATCGACTAAGGTCCTGCAGTCATTTCCCAAAGGTTCTGTGGAGTGGGCTTCAGTCACCTCAGGAGCCAACACCACTACAGGAAACTGTGCAAACCTACGCCTCTTGCATTCTAGCAAGTAAAGGAAAGCTACAGCTCAAACAGTTGCAATGACCCAGTTTCTACCCTGCCCCCTACTTGTCGACAGCATGGGCCTGCTTCAGGGTCAGGAGTCAGGCAGCATTGCAAGTCACAAGTACTCTGAAGAGGCTGGCCATGAAGGACCAACATGTAGCACTTCCAAACGCCGACCACCAACCAAGCACTCTGCGTCAGCACAATTGCAATGCTTTGGAGGGGTGTGGACGGTGTGGATGTGAACGGAAACCAAAAGAAGGACGTAACGATAAGCGGGGCAAATCTGACGAACGCAGAAAGCAGACGCGGGCGCAACGGAAAGTTCAGCGAAACCTGCAACTCGTAACAGAAACCTCCAATCCCCGAAGCGCAAATCCCTCACCCAAACCCTGAACCCTTAAGCCGTGCTTAACGCCTAGCCTGAAGCCGAATGATGAACACCTGAATTCTCCCTGTATTGCTGTTGCGCTCTTTTGCCCATATGGCTTCCGTTACACCCCGCTGGTTTCCGTTGCAACCGTTGCACTCTTCCGCGGAGGCCTTGAACTCCGCCACCAGGTCCGCTGTCTGCGCAGTCGACATCTTCGTTGCTACCTGAGCCCGTTGCTTGTCGTTGCTTCAGGCTTCTTCGAGAACCCAAGACCAGGCTTGCGTGCACGTCGAATGCCAAAAACAAGCGAGACAAAAGACACTCACATCCGCACGGGGGACCTTACTAACCCTCAAAAGCCGGAAGAGCTCCCTGCCTTTGCCATCAGGGCCCGCTGGAAGGCACTATGCTGGCGGTATCTGGCCAGGGCCTGGTTTCGGTGTTGCCACGTTCTGTTGGACTTTCAAGCTTGAGGCTTTGATTCTTTGATGTCTGGGCTTATAGGTCTCGGATGATGCCAGACTGTCCATCTCTTGAAGAGTTGGTGGGCTGCCCTTCGGGTCTTCAAGCGGTTGTCCATTCATGCCCCAGCTGTACAGTGCAAATGAAGGCACTTGTTGCATGTATTCATCCAATGAGTGCCGAATCTTGCTTGCGGATCTGTCGAGCATCCGTTCTTGGAGCGGTGCCATGACGACATACCGGCGCCCCCCCCCCCCCCCCCCCCCCCCTCAATGCAAAACACAGCCCCAAACCCCCAATGGTGCTACGCAGATGGAATTATTTGCCCGGGCCTATCCTAATCACCAACCTGGGTAGACCCCATCCGTAGTCTTGCCGATGGTGCCTGCAGCTGCTCCGCCGGGATCACGGCAGAGGAGCCGCGTGCAAATTGGAACCACCTTTTGTCGTTGTAGTTGCGGCTTTCGGTCAAGCATCGATAGCGTTCGGTTATATTGGGTCGATGGAGTTTGCCTGCTAATGGGGCGAGCAAGAAAATTGACAGACGCACTTCTCAAAAACTGGCACTGGCCACCTTTGGCAAGGTCAGCCAAAACAAGCTGCCAGAAGTTAAAACCATCTGCCTGTGGCTCAGCGCTTCGTCGCAGCTCGGTCTCATTGTCTCCTGGCCAGCTGTTGAACTTAAGTCACCTTCACGGCATAAAAACATCCCGGTCGCAGATCCCAATTCACAGGAACCCTAAACCCTGAACCCTAGACTCGGTGACGACCAGTCCTGTGGTGCCATCATCCGCCGAACAAGCTCCTGCAGCGGGGGCTTTGGGCGCTCGGCTGACTTCCAGCTGACCACTTCGAACCCGCAGATCGGAGCTGGGACCTTGAAGCCATCGACAAGGCCGGTCCACGTCGGGGTGTTTTTGTATGGGCTCAACAGCTCAAGAGGGCACGGGGGCATGCAATGGCATGCAAAGGTGATTTCTGGCGATCCTCCGCAAGGAGGTGTGAAATCGAGGTGGTTCTTTTCAGATGGCCGAGCAAGTGCTGTGCACGTTGTGTTGCCTCGGCTTGTGCCAATCCGAAGAAGTGTTCCCCTCATTTTTCTCGTGTAAACACGTTTTAAACCCCGAACGTCAAACTAATTGTGCATGACAGAGAAAAGTGCCGCTGCGCTCAACACTCGCGCGATGCACCTAGAACATCACAGACATGCGCCCCACGTGGACTTGCTAGTTGGCTGGATCGGTGCCAGTTCCTGACACGAAGAGTGGGATCCCAGTGTGGGCGCCGATCGATGCATATCTACAGAGCACAAAGGTCCCAACCTCAACGAACAAACGGCCCACGAGACTTCCATGTGATAACGCCCTGGGTCCTGCGAGTCTGCGGACGCCTTTGCAATGAGGCGCCAGTCGGGGCCTTGCGAGTGGAAGCACGTTGAGAACGCCCAGCAAGCCCAGGCCAATTCGTTAAGGATGCGGACAATGACGAAGGGGTTAGGATCGTGCAGTTGAGGAGTGCCGGGCCAACGTCGGGTTTACAGAGGTGCAAGGGCAACATGAACTTGGGGTGATGGGGGTGTGGGATACAAAGATAAAGAAGTCTAGCAGCAACCCTTGCTGGATACTTGCGCCCTGGTAGTCCACTCTGCCAAACAACGCTTTACAAGCGGACTTTCATCACGTGCAGCCAACCGCAGACCCTAAACTTGTTACATCTTGGCTGTTGGCTGGCAGCTGTCCCCAGGTCGATCTTAAGCATACAATCACACAAGCAGCAAGGACACAGAGCACGCTTGTGAACACTACATGCCAAACCCAATAATTCTGCACCACGACCCTTAAAACCAAGGTCCAAGCCTTGCAGCTTCGCCTGAAGGAAGATGCCACGCTCCTCTGCCAAGTGCACCCTGAAACTCCCCAGGTTTAGGGTTTGGGGTTTAGGGAGGCCCTACTTTCGCCCAAGCCCCTGATGCTTCTAACTCAGATCCGAAGCTCTGGACACCAATCCCGATGCCCTCAACCCATCCTAGAAGCATCCGTGATTTTTTTGGAGCCTGGGCGTATGCCTCGCCCAAACCCCAAAAGCCTGTAGCTGTAGGAGGCAGAGGATAAGAGAGTATACGATACATAGATAATCTCCGCAGAACAACTCAATATACATAAATACATAAACCTGTACACACATGCTGTACGTACATACATACATACATGCATGCATGCATGCATACATACATACATACATACTTAGATATATATATATATATATATACATACATATATACATATATATATATATAGAAAGCAAGCCTTTGCCTGGGCTTTGCTGCGGCAACCCTGCAGCCGGCGCTGCATCTCCGGGTGGTTGGGGTCACACGGAAGCTGGCCGCTGAGGAGCCTCGACAGTTCGGAGCGTTCGAACTCCGCTCAGGAGTATTCAGGAGTGGGGTTTGGCGGGATTTAGGGTCTTGAAAGTTAAGTTCTTGCTCTTGATTGTGAACTGATTCATGGGGTCTGTCTCAAGGTGCGGCTTTTCCACTGCCGCGCGCCAGGATACAAAAAGCTTGCTGAAGTAGCGTGCGCGCCGTGTAGTAGACTCAGTAGACCGAAAGCTATATTTCACCAACAAGTAATTAATTATGATCATCACCATGAGCTTCTTCATCGGTTGCTTATTTCAATCCGATGTGCCAACAAAACTCTCCTTATTCTTCCATTGCTTCCTCATCTTCGTCTTGAACATGCCAGCGTGTAGCTGTTCTGCAATGCAATGAGTCCTGAGCCTCGATATCCACCGAGTCCCCTTGGCCTCTATACCCCACTTTCGAGCAGGGTGCTGGAAAAGGATGCATCCGAGAGAGTAGACATCACCTCGGCCAATGCATGTCTCCTTTGAGGCTGGCAAAGATGCCTTGTGACTCTCTTTCAGGAAAGATCGACACTTGCAGGTTGTATGGCTGACCCCCAAGCCGAAGGTGCTTCGGGGCTGAAGTATCTGAGTCCAAGGCATTTCGGCCCGAAGTTGCCTCGCGTCGTGACGGCCAGGCCATTTTTGAAAGAACGACAGACGACAGAAGCCCTGGCTTAGAAACATGACATCGGTGTGGGTCAAGCCAAGTGGCTAAACATCACCTCTGGTGCCATGGTGGTCTTCGTGCCACCGTAGATCTTCCCTCTGGGAAGATTTGGCTGGAACCTGCACACTGGGCTTGCTTTCCAAGCTCATTCTCAGCAAAAGGACCCTGCCTGTTTTGAAGAACTTGTACGGCAAAGGTTTAGAAGTATTCCAGACACGACTGTGGCTTATGGGACTAAGCACTGGCGGCATACTGACTTACAACAAGAATTAAGTTCAAAGCTACAGACAAATACACGAATTCTGACGAGGGCACATCTCAGCCAGGCCAAGGTCGATGATGATGCAGTGCGGGCGATCGCCTGCCGCAATGTCGACCTGATGCCTCGGCTCTCAGTGTACTACTTAAAGTTCTTAAAGCATTGGGAAAGCATTGGGATCTTGCCGCTCTTCTGGGGCCCAGAGTTGCACTTTTTTGCCGGACCAGGGCGCAGCAGCATGATGTTCTCCGCCTTGAGGTCCTCAAGCATTATTCTGAGGCGTTCAGTGTAGGGCAGGTTCAAAAGACGCACTGTTAAGGCTTCGCGCCTTAGGGTGCCAGGTTTATGGGGTACAAGTGAACTAAGTGAAGTACCAGTACTAGCGGTATTTGGATCCCGACCATAACCTCTCTCAACGCGACATCCCTTTCTGGATGCCAAGGCCCAAGACCTTCTTCTACAATACTTGCCTGACTCAACAGTTCAACCCGCCACATTGAACCACACTTCTCAACTTTCAGGGCGTAGAAACTAGAAGGAATCATCTCTTGCAACGGCATTTGAGGTCCTGGGGACCTTGTCCTATACAGAGGCGCCTTGTGGATCAAGTTCTTGCTGTGGCAGTATGAGATGGCTTCAAGAGACTGGCCCATCACCTGGGGGACAGGGGGTTGTAGGCCTTAGGCGATTGCGCGGCTTTTGCCGTTGCTTGAGTGTCAGGACTCAACTCAAGTAGGTCAGGGCGCTTGGTTTTAATTCACAGTGGTACATCTCAATACTTCCACTCCAAGAATGGATGGCGAGGTGCCTGTGGCCTAAAGCCCAGGAGCCAGGGTCTCTCCGGGTCTCGATCAGTCATTTCTGAGCTTGCACGTCTGCTCTTCGCCCCCTCACATATTTGACCCTTCCTGCCGCAAGAACGAGAGCGTCCCCTCCTTTCTTCCCCAAACCTCAAGCTTGAACCATGGAAGCCAAAGGCCAGCCTCTGCCTAAACTTGCCTAGACCGAAACCCCCATCTCCCAACCTCCGAGATAAATCGCTCAGGCAGGGCGAGGCCACTCCGCGCGTGCGCAGCGATGAGGTCCTGCAGCCGAGGGCCATGGCTTAAACAACTTCAGTGAATTGAAATAATTGATGGGTTTGGGGACATGGTGCTGCTAAGCAGACCTGCAAGAGCGGCTCCTGGAGCTCGCCACCCTTGCATGCTTCGAGGATCATGCAGATCCTGAGGTGCGCTGGGCCCCCGAAAGCGTTGGGGATTCAGTTCCCTGCCTGAGCCCCAACACTGTTTTTCATAGCCCCGAGGCGAAAGGAGGTTGTCCCTGCATACCCTACTCATCACCAAGCGGATTGCATGGCTTGTTTGGAAGCGAGGCTGATCAACATGATCATAAAGGAGCCCTGCGAGCATCATGTCCAATCATCTTCTGACGGAGGCAGATTTACACGGTCTGACTCAATGCTCAGCTCTGCAGCTGCATGCCAGCTCACTGCTTATGCTCGCGTCATGCTCACAGATTGCCGGGAAGCTTGCCGACAGACTCGTAATACTCGAAGACCTTGAGCACATGCGGGTGGTCCATGGCCTGTCGAAAAGACTGGCTTCCCCTCGGCCTGTCCGATTTTATCTGGCTTGAGGGTCAGCAATAGCCTCCAGCCTGTGATGCTCTCCAGTGCCCTCCAGTGAGAACCCTGCAAGACCATTCGCCAAAGCCTCGGCAACAGATGCGGAAGGGCTGAGCCTTCATATTCTCAATCTCCCGAAGAACTGACTCTCGTGGCATGTTGGGCTTGAAAGGCACCTGCAAGCGGGCAGCTAAGATGAGTGCGGTACACATGGGCACAGGTCCAATGCAGCGCACACACACACACACACACCCACACCACCACCGCCTGTAAATGAGGCTTTCTCTGCTTTTCGCTTGATTTTTGCTGTCTCTTTTTTTGGGATCCATACCTTCTCTTTTCAAAATTGTCTTCAAACCGAACTTTTGGTGCAAATTTTTTAAAGATCAAGAAATGGCAGCTTGGACCTTTTGGGTTTTCACTGCGCTGGTCTGGGGGCAGAGCATGAAGACTTGCGGATCTTGTGGCTATGGTTTCTGCAACCTCTACATTGCAGCTGGCAGCCTCTATGCTTCCGCTGCCGACACCAAGTAGCTGAAATACACCCTCATCCCAGGGCCTCCCTGAGCACTGGAAGACGACCAAATTTAAACAACAGAAGTCTCCCAGGCCCCCAAACAGATCCAAACAGATCGATGCAAACAGAAAACGACCATCTGGATGAACGCGGCCGAACGCTGGACTCAAATTGTCTATAGGGTTTTTAGGGGTTTATAAGCCATATAAAGAAACCCTAACCCTATGTATTTAACTTAAGTGATTTTTAGAGCCGCCTCCTTCACCACGCGCTCCTCTCCACCATCCCTGGGCTTCACCAGGTGGACGGTGCCGAAGCACCCTTTCCCCAGTGTCTTGACCAGGCTGTAGCCTGAGTGCACCAGAGGCCCTAAACCCTACTCCCTAAACCCGAAAGCCTAAAGCCTAAAGCCTAAACCCTAAACCCCAACACCTAAACCCCAAACCCCAGCATGCTGCAAAAGGCTGATGTGCTTAAGGCGACAGGGTTTCAGGGCTGGGTTTCGAGGACTTTTTGCCCAAGCGAGCCTTCAGGGTTCGTGGCTGGAAGAATTTAATAAATCCAACTTTCTGTCCCAGCGAGTCGACCTCTTCTAGTAGTCTTCTAGTTTGGAATCGGAACCAAAGGGGCCTGCAAGACATGTCAAAAAACGTCGAAAGCAACTGCAACAAAACACTCTTAACATCCTGAAGCACTCTCATCCTTTGTCCCGGACTTTTCTGAAGCACGGGAGAACCTTAGTCAACCGATGCGCCCTGGACCTTCTCCGACTTGCATTCCTGATCAAGTCGCATCCCTCCCAGGCACCATTCTTCCGATGACCAAAGAGGGTCGTCTGTGCCCCTCCATGTGCTGAGCGGCTCTTTTGGCTTGAGGGTTGTAGAATAGGATTCTGCCCTTGGCGGGGGCTCTAGTTGAAGGGTTTCGTCCCCGAAGCCTGAGACGCCAAAGGCCCCATCCACTGACTAAAAGCCGAAGACGCTTCGCCACCGGCCCCCCCCCCCTGCACACTCGGCCTGGTGATTGGCAGACGGATCTCTGGACCTGGCCAAGTCTGAAGGCGCTGAACCCTTCACTTAGGGCGTACCAACATCAGCTATAGGCTATAGTCCGAAGCCACTTCGTGGAGAAGCCTGGTGCCCAAAAACCCTCAAAAGCAATGCCTGCTGCCCCTCAAACTACCCCGCAGCGCACCTGCACGGCGACCATTGGTGCGGCAACAGCGGGATGGGGCTGGGGCTGCTGGGGCTGTGGCTGGGGCTGCGGTGCTGGGCGCATCACCTCGGGTCTCGCCGCAGATGGTGTCTCAGACGTGCGCAGTGCATGGCCTTTGCTGAGGGCAACGCCACAGGGTGAGGCACCACCGGATGGGGCACCATAACCGGCATGTAGGCCTCTGGGAACGCAGTTTGGTTCTGAGGACTGAGGACGTTATTTGGGAGGTTGACCTACGGGGGCCAGCGCCAGCCCTGCTCCCAGGGGTTTCAAAGCTTTTTAGTTGATTGCTTCAGTTGGAGAGCTGGGGATGGATCTTGTGGCCAGGTACCTGAGGGTGATGGGTCGAGTCGCTCACTCTCGGGACTGCGCTGCTCCTGCCAGCACCCCAGGCCTGCAGTTCCCTATGCCCCCTTTTGGGGCTTTGGGGTCCGATTGGGCCTGCGCCGCAACAGCAGGGCCGTGATGGTATCCAGCCGGCATCGGCATGGGATGCACTTGGAGCATGGCGGGCTTCCGTCGAAGGCTTCTCCTTCTACTCTATGTTCTTGAGCCAAAGAGGTCAGGAATGGCACTATTCCCTTGCTACCCTTTCTCTTCTTGAACTGAAGCCAAATTTCATGAGCAGGTTTAGGCCTCATGGCTGTAGGCATCGGGGGTGTCATACATCGACCACCGAAACCGCCGTGCCAACTCGAAGAGCCATGACCCTAAACCCCTAAAGCACACCTTGCAATCTGCCAGCCTCTTAGCTCAAACCAAAACCCTCCATCAATGCTGAGCTGGCGTCATCTTCCTTAGCTGCTGGTCACCGCTCGTGCTCTTCCGATGGTGACAAGCTGTGAGTCCGAAGCTTTGGATGCTGGACATCATGGTGCAAAGCAAGGTTACAAATCCTCATCCGACATAGACAGCATGAAGATCAACCAAGGCGCAGCACCCGGATGCCTTCCAGATATTGCTCCACCTTGGCCCAAACTCCCAACAGCTTCCTTCGACATTCAAACGAGTGCCACTTATTGCTGGAAGCTGGTATCGTGCATGCAGGACATCGTTCACAGAACAGAGCTTACATTGGAACAGATATATCGTCGGCAGACAACTCCACAGCCCTGAATTCCAAATCCCCTAGGTACGACCCATGATCTCTTCTGACAACACCCTCATTCGCCCAGCCGCCAGGAGCAGCCTCCTATCGCTCTCCATCATGGCAAGGCCTGGTATAGCTGTCTCAGGCTGCTTTAATATGGCTTCAGAATCAAGGGCTCGAGTCGGCCGATGTGTAGCAGTGTATCACATGTGCTAATCACTAGTAGGGCCTAAGGCTCATGTGTCATCATTTGCGAGTTGCAGAGGCTCACTGGTTGACATAGGGCCTGGGGTCTCAGGACTCGTTGGCTAAAAATGTTCTGTCGCGGGTTCCGGCCCCACGGAAAACGGGGATGTGCAAAAGCTGTTGGCCACGTGCATGTTGACTCGCCCCAACCCGACAACAAAGTCGGCACATGTTCACAGCAAGTAATTGCAGAATCGTCGTCCCGACTTACAACTGCAGGCGCCGCTACACGCTCAGGCGCTGGCGTCGCTTCCGTGACACCTGTCCGCCCACGCGTTTGGAGAAGTACATGGTGCCTCAGGTGTAATGCAAGCCTATGTTCATGCCAAACCTCTTGTTCAGTTGTAATTCCAAACTTCTTGTTCAGTTGCACTGGAAACTCTTGTGCCATTTATTTTGCGCAGGCCTCTGTTCTAGATTCTAGAGAACGGCCGAAGGAAGCCTCGCAACACTGCACAAAAACCCACCCTAGCCTGAAAATGCTCAACAGCCCCCTCCGTCCCTTCCCCTCCCGCAGACACAATGCAATGCAGGAGTGCGAACGGCGAGCTGGCCCTATACCCCCCCCCCCAAAAAAAAAAAACCCTCAGCATGCGCCAAGTTGCCCAGGGATGTGACAACACAAACTAGTGCTGGGGCCTGCGCTCGCGAGAGACAAGGTTGAAAACTCTAAGCCCTTTTACCAGAGGACTCTCTTACGACCCTAAAAGCCTAAACCCTGAACCTGGTCTCGACTCTCGCACTCGCACGCAGCTGGCAAGGTTCGACATTCCGGGCACTCCACAGCTTGTTCAGCTCCCTTGGTCAGCATCTCTACCATCACCAACCGACCAAACTCAACAGTCCCTGAGTGCTTAAGGTCTTTTTTGGGGGGCTGAGGATGCTGCGCTTGTAAGCCTTCGACAGCTAGCACGGCCAACCCCCGAGACTTCACCCCCCCCCCCTCCCAGCCGCGAAGGAAACCAGCTTGAAAAAAAAACAAGTGTGCTTCGACAGCTGCGCGGCCGCTCCAAGTTGCACCACCAGGAGGGCCGGCAAGACGGCAACCTTCTCTCAAAGAGCATATTCAAGACTCAAGGAACATGATGGCTCCAAGCCCTCAGAAAGTTCTGACACGTTCTGATTTCACTTGGGGGCCGCTTCGGTTCAAGGGCTGAAGCTTAGGACTTCGAACTCCATGGCTCTAAGCCTCCCGGCTTTTCTTGGAATTCTTGGGTTCGATACTTCTGGGCTCAAGCTTCGGGCCATTCATGTCCCGGGACCATGGGACATGAAGGCAGGCGCAAAGGTTCCACAGGATGTTGCACCTTTTCACAGCTCGGAGAGGCACTTCACAGGTTCAGGAGCTGAGGGGAAGGCCAGCACGAAGGCGTGCGGCATCATGTTCATGAAGGCCTGGTGAGGCTTTTCCTCGATTGGCAGTGGGAGGGGTGGGGGGGGGGGGGGGGAGTGGGTGGGGCAGGTGGGTTGGGGCGCCTCACAGCCGCAAGCCCTCAAGCCCTGAAGCAACGGGGAGCCGAAAGAAGCAACGAATAACTCCACGATCCCGAGCTCCAAGTGAGTACCGGAGAACCCGAAACCCATCAAGGGCACGTTTTGTATCCAGGCCTCGAGAATTTTCTGCCGAACCCGCTGAAACCAATCACACCTCGAACACCTCACACCCTGATGTGGTATGCCCGGCGGCCGAGTCGATGGACATGAGGTTGGTAGGATTCTGCATGCTGCCCACAGCATCGGCAGGCAGCTTCAGGCAGTGGCTGTAAATAAGCCTCAGGTGGAGGCCGTTCGGTGGCCCACCTATGCATAACCCTGCCCACAGCGACACTCTAGCATGTTCCGCCAGCAGTGCTGCCGGTCGCCATGTTATTGAAGAAAAGCTGGTTTTGAGGCACAGTGGCCTGAAGAATACGTAGGCGCGTCTGCGGCGTATCGCGAGGATGAGCACTCCTTCTGAGGAGTGCGCCTTTGAATGCCAATCCTCATCGTGAGGCCAGCCATGTGGCCCTGGGCAGCGGTTCTTTCCCTACCAGCGACAAACTGTGGCATTTGCAGTTGGGTTCCTGTTTCTTAGGGCTCAGTGTCTTCTTTTCTCTTTCCAGCATACGAAAACACAGCATGACAATTAAACAACAAAAAACTGCCTCAAGCCATGACCAGCCCAGGACTTGCCAAGATGTGACAGAACACTGACGTTCAAGGACAGGTCCGCGCTCTAAAGGCATGAGTTGGCCTGGAACTGCGACGTGCCGACGCCGACTGCCACACTGGCCTTGTGCGAGATCGCGAGCAGAGCATGCCCGAACTTTATGCAAACACGTGCCCGGAGATATCGGTATGAGTTTGGGGCCCCGAACACCAGCGTACATGTTGTATAGGCGCGAGCCCTTACCCTGTGGCAGCTCAAGGTATCGTGAATAGCATGGAAGCCTACCTACAGCACTTAGGCATTGGAAGCTCTCCTGCGGCACGATAAACCCATTCAGGCGAGTGGCTGGACATGTAGAAGTCAGGGTACATGGGAAGCCAAGCCATGAGTTCAAAGGTTAAGATGTTCTGCCCTTGAAATAGCCTAGCCCATGAAGGAATCCACACAAAACCCAGGCAGCCAGAAGAAGGAAGGCTGTTTGGCAGGATTGGCAGGCATCGCTGTGCCCTACACCATGTACCTAAAACATCCTAAAACCTTCATGACATTCATGAGCCGTACAAGTCCAGCAGCTCCAAGCCCTACCCTGATCCGCTCTTTCTCCGGCCATTGCCCAGGGTCCGATCCGAGGCTCATGAGGCTCATTGCAGCTTATAGCAGTTCAGCTCGGGGGCTTCTGTGGGGCCCTATAGGCTGTGAACGGAGCACGCGCTCCCGAAGAGCCTTCTTGGCTGGACTCGTGAGATAAACCGGACCTCATATGTTTGAAGTCGGTTTCAACGGCCCCAAAAGCATTAAAACAACCGCTGGTTAAACGTTACCTTGAGGCAAACATCAGCGTCGATGCTCCACTCGCCAGCTTCCAGCTCACCAGCCACCCTGGTTTTGCGCTGCTGGGGCGTTCCAGTCGTCCCGATTGCCTCCGGCGCGGTCTTGGCATGTGGAGGAAGTGAGTTGTCTCAGTGGAATCAAGGGTGCGTGAATGTCTGTGGTGAAAATGCCCTATGCATGCCTGTGACAAAAACTCTGCCTCAAAACTCAAAAGCAAATTTGAAAATCAGGCCTGGGATGGCAACCCAAGACTTATGGGCTCAAGTCACTTACATGTCGCTGTCATCACATCACAGCTTGAGGCAACCACGACCGGCGACGAGCTGACGAACCAACGCTTTGATGCCAGTCTGAGGCCCGGCACCCGGTCCGTTGCGTGTGATCACGCGTGATCATACGCCACCAAAGCAAACTCGGATCGGATGGCTTTATCTTTCCCGGTTCCCTTTCCACCAAATGGGATCTATACCATGGCCTGGGAACAAGACGCGAAGCCTCTGCAAGTTTCAAGACTTAGGGTGGCCAAGGGCGGCATGGATGTGCAGAACATCGCCGAACATTATTGCCTCTAAGACAGAAACAAAAGGCTGCTCGTTCACGCCTCCAGCGCCCCCGGCTGCCGGAGCCTCCCAGGCTGCGTCGCGCGTCATGTCGTCCCAGTTGCCTCGCTTCAACTGCTGCGTGATTTGTTCAGGGGGTGCCTCGGCGGCCTCTTTGCCCTGAGCCCAGTTGAATTCAAGTTTGTCTTCGGATGTTCTAGAGGCGACGTAGAGCCATGTTTCGGGGGGTTGTTTGGGTTGACAATGTAAAGGCCAGCCAGGTCATCCCGCAGCAATTCGGCTGTGATGTCTGAACCTCCCAAACCTCAATTTCATCCAGAAGCTTTAAGATTCAAAGATCTAAACCAACTTGAACCTCAGCTGTTATGATGATAATTAGTCATTATCATGGTCTTGACAATTTCAACTTGCGTGCGGAGGAGACACCGCCACCACCTGCGCCCTCCCATGTAGCTGCAGGGGCCCACGTCTCCTCGCGCCAAAGTCGGATAGCTCTAGGTCAAGTAGAGCTTGTGTAACTGTTAACTCAGTGAGATCCTCGAACTGTCGACTGTCGCATCGTCTCACACAAGGGACGGTCAAGCCAGCGAATGTTTGGAGCAGGCAGGGCTTGCATCCTCGGTCCTGACGGTCCTGCTGATTGCCATAGTTCTGGGAAATGGACATGTGATGCTCAGGCTCCTCGTCCTGCATCACTTCCTGCCAGAGGCGCATCGTTCAATCGATTCTCCCTATGTCTATGTGTTGTACCATCGAAGAACTGCAGGCCTGCAACCAAAGTACACCCGAATCAACAGGACGACGTGCGCCAGGACGCCCCAAGTGCAAAGCAACATGTGAGAAATGAGCTTTGGCTCTGTAGCTTGTTCTTCTTAAACCTCTGGCACTGCGACACCCTCACCCTGAACCTCAAACTGGGTTGCTCCACGCGGTCACTGGAATGCCTGAGACTCAGAGCGCGTGCTCAACCTCCGCCGTCCCGTCGAGACGGATTTCGGGGGGATTCTCTAACAAATTCTCTGCCTCTGCGAGACGGACTTCGGGTTTAGGGTTTAGGGTTCTTTTTTGCCACCCGCTTAGCTGACCGGGATTAGGGTTTAGGGATGAATTAAACCCAGTCAGGTCTGTCGGCTCCTCTGGGTCCCGCCAGAAGAAGGAGTCCACCATCACATCCCAGGGCTGGCTCCGGGGCATGCGGCCCCGAAGGTACCTGGGCTTGGCCGATATCCGGCGGTAGATTTCAGATTTCCAACTGCTCGACTCGACTCATGGAGTTTAGACTGTTGTTTGTCCGGTAGCATGTTTTGACTGGGTGTTCAGATTTTCGGATGATGTTGGCATATTCGGCTTTCGGGATTGGGGTGGGTGACTGCTTGGAGATGGAGGCCTCTAGTTTCCGAAGCTTGGGCTCTCAAGGTGCCCATGGTTTGGCATTGACGGCGGAGTCGGGGACGCTACGCGCGTCGGCCTTCAGGGCGAAGTGTTGAGCCCGAGTTCTTACGACTGCTGCCACAAGGCCGCGATTCGACCTCACAGAGCTCCCAATTCTTGAAGCATTTTTTCCAAGGACGAACCCGAAACCTCTGCACCAAGAGACAACACCTCCCTCGCCAGCATCCAGTACAGTAGCGCAATGGACTCCTTGCCCTGGCTCTCCACACTCAGGGTTGCTTCTTGCCACACGTCTCGCTGAGTCAGTCCAACAGGCAGTGTTATGATTCATCCTTCTCAAAGAACCGGCCACTGCAGAGTCGGTGCAGCTATCGCACCATACCAAAGGCAAATTTGCACAGGCCTTCACTCCTCCGTCCGATTCACTGGGCTTTACAGTCTACGAGGATGAGTGGCCACTACAGTCGTCAGGGCTTAGGGCATTTTTCGCTCCCACATAGCTGAACAAAGCCGCACAGCAGGGTTATTGGTTGCATTGGTTGCAGATTTCTAAGGAGATTTCAAAAAGACTTTTCCTCTTTCACACACTCCCAGCCTCATCTGTCCCTGATCCGCTCCTAAAGTTACATGTCTTCATCTTGTTCCACACCCAGTGCCTAGTACCTTATCTCGGTTTGGGATCAAGACATACTGATTTGAGGCACTAGGTATGGGATGCTGTGATTCCTGGAGGTTTGGGCAAGCAAGGCGTGGTTCCGGACGTCGAGTTTACGGACAGACCGCTGAGTTGTGGTCAGGGCCTGTTTCTTGAGGACTGTGAGTGCTGCGACAGCTGTGACTTCCACTCTCTGTGTATGTCGCTCAGCATAGTTCACAGCATGTCTGCATGGGCAGAAGATAGAACTTCGCCGTGCACGCCAGAGTTGCGATATGGAAAAGACCGACAGCGAACCGACGACGTAGAAGCCCCTGTCAAAAACAAAACCAGCAGTTCTACCCCCAAACCTGCCACGCCTTGTTGTTGGCCGGGATCGCGACATCCACATTGTCCAGAGGTGAGTCAGTGTCGCACAGTGCGATGACTGGGATGCTGGCATAAGCGGCCTCCTTGATTGCCTGCACCCAAGGCATGGTAGCGGCACAAGATCCCTGTTTTGGCCCAGTGTTCTTGGGGTGCTGTGACCGACATCGCGATTTTTTGCGAGCGAAGGTGTGGGGGCAACACTTGCAGTTGAGGAGTTTTGATGTGGAGTTGGCACCGAAACAATCGTTGTTCGGCTCAGAATTGTGGGATAATCTCCGGAAGCCCTAATGCGCCAGATGTTCTGGGACCTGGCTTGGGCTAACTAGGTCCCAGCGGTCCTTGCTTCACGGCCCTTGCAGGCCCACCAGCTCTGGTGGACTACCAGAACTACATCGCTGCATGCCCGGCTGAATCCCGGACCAATCGTCATCCCTGGGCCAACGGCAACCCCGGAACACTGTTCTACCCTAGGCCCTAAGCCCGAAATCCAATAGTCTGAAACCCATGACCTGGTTGTCCGTGCGGGGGTCCGTCACGATCAAGAGTCTGGGCTCCAAGTACTTCTGCGTGATCTGGTTCGTCAGTGTGCCTTGGGACGTCTGCACACGCGAACGTGCCTACAAAGTTATGTCACTCTCTCTTCTTATCTTCTTTCTCAGCGTTCCTTTATATTCATTCTTTCTTTCTTTGATCCAGTTTAGAGCAGGGGTATCTCTTGAGTTTCTGGTACAAGTTGCTTCAGGAGCGTTAGCCACAAATCCTGGTTCTGGACTGAAGATCCAATCGCCACCCTCGTGCAAGAAGCCCAAAGCCCTCCCACTTGGCCCAGCCTGGCGTCCATCGTCCGGCCAAGGGATTCGCCCCGGTGTACTGGCCTGGCAACGCAAATCTAAGCAGGCACGGACGTGACCGTCATGTAATGCCGGCGAAGCTTCTTCACTGGCCTTCTGGGCTAAAAAGGTCTAGGAGTGCAAATTCTGGGGGGCGGGATTTGCACAACTGTTGCACTATGTGTCCGAAGTTCGACCCGCTATTCGCAGCGTGCTATCCAGCGCAGATCCCCCTAAGTTGCGAGGCCCCGCGTATCTTTTGGATTTTGTGTGCTCTTGCTTAAACATCCGGAAAATCCCCCAGTGGTTAGCTCCAAGGTCTAGCATCTTTGAACTAACAATGCCAAAGAGCCAAAAAAACACGGTACCTTCAGCTTGCTGCCGCAGTGCTAAACTTCAGCACGGCGCGCGATCCGTACGGCCGCTGCGATGCTACCTCTGAGAAGGCAGGAACGCTGTCATGCGGCATCTGGGAAGGAATATTGTGGTACTGGTATCAAGGAATGAACCCTGCCAGGTCACGATGATGTCAAACGGATTCTCAATGGCCACGATGATGCCTCAGAACGCACACAGTATCTTGTGCAGTGTGGGCGCAAGCAAACCTCCAAGTGCTAACCCCTATGTAAGCCTGCCTTCAACCACAGTACTGCCTGTCTTTCTGTCAAGCTGCGAGCGGCCACCTGGATTTTCCTTGGCCGTCAAAAGCTTGGTTTAGGGTACAAGGCGTTTCGGGAGTAGGTGAGGCTTACCGAGGGCTCGGATGCTGAGCCAGGACGCTGCGCGACGGCAATTCAGATTCAGGATCTCAGGCTCTCGGAGCAGGAAGGTAAGCACGGCTGCAGTAGGAGGGGGTTGAAACCTTGAGGGTCCCAGACCTCCATCCCAGTCTGGCATCTCCCAGGTCTTTCCCAGCTGGATGATGTGGATCCCCTCCACCGTCCGGCGGAAGATGTAGCGCTTCATGCGGTAGTCCACATTGCCTGAAGGAGGCAAGGGGTGGGCTCCATGGGGCTCAGAGTTGTGTACTTGCGCAGACTGTGCAGACTGGGCTACAGAAGCTGCCAATTCCTCCCATGACATGGGCCAAGATGCGAGTGCCCAGGTGGGTCTTGCAGACCAGCCTGTGTCAAGGCTTGAGAGCTGGGCTCCCCAGCTCTAGGAGGAGGACCTAACGAACAGTCTTTACCCTAAACCCTAAACCCTAAATCAGGTTTCTTGAAAATCAAGCGGCATCATCTGGATGTCCTCCTCCTTGCTCGCCATGGCTGCCATGGCACCAGAGCCTCCCCCACCTCCCCCTTGAGCCTCGGTCGGCCCTGGAGTGCAGGCTTTATTTCGGGGACTCGACTCTACTCCCATACAGGAACCGAGCAGCCCTGAAGCTTCAAGGCGCCACGATGAACAAGGCTCTTATCCATGAGCCTGGGCACAGCTGGAGGCCCGAAATCCGAAAATCTGCTGAGCAATGAATTTCAAAAGCCCCAGAACAACAAGTCCTCACCCCCCGAGCTCCGGGCCCAGCACAGCGAGTACGCCGCAGCCCAAGGGGCGAGGGACTGAGGGGAGCCCGTGCCCTGCAGAAAGATGTGGACACGTGTGGACTAGTGGATTTCCAGAGGTTGGGGAGGGGCTTCCACCCTTGTTTGTTAATTCCCCCCCCCCCCCCCCCCCCCCCCCCCCCCCCCGGCCGCGTGACACTAAGACTATAACTTGGGGCAACGGTTAACCACTCCGCCAGTTCACCCGATGCCAGCACTCGCTGCGCTTGCCGGGTCGACTCAACAAGCAATCTTCCTTCCTTCCTTGTTTCCTTCCTTCCTTCCTTCCTTCCCCAAACAGACCTTATGAATAACACACCGACTTGGGTCGGCTCCCTGTTACTTTGGGCATGGGCACTCCAGCTTGTTGGACAAAGCGACAATCCCTCTCTACCTCTCTGGACTGGGATCTTCTGGGAGCATCGACACAGATCTGCATCTGTACAGTAGCGCGTCCTGCTCCAGCTCGTTGAGCATGCGGCGAAGGAAAATGGGAACTAACACCTGGGGTCAGTTCGAGCTCGAGTAGGTGGGTCATCGCTAAAGCAACAAGACTAGCAACTTCTCTGTGTCGAGAGGTTTCACAATGAACGTTCCACATGCCAAATCCAGGATGTAAACAAAGGCAGGCACCATCGCGGCATCAGACTTCCCATGTTGCACCGCGAAGCTTTGCCAGTAGGGTGCCATGGTTTAAAGCTGAGGCCCCAACATAAAAGCAAACGCCTCGGCTCTGTAAGCAGCTCACATGTGTAAACACGGACAACAACCGAGCCATCTACCCTTTCCTTTGCATCAGGACTGCTGGACTGCCCTAAATGCGCAAACACTCACTACACCGATGTGATGCTGAGCTTACCAGCACAGGAGGCTAGAGATCAGATCGCAGCAGTCAAGTTGCAACAGAGGCTGTTGAATAAATACCTCAGTCAGGGTGGAGATGGTGTGCGAGCTCTGTGAAACATGGTTGGAGACAGCCTGAGAAGAATTCGATGGGCTGCGGGGTATCGGGGGGCTGGGCCGGCTTTGCAAAAGTGCGATCCAAGGGTCTGAGGCTAGTAGTAGCTGTAGCACTCGCGGCCGCGATCGCGGTCGGGGTGTGGGTCAGCACTACTACCAGGTCACGGTCGCGTGGTTAACGCCGCGTCGCTTTGCCGGCCCGCCAGCCCGTCCCTTCTTTTCTTCACGATCCCACCACCTCTTCTTTCTCGACCTCTTCCTCACTCAGTCATACCCCAAATACCATATTGAACCATTCAATATTGACACCCCCCCTCCCCCAAATCCTGCGAACCTTTCAAATCTTTCAATGATAACTTGAACTCTGAAGGGTTCGTCCCACCCCCCCTGCTAAAACAAAGACTGTAAACTCAAGCCTGGACGCTAGCTTTCACGATAATAGTAATAGTGGCCAGAGTCATCGGAAGAATAAGAGTCGTGAAAGGAACAGGAGCCGTCATCCTCATCATTTTATTATTCTTGTCTCGTCGCCATCGTCATCATTGCAAATTACAAAAGAAAAGGAAACGTACCCGATGTGGGCATTGTGTTCACAGGCAGGGCTTCAGAGAGAGCACCTTTTTTTTTTCCCTCAACACCACATGATAGCCGAGCAGCACCGCCGTGGGCCTCCTCGCAAGGCGCAGCAGCGTGCGCCCAAGGCGGGGCGGGCGTTGCCGAAGGGAGGCATCGGCACACTCCTCCGCGTTTGGGTGGACAGGATTGAAACGGTTTTCCATATACCCACCCACACCAAGCAGGTGAGCTCTGAGTTCGAAGGTCGGTGTCTGAGGCGCTCAGGCTTCAGAAGTGCTCTCCGTTCTTGTTTCAACCTTTGACCCGAACCACCCCCTATTCGTGGCCTCGCGCCAAAGGTCAGCGGCTCGCTGGCCCAAGCGCTCGGCGCGCAACTTTGTGGGCACCGGCCAAACATCCTCCTCCTGAGGCGCAGCGTCCGCTTGAGTGTGGGAGAATGGCGCTTTGACACGCTTTGTTTGCTTTTTGTGCATATATTACGTCCGAGCCAACTGCAGGGGTTGTACCCTGGACCCTTTTGGTTGTACCCTTGGGTTTCGGGGAAACTTGTTGAAGATCCGGTAGTATCAGGGCCATAGTCGGATATGAAGGGGAACCTTTAGGGGTACAACCTTAGGAGTACGAGTCTTAACCCCTTGATCAAAGGAGTTGGTTGTGTTTCAATTCCCCCCCAGTTTTTTAGGCTTCACAAGGCCCGCATATTGTTGCTTGAGGACTGTGCGGATCAGAAGATGCTGCAGCATTGCTGCGCGCCCTGCGTCGACTGAAGCAAGGCTGCTTACTGCACTAACATCTGTTTCTGCCCGGCGCCTGTAATAGTTACTGCTGATTTGCGACGGCAACACTTGACCAGAAGGAAGTGCTCGCATAATCAGTCACGGCGTTGGCACTGGTGGTGCTCCCTCAAGAAACTTCATAGTTGGGCGAAGACCGTATCGTTCCTTTGGCTGCTGCGGCGAATTGGTCGAGTGCTCAACTGCGCTCAGGCAAAGCAGCCCTTCAGCTCTGCTCTGCTGGTGTACGTTTCGTCCGCGGGAGACTCGAGTAGCACTTCGGCAGAGCCTGTTAGCTTGCGTTTGCACGCATGGCCTTGCGTCACGGCGTCACGGCGCAGGCTCAAAGCACAGTACGCTGTTAACTTGTAGTTTCTTCGATGTGCATGAAGTAATACTTGTTGTGGAAAATTCCTTGAGGGCTAGGTCTGGTGGGATCTTGTATTTTGTCGACGAAAGGTCTCGGTGGGATGGTGCCCAACGCGGTTTTGTGATTTGTGCATGCGGCATGCATGAACTGTAAGCTCGGATTGGTAACATGCACTCAGCTAACTGATGGGTTCTTGCGCCGGATGATGTTTTGGCCTCAGATTTCAAACCACATGCAAGGAGTGAGGAGTGCCCAACCTGTAGCGCGTGCTGGAAGCCTGTGCGTAGCAGGGGCCAAAGCCACGCGATCTTCAGGCGCTCCCATGACCTCTCCGCGAATACTCTCCGCAAAGGGGGCTTAGGAAGTTGAAGGGTTTTGGCGTCCGGAATTGCATAATATAGTATAAACCTCTTGAGTATTCTTCTGCTGCTGTTTCCTCGTTCAACTGCTTACTCAAGACCCCTGCTTACCACACCCAGCATCTAAACGAGGGCTGGCGCCCGCAGGGGACTTGCTCTGCGTGCAGCCCTCTGACACAGGTGGCACAATGTGTGTTCCTCTTGAGCCCTACTGAAAGCCAAAACCCCGACACCCATAACTCGGACATTCAGCTGACGACGCTTTTCGGTTTGGTGCCCAAACAAGCCCTCCATATCAATTCCAGGAAAGCATGGTCTTAGGGCGCAGGCCTCCCGAGAGTCCAGGGCAGGTCCAAAGGATGCGTCTTGTCTGACATGGCACCAGGCTTATGTTCTACTTTCCTTGTTGGATTTTCTTCGCTCCCGCAGAGCTGACAGCCACTCAGTAGGGTTGTTGCATCTGAATCTGAATCGTCTGCTTAGTTAGGCTTAGTTGCCATGGGTCGCAGTCGTGAACGGGCTAAGGGTTTAAAAAGTTTAGAAGGGTTTGAATGAGGAGGAGGAGTTGTTGTTGCTGCTGTTGTTGATGTAGTTGTCGTTGTAGGGCTCGGGGTTATAGGGTTGCTGCGGGGTTGAGGGTGTTTGCTTCTTCGGGCTTGGGGTCGGAGTGCTGAGGTTTGCAACTCTGCCTGTTCAAGTGTTATGTTAATGCACGGAGGGGCCATTCGGTTCAGCCTCCAAAATGGCCCGGCGCCTCTTTGAGCCAACAGCTGAAGGCGCGCATGCATGCAAACAACATGTCCTAAGCAAGCTGATGACAAGCAGAAAAACCTCATGAGCAGGCTGCCACCAGCCGCAACCCGAGCAGTCTCGCTTTCTCTCTCTCCCCTCCCTCTTGCCTTCCTCTTCTTCGTCACACAAATGCGAGGCCGCTAGCACCAAACCTTGACCACAGCTAGCTTCTATCTCCCATTTGTGATCCCGAATCGCATCTTCCAATATCTTTCAATATCCCAGGAACCCGGGGCCACTGCCCAGGCCCAGGGTGCCTCGAGCGAGCGAGACCTGAACTTCACTGCTGAGCTCACCACAAATGTGGGCTCGGGTTGTTTCTTTAGGTCCTGTTCCAGGCCGTTGCGCGAAAACACACCACAGCAGCTTGGGGCTCTGCGCAAAGTCAGCTGTGCATGTGTGCATGGGCCCATGGTGTTGTTTGGAGCTGTCATATGCAGACGTTGTCCAAGCTCGTAAAACCCTAAGCCCTAAACCCTAAACCCCAAGCTCGTAAACGTCTCTTGACTTTGCTGAGCGCCAGGCGCAGCCACTCCGAGGCGCTACGCTGCAACTCCCGGGCGACCAACATCTGCCTCCGAGGATCTCTTCCCCCGCGGTTTAGGGTTTAAACCCTAGGGTTCTACTGTGGAGGAGGGAGGGTCGCGAACCGCACGGCTGAGTTTCGCACTCATTCAGCTCTGCCGCTGTGACAGCCTCCTTCCGGCTGGTGAGTGCCAGTTTCGAGGAATCAGTGGGCCCCACGAATGCATCTCGCAATCACATTGCAAAATATTGCAGAGGGATCCTCCAACTTTCCAGATGCTCCCGTTAGTTGCGTGAGTTTTGCGCAGCGCAGGTCGGAAATCCACTGAAATCGGATCCCTACGTATGCACAACCAGCGGAAAGCAAATAAACGTTTCA